GAGGAAGAGGTGAAGCTCACCGTGATGATGGCTTTCCCCACGGTGCCTCCTGGTCTCAGCAGAGCTTTGGACAGTTTCCTCTGGGAGATGATCTGGGAACACACACACACACACACACACACACACACACACACACACACACACACACATAGGAGTTAATTTGGACTACTTTATCTACAGATCGTTAGTTTAGTCCGTATCAAAAGCAACGAAACCTGCAGTTCCTCTAGCGGCCACTAGAGGCTGGCTCCAGCACTGAGTCAGTTCTTCTCGCCTGCATGCTAACATCGTCAGTGACATACACTAACTTATGTACGATGACAAACTGTGTTGATTTATTGATTGTGAACAATAAATGCAGTACAAAGTTAACGATAGCTTTCTGCAAGGCGAGATCGAAGCGAGGCGGACCGTTACAGATCCGCTGAGACGTTCTGAATGGGATTTATTTTACAGCGTTCAGCCTCGTGTACGTGTCACTGTTTCAGCAGTTAGCTTAACACCGCTAGCTACTGCACTCTTTCCGCCCACAAAATACAGCTGTAAACAAACACAAACAAGGCCGACTGGAATATGTTTGTCTCTGAAACTCTCCACACTGACGTGTCTTCTTCAGTTTCTCTCCCTGTTCCTGTGAGCCAGTGTTATCTGAGAGCTTCTTCCTGTTAGCAGAAACCTCCATCGCTGCGTCAGCCATCTGGCCGGCGGAGGAGCTGGCAGTCGAACCGAGCGTCACTGCTGGCAGAGGCTTAAAGACGAGGAGATGAAGACGAGGAGGAAGAGCCTCCAGCCGTCATCTTATTGTTTCATCGCGGCTCCTCGTCTTCGTCTCCTGCTCTGCGTGTTCAGACTCTTCCAACGCTGTTTCCTGTCGCCGCCGTCGTGCAGAGACTTTCTGATTAGAAGCATTAACTGCAGTTTATAACGAGAGCAGCAGCAGATGGAGAACGTGCTCATCAGACTCTCCAAACAAAGGACCATATTTATGATCCATAAGTCTGAAATTAAATGATTTTGTTGTGTTTGAAACTAATCCCCAAAACCACAATTGTCTCACTCACATACAGTAAATATCCAGTGTATGTATACTGTACCGTACAGTCGGATCATTAATATATTAATATTCTACATTCAAACTGAACCATGTGTTTATCACAGCCTCCAAAAACTAATCATTTCCTTCATAGCAGCTTGTCCTGTCAAAATAAAATACAGTGTGCAGACCGTTCTGTTTCCCTTTAAGGGAAAAGGTTTGAGTTACTATCCACTCAAAATAATGTATTTGTGCGTCACAGTCGAAGTGGTAGCGCAGTCTGAATCTCTGACCTCCGCAATATGGCGACTGCGTAGACAAATCGAGAACGTATTTCCGTATCTGTGGGTTTGAGTGTGAACCTTTCGCTGCGTCACCCACTGGTTTGTGGAGAGCCGTTTTGAAGCCTCGAATTCAGCTTTTATGCCGCCGCCATGGCGGTTTGTCAGAGCCAGCGGAGGTCACGTACTGCGAGTTGAGCTGCTCTCATTGGCTGCTCTTGGTTTGGAAACAATGGCAATGACAAGTATTGCAGCCAGTGGAGCTCCCCCTGCTGGGCGTTACATAGACTGCAGGTTTATACAATGTGTGAACATGAAATATATTTATGATCCACCAAAAGACAACAACAACAACAACAACAGCACGTCGTTACCGTCGGTACAGAAATAAATATGTATGAATACTAAATTATCTCCTTAATGAGTTCAGACCTCTTTATCTTCTCATTAAATGTTTCTATTATGTAAATTAGTCGTTTTTTTCACATTTAAGAGTCAATTATTTGCTTTTCCGCCAAAATCTATAAGGGAAAGCTCTCATTTAAGAAACTGTGCTGCTGGCGGTGGATAATGAGGTTTTAGTTTCCTTCTGTAATTTCTTTATTTGAATATTTGTTGTGAATATTTTGAGTAGCAGCCAGTTGACTGACAGTGAGAAAAAGATAATAAAATGTCAAAATCTACATGAGCAGAGTGAGATTGTTGTTCAGTCAGTTTATTCTCTGCTGTGTTCAGGCTGTAATGGAGTCTGATGGTGTTTTTATGTCCTCAGCTGCTATCTGACAGAAGAAACATCAATATTTTCAACAACTGACAGAAGAGAAGGCAGAAAAATGTTTGTTTTCTTTACAGTGTGAAGTTTGGATCGGCTAGAAGAAGCTCCGGGAGTTTTTAAAGGTTATAAACGTCCATCAAAAAGGGAAAAAACCTGAATACCCTACAGTTAGTGTTTGGTTTGTCCATTCTGGGCTTCTGTAGAAACACGGCAGTTCAACATAGAAGTCAGCTGTAGATAAAAACACAGGAAGTCTCTACTGAGCATGCTCCATGGGCCAAAAACATGGACGTGACAGTGAACAACTTTGTGACTGAAGTGGGCGTCATATTTGAACCAATCAGCAGCCAGATAACGTTAGTGGCTGGGTTGCAGCTGGCTGGCTAACCTTAGCTTGAGTTTGCCGTTGGTCTTCGCCATGTTGGTTTTTTGCAGCCAGAGGAGGTGACGTACTGCAAGTTGAGCTGCTCTCATTGGCTGCGCAGGCGGCTCACCTGGTCACACACGATCTCGTGTTCCAGATAATCAGTAAAATATCTTTGTGAAAACTTTTGAGGAGAGAAATCTGTCTGAGCAACGGTGGCGGGATACGTCCAGGTGACTCACCTGTCCCAGCGTGCACTCCACTGAGCCCAGGAAGTCGGCCTCCTTCAGGCCGTTGTGGCTGCTGTTGTTGATGTCGTACAGCTCGAAGCGTAGACGCTGCACCTCTTCAAAATAAAAGTCCAATGTGAAAACCTTGGAGTAGGTGGGGTTCACGCAGCTGCGAATCACCTCCGTCCGGTCCACCTGCAGGAGAAACAAACAGTTACACTTCCTGAAACGAAACCGAAGGAGTTCTGGGCCACAACCTGCACTCGACAATGGGAGAAAGTTTTAAACAATTCTGTCTTTAATATATTTACGTCTTTAACAACCATACATACGTTTGTTAATTTAACTCAACAAATTGTTAGAACTGATTACATCGAAAATTTGAACTCAACTCAATTTGCTAAGTCAAAGAAACATTCTTGATCAAGTAGCTTCAGTATTAATTATTATTAATTTTAAATGACTGACTTCCTGTTGGGTTTGGAGTTTGATGCATGTACGTACTGATTCTCATACATATCGGTGCTGTAACACGTACATTTTCACCCCTGCTGACATGTTTGCCATGTTTCATGAGTTCAGGAGCCTGTTTATGCCTTCTGTGCTTCTTTTGGCAGAAGAAAAAATAAATTGCTTGCTTTACAGTAGGGTTCTTGTAGAGGTCACAAGAAAACATTGCGTCGTGGTTGATTGACAGGTGATTTCTGACTAGTCTTTTTATGACACAAAGGGCACATGAGAACCCAACAAGTCCTTACGGGTGATGGAGCGCTGACAGAGAGAAAGCAGTCGAGGTGTAAATCAGCAGTAATCAGGCCGCAGTGCTAACAGACAGATGGCGTTCAGGCTGGAGCTCCTCAACCACGTTTCATTAAAGTCGCTCTAATTGGATCGTTTAAAGTTTGTCTGAGTCAGCTGAAGGGAACCTGCTGGTCCTCCCGCTGACCCTGCTGGACATTTATGCTTCTTCTGTTTATGTGTGAAGATGTCAGCCAGACTCCGAGAGGACACAGAAGAAGAGATCTGGCAGCAGAGACGCTCCACAGCGACCTGCTGACTTTAACTTGAGCCACAGCGCAGTACGTCTGTTTAACTTATAATCACATCCATATTCAACAACAATGTGGACACTTTTTTACTTTTTAGGGCCGAAGCAGCAGCTACATAAAAGCTCCCTGGAGCCATGCCCGAACACAACAGGAAGTCTGCCATTTTGAATTTAATGTCCAATTTTTGCACCTTTTTGCTGTTTCCAGGGTTTGTATTTGAACAAACTCCTCCCAGAGAATTGATCATATGTACTTTAAATTTGGTCATTCCACTCTAAAGTTGTTCACAATGAAGAGTTACAGTCTAAGAAACAAGAAGTCTTTAACTTTTGTGTCCAAACAGCAACAAACTTCACGTTTGATATGTTTGAGTCCGGCCCTGAACACATCTTAATGCAAAGATTCAGATATAGTCATAGCGCCACCTACTGGCAACAGGAAATGACACGTTTTATACTTTCATGTTCTACTCATTGCAGGTTGATCAGATCCAGCTGAAATTTGGTCAGAAGATGTTTAAGACGTTGATGATCAGAATCAGAAATACTTTAATAATCCCAGGGGGAAATTATTTAATGATATGATGATATCTTATTAATCGTTGAACCGTGTTGCCGTGCGTTGGAGCACAAACACATGTTTTGTTGTTTTGTGTATCAGCAGCAGTCACATATTTCCTCCGGAGGATCATTACACCTGATCACTGACAGTGAAGGTCAGACTCTGGTTCCTGACTGCAACCTGGAGAGCCCACCTCGGCCGGAACTCCACTTTTTAACAAGCCTGAGAGGAGACGACAGCGACAACAACGGCAGGAAATGACAGAAAATAGCTCATTTAGCACATCATTAAAAAACTGTGACTGGTTCTTCTAAAAGCTGCCGACGGCCCTGCAGACTGTCAACAAGACACCGAAAGCCCTAAAGAGCTAAAATGTGCAAACAGAGCAGAACTGACAAAGAAAGTTAACATTTATAATCTCAAACATGATGAAGTTAGACAACAAAATGACTGAATCATTATCCCCGGATCTCAAAGCGTCAATGTTTCATATCAACGATGGTCACAAACTCACACAGACTCCAACCTGTTCTCACTCTGAACCTTTTCAGTGAACATTCCTGCATAGTTTCCTTTTCTATTATAAATTAAACAAAAGTAAAGAAATAAAGACAGCCTTGTGGCAAAAGTTCTGCAGACTCAGACCTCCATCAGCTTGTTTAAGGCAGATCAACAGTAGTGATTAGGAACCGTCAGCCGTTGCCAAGTTCAACCCTTTATTAACACTCAGCAACCATGGGTCCCTCTCGCTGCTGTGTAAGACTCAGAAACTGAAAGTTATCGATGCAGGAGAAGACCTCAAGAAGATAGCGAAATGAAAAGCACACCTCCACTAACTGTAAGTATGGCATCTATCATGTTTCATGGTTGTGTTACAGCCAGTGGCTCAGGAAACATGGATTCCATTTAATACAGCAACTCCTGGAAGCAAACATCAAACAGCAGCTGTAAGAAAAATTGAAACTGAAAAGAGGAAAGCTTCCACAACAGGACGCGTTGGACCTCATGGAAATAACATTTTATATTCTTATCTGAACTTTCTCATTTGTCTGAGTGTGCCACGTCAGATTCAGCAAAGGCTAACTTCCGATGAATGCCACAGGTGCATAATGGAGCATAACTAATACCCCACATAACAACTGCCCTCCCGAGGAAGTTCATTCATAAAAATTATGCAGAGGAGTAAAAAGAGGAAATTTAAAAGCTTGGAGATGGAAGTCCAGCTCTCTGAGATCATTTTAACAGCAGATTGATGATACGTTTTAGGGTGGAGGAGCTCATTAATGATATCGTTAGGCTGTATGGTCATTTTAGAACTGTATTATAATTCAAACTGTGCACTCACAATAAATATGATGTTTAATTTACAGAGGAGGCTGAAAGAAAATTCTAAATGAGGGAAAATCAATAAGAGTATATTGGTGAAGGTGAAGCCACTGACGAAGGAATAAGTCCGTATGAATGTGAGGAGTTCAGGAAGTGTTACAGAAACACAACAATGTGACTTTATTCAGATTGAAAGAGCTGTTATCACTGTCTTTTTCACATCTTCTCTAATGAAGCACTAAAAATATCAAATATATTGAAAGAAATGATGTTAAAAACACATTCATACATATTTTGTGTGTGAGCAGAGGATTGTGGGGGTTGTGTGAAACTCTGCAGCGAGGTGTAAAGATTCAGAGTTAAAGTCGGTTTCCTAATGAGATCTTTAATGGAGACAAAAATACACAAATCACACGTCACAGAATCCGAAATATCCCTTTAATCCGAATCTGTTCAACCAACGGAGAATGAACACGCTGACATCGTGTGTGACCTCTGACCTCCTGTCACTTGTTCCTGTCAGATTCAGGCTGATGTAAAGGGGTGAGGATGAAAGTGGGACGAAACGCAGGGATAGAAGAAGAAGAAGAAGAAGAGAGGAGTTTGTGTCCGTGCGGACGCTTCGGCGGCGTTTCCACCAGACGGCTAAAAATACTCCGAGACATAAAGTGGGGCAACAGAAACCAGGTCTGACCGATCACACAAACAGAGGGAACAAAACACTGAAACACAGCCGCAAAATTCAAAAAGACACAGAATAAAGTTTTATAACAAATCCCTTTAATACATTTATTGATTTTTTTAAATATAACTTTGGTCAGTGCAAGAACAAATCTTTTTCCAGGACCTTTCCAGGACATTTTCCAGGTGTTTTTTCTTGACAATACAGGGCAGCACTCGTTCCCTTTCATGACGCTGTTGCTGTTCTCACCACAGCCGATTTTTCTGAATAGACCTTTTTCACAACACCCATTTTGACATGACGAGTTGAACAGATTAAGATTATTTGGTCATTGTAAGCAATTTCAAGGGTGATTGTAAAACAAGTCTCTAAATATCCAGGTTTTCCAGGATGCGTGGGATCCCTGGGTACTCTACGCCAAGCCCCGTCCCCTTGTGGGCGAAAGCAGAAATACAGAAACACTGGTTGATGACTGCTTCCATCACAGTGGACCAACCTGACACACACAACTACCTCAGGGATTATTATTAAGCTCACCTTTCAATATTTAAGAATGAAACTAGATTTTATAGAACAGAATATATTACACACATTCAGAGTTCCTCACAGTCGTATTTCTGTTGGATTCCAGCTGCATTTTGTTAATATTCTTCACAACAGCTAAATCCACTCTGCTGCCTTCAAATGTCAAACCTGACCGACTAACTGCCGCTCACACTGAAGATCTGAATAAAACCAGAGATCAATGAACAACGTGAGGGACAGAGGACGATGATACGACTTTAATAAATGCAGCCATAGAGCAAAACATCATCCACCATAAAACCAGACCAGACTGAACCACAGCAGAGTTCCCGTCTCAGCAAACTCCTAAAATAGTTTGTGTAATAGCGTTTTTGTTTGTATAATTCATTAAAAATCAAAGGCAACTTGTTCCAATGCGAATAAAATCTCTAGTAGTGTGGTGACATTTTGTGCGGGGGACTGCTGTGATTGGTGAAAGTCGTGGGAAACTTCGGTCAAATGGTCAAATTTTCACAGTAATACCGCTCACCTCCAATCTCCAGAGACAAAAACACTCATTTTCCCTTCAGATCATCGCAACTTCATTCAAAGTGAACAGAAACAGAATCAAACTGATTAAAAGCGTCTCTGTTAGTGTTTCCAACAATCACCAACTCTGGTTTGGTGGAAATAAATCCTTAATTCACCGACGTAGATGATAAAAACAGCAGTTTCAGTCGGAGCAGACCGGCTATGGAAACAAACCACAGAGAGGCTGCGATACAACACAGGCAGAGGGAGAGACACCATGTGACTCTGTGTCTGTATATAGAGAACAGCTGTTAGCTGATTTATTAATGTAATTTCATATAAAACCTTTTGGCAGCTGGAAACAGAAGCAGACAGTAAATGTGCTGTAAAACCAAAACTAGGAGCTAAAAGACACAAAAGCTGAGAGTTGGTGAGAATCTGCTGATATTAAAAGATCAGTGTTTCCCCTGAGGAAGAGGAGGAGAACCTCTTTGATGTGACAATATCTCACAGCAGCTAATGAGGAGGCGGATGAGGTTTTATTGTGGCATCCTGGTTCAGAGGTGGTGTTTGCTGTGTTTCCTCTGATGAGCGGACAGACTGTTAACACAGATATCAACTGTTTACTTCTTTATTCCTCAGGGCAGAACTAGTAAAAAATCTTTTCTAATTTGGTCCTAATTTGCATGAAGATAGAGAGATAATGATGTGCTTGTATTAAACTGCAGGTTGAGATCAATCGAGGTCAGAAGTTTTTTTACTTGAGAAAAAGGTCTGAAACCTTCAACTTCCTCCTTTCCTGTACTTAGATATGCTATGTGCTAGGCTAATCTATGTTGATAAAACAACTTGTTTTACAAATTGTCAAAAGATAATATACTTCAATTACTTCAATTACTTCATTCTGTTTTTAGCTGTTAAATTTGTGTTTGTAATTTGTGTGAACTTTTGTTAAATTGCAGCCATTAAAGCGACTGACTGTTTCCACTGTGGCTGCTCTTTAACCACTGCAGAAGAAGAAGTGTTTAGCAGTGTATTGGCAGTGTGTTAACCACCATCATGATTCAATCAGAGCAGGTTGGAGGACACTCGCTGGCCGTTTGGACTCGTTTCCTCCTCCAGGCTTCAGATCTTTGAAACAAACAGACGCCAGCAGAGAATTATGTCACTTTGCTCCTTCATCAGCTGTCGTGCCGGTAATGAACCTAAGCAGCTTCCAGACAGTTCATCTCCAGATGGCTGATAACAGAGAGAGCGGAGGGAGGAAGAGGGGAAAGCCTGAGGATCAGCTGTGTTTTCACTCGTATTATCGCTGTCGGTGAAGTAAACAGATGATGTGTGAGAGGATAAAGGCTCAATTTAATATTGGAAATAATCATCTGACTATATTTTAATTTTAAACTGGAGAATTCAGATTTTTATACCTTAAATATGAAGGTTTTTTTTAAACGTTTTTTTTTTGGCCTTTTATTGCCTTTATTCAATAGAGACAGCTGAAGATAGACAGGAAAGGTGGGTATAGAGAGTGCGCCCCAAACTTTCTACCTCTTCTCCACTACACTGTAGAACTATTACTTTATTTCTCTTTTTTCTGTATTTTTTTAAATACATGGAAATATTAACACAATTACAAAAATAGCCTGTGAATTTACATGTCTCATGTAAAATAATGTGATGTGAGAAAATGTCCTTTTTTTCACATTAAAAGAAGAAGTACATTTGTAAAGCTATAATTTTTTCCCCAGATATTTACTGTTTATTTAATAGATTAAACTGTTTAAGTTCTATAACTTTTAAAATTCAGATTAAAATTAAAGCTGCATGCAGTGATAATTGGGTCCTCTGGTTAGACACATTTAAACAAAATTTTACCCCGTTACTACACAGCAACAGAGAAGACCTGGTTAGATGGAACAATCTCCCACTCTCTTTAATTGGCCACATTTTCAGTGTGAAAATGAAAATTCTACCAAAAACAATTTTATTTATTATATTATATATTATTTTAATAATTATTTGCCATGACTCCTCTTAATCCTCCCCTGGGCTTATTCTCCTCTCTAAATTCAGCGGATAATGCCTTTTACTGTAGAGGCAAAAGGCCCAGGATCAAATTAACTGCACTCTAAAAACCCAAACAATATGGTGGACTTGATGCACCAAATTTTGACCACTACTTCCTCTTCAGCATATTCAACACTGGACAAATAATCTCAATTCTGCTTGGCTCAATATTGAACAGTCCATCTGTAAGGATCTCCCCATTCAGCATATTGCATTTATAGACAAATCAATCAACACTCATAACTGCTTCAAATTTGACACTTAAATGATAAATGGCCTTTGTACTCCTTCGACCGCTCAAAGCGCTTTTACACTACACGCCACATCCGCCCGTTCACACACATTCACACACTGATGACACAGCAGGGAGCAATTTGGGGTTCAGTATCTTCCGATTAGTGGACGACCCGCTCTACCTCCGAGCCGCAGCCGACAGATGAATGAACTCTTTATTGCCGCAAATGCACGGAGCTCAGCCAAATGATCTTGCTGTTGATTCCCCAAAGCTGTCACGGCTGACATACAATGGTTTGAGATGGTGAATCCACTGAGTTTCCACAAGGGAGCCAATGAGTGTTTTTTGCACGGCTAAGTGACAAATTTCTGAGTTTGTAATGGGTGCTTGACTTTACACAAGCTACATACAAAGAAATCTGTTGAACACATTGTTCCTTTATAGAGAACTAAATAAAATGCAGTATCATTAAACAGCTGTGGTGGAAAGGCTCGACGATTGCCACTGAAGCATCAGATCACCAAAATGTACCAGCGTATGCAGCAGAGAGTGACTGTGGACGACACTGAACTCAGCAAACTTGGGATTCCCATCCTGTTGCTGACAGAGACAGGAGGCCCTGTCAGCCAGAAATGTGACAGATAGAGGTTTGGCTGTCCTCCGCCGTCATCGAGTGTTTCTAGCACCGGCAGCAGAGCTTCCAGATGAGAGACCGCACACCAGTCGACCTCAGATGCAGAATGAGGTCACTCCATCTTTGGCAGGGACCAGACAACTAAAACAGAGGATCGACCCCTTCACTGCTGCAGACTGCATCTATATACTGCGCTGATTTCCCCTAAAATTACTTGGCAGCAGTTTTAGGTGCTGCTCTGCTGAAGAGGTCCTAAGGTTGTATCTGAAAATGAGCTCTTTAACCCTCAAGACAACCCTCTAATGTTAATGCTCAAATGGAATTATAGTTCAAACCAACTTTGTCATCTTACAGTGTAAGTAGTAGTAGACACCACACATCACAAACAATATGAAAGAAGTCACTATAATACACAAAATAACATTTGTGCTTGCAGCAAATACTGGTACATGATATATAAACACATCGAATAATAAGAGAGACCAGTATTAAGATGTCTTTCTTCTGGATTTACCTCATCAGGGCAGGAATAAATTGAGAGTAAGTGTGCTCAGTTTACCGTCTATGTGTTGATAATTGAACTAAGATCATTCTAGCTTGATCACCAGGGGGAGCCACTTCTTGCATTGTAATGTTTTGTAACAACAACTTGACCGCTAGAGGGAATCTGGGTTACAGATATGACTTTTTGATACGTCTGAACATGATCTACATGTGCACCACTTTTGATACTGATCGATAGGGGGGCACTGTCAAGCCATTTTACTGTGCATATGTTCGAGACCCATAAAATTCCAGGATTTTGTGTACCGCGTTTCATGAGATTCACATTTCAGAGTAGAGCATGTTACAGCCTCCAAAAATGCTATTTTGCATTAGCAATAATAATAATAATACTAATAGTTCCTTCAAATACAATACTTTGTTAGTGCTCGGCCCTAATAATAAAAATCAAATAATAACTGTAAAATTGAAGCCTGATTATTTGGATTATAGCACTGTTTGCTGTATTTATAGCTCATTATATTGTTTTTACAGTGTAAATCTCTTTAATTAAACAAAAGACAAAAAATTACACAAGAATTTATGTAAAATTAAAGTGAAAAACATATTTTCTACAAAATTTCTGTATTTCTTACAAATCCATTTTTTAAAGCTCCAGCTGCTGAAATATTACAGTGTTTTTTTTGTTTTTCTATTACAGCTTTTAAGTAATGGAGTCAGTGTGTTGCTCCAAATGCGCTTTTTGTGTTCAGGTGCCAGAAACCATCGGTGCAGTTGCCACGGCGACCTACCTCCATCCACTGTCCGTGGGACTGCATCTTAAGGATGACGCAGGGGTCGGGTTTGGACAGAGCGTCTCGGTCCGAGATCCCTTTGCAGGTGAGCATCAGCTCCACCTTGGTGAGGCAGGGACTGCTGAACAACCCCAGAGAGTTGGCCGCTGACTCGTAGATGTCACTCATGGTGGGGGGGCAGGACAGAAAGTCTGCAGAGGTCAGAGGTCAAAGGAAGGAAGGAGAAAAATTTGTCTGTCAGTCATTTCTAGTGGGATTGTTGCAGCCTAAAATGTCTGATTTCACGACAGCTAAATCCTGATAGTATTACTGTGAGGAAAAAAACGAAACCCTGTTAACTTAAATGAATTTATTTTCTCCGATTTATAAAGTATTTAAAATGTGTTCATTGTTTTACTGATGATGAAGTTGTGTTACAATCAAACGTATTTCTCTTCAAAATGGCTGCTTTACCTGTTCAAGAACATGTGAGGTGATGCAGAAACAGCAGTAAAAACCGTCAGGAACGTTCATTTATTTATGCAGACTGTGAACTGTGTCGACATGGTTATGAGTGGATCCCCAGAAATATGTGAAACTCTGTGTTACAGGATATTATAGATCCAAGATCAAATGCAATTACAATCCATCTGGTACCACAGACATCGGCATGGAGTCCAGTTACTGACGGTCGGACGCTGTAAAAACAATCTTTACAGATTCCTTTCTGTATTTTTGAATACATGGAAATATTAATACAGTTACAGAAATAGCCTGTGGATTTACATGTCTAATGTAAAATAATGTGAAAAATCTGTGACTGTAAATAATCGTAAAATTACTGCTTATTTATCATATAACATAAACCATCAAAAAAAAAAAGTTTAATACTGTTAATACATTTCTAAAATTAGTGCCAATTAACAGTAAAAATAAATGTGTTCTGTAATGGATGTATGGATTTATTTGTTGATTGACTGAAAAGTTTTCACAACAAAACTGTTGAATAAATGTTGTATAAGCATTGGGAAACTGTCAAAATACAGTGATTTTTTATAGATATTTTTACCAGTCAGTTATTTTCTGTTCTTTTACTGTATTCGTTTTGGTGCTCCAGCTGCTGAATTATTACAGTTTTTTTCTGTTTTTTACAGTGTAACCTTGGAGAGACCTCAGTCCGATAGAGAATCAATGAGTCCAAACAACCCCTCTGCCCCTCATTGTCTGAGGCAGAGTGACTCGTCACAATGTCCTGCTGATGGAGGGATGAATGTGAGCTTTAATAAAACCCTTTGCAGCCTCTCTGACAGATTATATCTGATTTACATTTTATAATTGCACAGAAATGTTTCCTGTCCGGATCAGAATGGATGCAACCAACAGCCAGAACGCTGAACGAGTGTTAATTAAATTAGAATAACAGATTATTTCACCCCAGTGTCACTTCATTCATTACATCCTTTTATTGCATGCAACATCTGATTATGTTGTGAAATAATTACCACATTATGTTCTTAACTATGTTCATTTGATTCTTTCATTCTGGGTTTATCTCATTTATACACACACGTCTCACATTGTCTATAATGGCCGACCAGCCAAACGGCCAAATACGAATGAATATTCGCCTCACGTCACTCACTTTGCCCTCTGAGAACATTAAACACCGTGAAGAATACCTGAAAATACCTAAAAAATGACTTTCTGTCACTGTTGGACAGAAACTGGAGGACAGGAAACATACAGAAGAGATAAAAACAGTTAAACAGTGGTTTTAAATAAAAGATCTCAGTGTTTTTTCCACCATAAGTTTTCTCATTTAGGATGTAAAGAGTACATTTTCGGAGATAAATTGCTCCACAGCAGCTGAAACTTGACGTTTTCTTCTTGAGGTGCAAACATTTCAGTGACTGCGCTCTGATTTGATACCGATCACACAGCAGCAGATAACCTCCTCCACCCTCACAGGAACCCATTTCTGCTGGCTCAGGAAGAAGCCCTCGTACCTCCCCCTCCACCACCACCAATCACTTCATCGCCTCCCTCCATTATCCCATCAGCAGCACTCTGCCTCATCTGATTAACCACCAGCAGAGCGAGGCTGCGGCATCCGGCCCCCGCTGACCGGCCATCAGTAATGTTCTCCACAGCAGGAAGTTACAGATATCGGCCAGTAAAGATATCCACCACACCGCCGGCTCCAGTTACACGAGATGTAAAGAGGAAGAGGTCTATAAACGGACCTCAGTTCAGTTCTTCAACTGTGGAGGGTTAGATATCACTGGAAGGTCACGAATACAGCGGATCTCTGCTCAAAGGCAATAAAAGTACAAAACTGCCTCCAACATATAGAGTTCATACCAGTGAGATCAATATCACTGATTACCTTCCACACAAAAATCTTTTCTCAGAGCTTGAGACTGAACGCATGAGCTAAAATAAACTCAATTTATCCATAATTTATCTGTACATTTATTTTACAGATTGTTTCTGTATTTTAAAATAGATCAAAAATATTAATAAAAGAACATAAAATATCCTGTGAATTTACATCAAAAATCTGTAACTGTAAATAATCATAAATTACTGCTTAAAATTACTAAAAAAAAGATTAAAATACATTTGCAAAGCTATAAAAATATATTTTAAAAATCGATAACCACAGATATTTACTGTTTATTTAATAGTTTAAACCTTAATTATTAACCTTGTTTGTGACAATTAACAGTAAAAAGTATTTGTTGTGTAATTTTAATGTATTAGTTAGTTAGATATGTTGTATAATGATGGAAGTTGAATAAATGTTGTTTATCAGTGTATAAGGTAAACTGTCCAGATACAATTACTGTAATCTCACAGATAATGACTTTTATTACAGTTCTGTAACTTTTAACATTCATATTAAAATAATAACAATCCAATAATAACAGCACTCTGCTGTAAATGTAAGTCTGATTATTGTATTATAGCAGAGTTCACATGTATTTATAGCTCATTGCATTGGTTTTACAGTGTAAATATCTTTAATAAACATTAAAAAGACAAAAAATCCACAAGATTTTATAAAAAACTTGAGCCAAAAATTTTATTTTAATCATGTAAAATTTATATATTTCTACGAGTGAAAGAATAATCAGCTAAAATAAACTCAGTTTATCTTTAATTTAGCATTCACAGAGAGAGCCCTTCGTTTCTCCATTCATTTGATAGGAAACACTTTATTTTGAAAAGCCTTTAATTAACTCATTGTAAATGATTTCCTTGTATATTTACAGGAAGTTATTGGCAGCGAGTTGCTGTATTTTGATTTACAATAAACTACTGTAACTGTACTGTAATGCAGTTTACAGTATATAGAACTGTATCACTATAAAACAGTATTTTACTGTATTTTTACTAGTAGGTTGTAATTTGGCCTATTTGTGCTGTATTTTATTCATACTGTAGTGTAATACATACCGTTATATTAATATTGATATATTACTGCTAATTGAAATAACTATAATATATGTTTATTTTATTATTTATTACTAATAAAAGCACTGAGAATGTTCAGACACTGAGAGTTTGGACACGAATGGTTTCCGACAGTAACTCCTTACTCTGGGAACAGCAGAACTTTAATAAATTAAAGTTACAAGACAAACTACTCTTCTGTTGTCAGCGTGGGTTCACATGAACTTAGATAACCGAGTTACAGTCGACTCTCTGCAGTAATCTGATGATTTAAACCCGGTTTCTTATCTCAGCGTGTCCTGGAAGAAAGGTCGGACAAACAGGATCGGACGGGAGAGAGCAGACAGCTCAGGTCTGAATCTGATTATATGTTCAGATCCTCGTTAAATACACTTTACTGTTTTCCTGCAGTGATGAGCTCATTTTGGTTCTTTAAACTTAAAATCTGTGTGCTGTACAACTGATAGAGGTTGTCTACCTGCCAGCAACGTGAATGAAATGTTGAGTTTTATGTTAGTAATGTACAGTATGCAAGTCAGACACTTCCCTGTGCTCATCAAACCATTGCACGACTTCAGTTCCTTCAGATCCAACTGGGGAAGCATAGACCAGTGACTATGACCGGAGAACGCACAGAAAATATGACCCGAATGTCCTAGAGGCAGGATGTAAGTATGGAGAACCAGCTTTACTTGCCAAAATAAAGGTTCAGCACACAGAAGTACAATAATGATAAGATCATGGATCCAAATCCAAAAAAACAGGCACTAATCCACAAAAACCAGAGTTCGACACACTCGTGGAACAAAGACCAACTGCAGCTGTGAGACACAGACAGGGCGCAGTGAGACAGGGTGCAGTAAGACAGGGCGCGGCAAACTTGTAATTTTTGGTCTTTTTAATGTTTAATTAAAGATATTTACAGTGTAAACAATGAGATATAAATCCAGGTGAACTCTTCTATAATATAATAATCAGACTTACATTTACAGCAGAGTGCTGTTATTATTGGATTTTTATTATTTTAATGTGAATGTTAAAAGTTATTGAAGTGTAATAAAAGTCATTATCTGTGAGATTACAGTAATTATTGCTGTTTACACTGATAACAACTGTATTTGGACAGTTTACCAATGCTTATACACTGATAAACAACATTTATTCAACTTCCATCATTATACAACATATCTGTCAGTTCACTAACTAATCCATTAAAGTTACAGAATAAATACTTAATGTCACAAATTTTTAATATTTTTAGAAATATATTAACAGTATTAAACTTGAATTTAACAGTTTAATCTATTAAATAAACAGTTTGTGCATCATTGTCCGCTATTAGCCCACATCCACAGGGACTGGATACGTGAGTGGGTGGGTGGGTGGGGGGGGGGTCTAACTCAATGATACTTGACCTCCCCCCCGAGATCTTCACACTGTGACATTTTTGTAGTCTTGTAAACTGTCTGGCAGCCTCGGTTTGTTCTGTTTGTGTTTTATTTGTATTGTTCTGTATACGTTTTCAATAGATCTGTGTTGCTGTACATAAAGCATTAAAAAAAGAAAGAAATGTAGAGTTTGGGTCCCCAGCATTTACAAATGACAGACGCTAACATGCATATGTTGGGTAGTTAGAATAAATAGCATAATCAGCTATATGGAGAATATTTCAGCTGCTGATTTGGACAATACAGGAGCAGTTTGGGGGTTATTGAGGATGCTGAAAGTACAAAATGGACGTTTAAACCAGAAGTGTCCATAGTTCAGCTCTCAGTGGGCTCATTTACAGGATTAATACATTGGAGCTGCAGTTTAAAGAAACCTCAAACACTGGATCTAGATCAGGCCTTTTGAGTTTTGCAGCCACCGTAGTTTCTCCTCCACACTTCACAGTTCTCAATCCCAGGTCGTCAAATAGTGACGCGAGCAGAGTTCAGTTGGTTGCAGTCTGCAGCGTCACCACTAGATGCCACTAAATCTACACTCTGAGCCTTTATGCTGTTGTAGTTGAAGTGATAACTGTTGCTGTTACCGCACAGATACTGCAGCAGGTTGTCTTATAAATGACAGATATTTGGGCTTTAAATGGTTCCCAGGTGGTAAAATGATTTAAAGATTAAAGTTAAATTGCAGGAGTGCTGTAAACATAATTAAGACCCATCAACCCCTGCAGACTCCTACTGTACACACAGTATGAAACCTGATCTATCGTTTGTGAGGCAGGAAGTGATTCTGCTGTAAACGGTGGCGAGCGCTCAGCAGGTGGAGGTTGGGAGGAGGTGCGCGGCGTCTCGTGGAGCCCCGCTGAAGCTTCACACAGCAGCTTTCAGCTGTTCAGTCAAGCGGTAGATGAATCCTCCCACCAGCTGAGGCTCGCCGCGCGCTGACATCCAACAGCAGATTAAAGAGCTGCTCATGAAAATCACATCACACAGATCCCTGTACAGCTGCAGCGCTACAACAGAGTTAATAATTCATGTCATTCAGAGGCTGTGCTCACTGTCAGCGCTGCTTTCTGGGTAACGGCGCCGGTTTCTGATCAGCGGCGGAACAAACACAATGTTTGTGGAGAACAACAACAACTATCAGAGCGTTGCAGAGGCCGTACAGAGACTGAGGAGTAGCTTGTTATCACGGTGGTCAAACACGGTACTGCAACTAAAACCTTGTGTCCGGGTTCGAGTCCGACCTGAGAGCCTTTGGCCAACCAAAGCGCCAAAACACATTCAACATATATTAAAATGTACAGAAGTGTAACAGAGACGTCTGTCCATCAACGGCAGACACTGTTCCCTCCAAACACTACAGTACCCATGATCCTCAGCAGCTGTTGCTAAAGCAGACGGCATCTTGTGATCAGCTGGATCGTCTCTGGTTGGTCAAACCTGAGGGATCATCACCATCATCATCATCATCATCATCATCATCATCATCATCATCATCATCACCACCTGCTGTAAAAACACCCGACACACCGGCTGCCTGTGAAACTGTGAACTACTGATGATCTGTTACTGAAGACAGATTTATTTACAAGCCTGGAGTCCCGCCAGTGATATTAAACCAGGCCAAAGTGCAATAACGAGGCAAACATATGTAAGAGTAATCAGCTCTCTATCTCCCCCTGGTGGCTGACTGCAGCTACAGCTGGTGGCTAATAACTGATAACAACAAGTAGCTAAGGCTATATTTCCATTATTAACTCGTTGCAACGTAACAAATTGAAGCTGATAGTGTTCATAGATCGCAGCCTGCAGTGGTCGCAACCAGCAACCAGTATCAGGTTCATTTTCTCCCCTTTATAACAACACAATGTGTGAAGAATTAAACGAGTTACACTCTGAACCTCTCAGTATTGTTTACCAGCAGATCTGACCTCCGCAATATGGCGCCCACTCAGACGCACGTCAAATCCAGAACTGTGTTTCTATAGTTACAGCCTTAAAGAGACAGTATCAGATGAATAAAGATCTTTATGAAGCTACTGTAGAGCACCGGTTCCCAACCTTTTTCCTTAAGAGAACCCTTTTCTATCATTTATTAAACTAAGTGACATATTTTATGTATATTTCATCTTACATTCAAAAACAACAATAATAAAAACAAACAGCTGATAAACTGAACAATGAACCTAAACAGAGAACTCAGTAACTGCAGGAAGTTTGTGTAAAACCAGAGATTTTGATTATTTTGAGCAGATTATTGTCTTTATTCTGTATTTTGATTATTTTTAACAATCAGACAGACTTACTGGTTCAAAACCAGATCAGTTTGTTTAACTCGAACATTATTGGAACTGATTACATCGTAACTTTTAAGCAAAACTAACTCAATTTTGTCATTTCTATTTGTATTGTGAAAACAAAATACCTATAATCAAAAAAGTATGTAATCAGGAAAGTATTTAAAATTAAAATGTTCGATGTACTCGGCCATTGTTCTGTTAGACAATTTAGTTTTCTTCACCCAAGTGAACCAGACTCTGAGATATCGGCCGACTGTGGATATATTATATTTATATATATATATATATATATATATATATATTATATATATATTTGATGTTTTCTAGCACAAATTAAAACCACCAAGGCCTCGCGCCCCCCTTTAAATGCTTTGAACCAGCGTCAGCCTGAGAATATAGAGCAATGAGCTGAATTGATCCACTTTAACTCAATTTGTGAAGGAAGAGGAAGTTCATCTGACCGTGATCCAGTTACAAATAGTTAGCATGCTAGGTGGCTAGAGCAGAACCGTTCTGAAACCAGTTCCAGTTGTTTGTCAGGTCACTGGGAAAACGTCCAGTCGCTCAGAAATAGATTTTTGTTTTATTAATGAAGTGACACAGATCTGCTTCCACAGAGAGGACTGAACTCACATCAGTGACTTTACGTGTTTTATACATTTAATCTACAAACAGACTTCAAATCTAAAAACCTGCAGACGCTCAAAGTTTCATCGCGAGCACGAAACCTGACTGCTGGTGAGTTTACTGACACCTGCTTGTTCGGAGTTGACAGATAACCTGAAGAAGATTGTTGCTGATATAACTGCAGACTAGATGAGAGTTCAGGTCTTTTGTGGGAAACAGACACAAAAGGAACTGATAATGCGACAGCGATCAGAAGACTGTCTGAAGGAAGAGAGTCTGCGATGTACGTCGATGTGGTTCCAGGATGTTCGGTGGCTGTCAGCAGATCCAGATCAGAGCTGCAGGTTTCTGAGCTGTCAGACGGTTTTTATCTCTCCTGCACAGACCTCCTGAGCTTTTTATCATTGTTCTTCATCACTGCATCGTCTCCAACTTATCAGCTCAACTTCAACACATTGAGACATCAGAACATTTGGTCCGTTTAAGGTCCAACAAAGAGACGTTTATACAGATGTTTCTAAAAGTGTGTGTCTAAAGTCCACATAAAACAGGAAGCAGAGAGCTGTTTGATTGACGGGTGAATATCAGAATATTATTGGTTGAAATCAGTTAGTTCATGCTGACGTAAGCACACGTCACATTTAGTTTTACAGGAAGACACAATGATTGGATTTAATATAAAAACACAGAGATAAATTGTTAAAACAATATAACTGAAGTTGTGATCTTAAAAGGTTAAAATGACAATAACCTACCGTTGATGGATCATTAGTTAAATCATTGTTATATACAAAGGAAGCTTTATGAGTGCTGACAATATTATAATATCAGTGAAAAGTCAGAAACATCCATTCACACCAGTTCTGTGTCTGTATGAACGAGTGAACGAGTGAACGAGTGAGGTTTCCTCACACAGCTCTGCTCTACTTATAAACCAGATTCAGAATTCCTTCACATTCCCAATCATACAACAGAGTCCGAACATACAGAGACACCAATCCATCAAAATCAATTCAATTCATCAAAATCAATTCAATTCATCAATTCAATTCATCAGAATCAATTCAATTCATCAAAATCAATTCAGAAATCACTGAGTCCTTCCTGTTTCCTCCACATTCAAATGGAAATGTATGGAATCAGTTTGTTCACCAAAATATTATCATATAAAACAATGAGACTGAAATCATCAGCCACTCAATATGTGTGTTCAATAACAACAATAACAACAATAACAATAATAACAATAATAACAACAATAACAATAACAGCATCAATATGAGATCAAACTCAGTCAGTTAGTTCCTACCTGCTCACAGGTGCATGAAGAAGAAGAAGAAGCTCCGCAGTGAGAAAAGCATCAGAAAGTTTCCAGTTTCAGCTCAGACGCACTGAACTGAGATCAGCTCCACGCTGACGGACACTCAGCTTCATCATCATCCTCCTCCTCCTCCTCCTCCTCTGGCTGCTGGAGAGCCTCTACAGCCTCCAGACGCCTCTCGCTGCTTTATAGCGGGGGAAGCCTCACACACACACACACACACACACACACACACACACACAGAGCAGAGAGGAGGAGGAGGAGGAGGAGGAGGAGGAGAGGAGAGCGGACTGCAGCGCCTCCTGCAGGCCAGGCACAGGAAGCACAGCCTGAAAACAGCAGCAACCAAACTCAGTTTACTGTAAAACAAACATCTGTTTACAAAGTTTTTCCTGTTTATTTTACAGATTTTATTAAATATTATAATAAATATTAATAAAAATATACAAATATCCTGTGAATTTACTTGTCTAATATAAAATAATATAAATAATAATACATATAATAATATAATATTTATATAAAAATCTGTAACTGTAAATAATCATGAATTTGCAAATCTATAATATCTAAATTTAACAGTTTAATTTATTAAATAAACAGTAAAAAGTATTAGTTCTGTAACTTTAATGTATTAGTTTATTAACTGACAGATATGTTGTATAATGATGGAAGTAGAATAAATGTTGTTTATCAGTGTATAAGGTAAACTGTCCAAATACAGTTGTTATCAGTGTAAACAGCAATAATTACTGTAATCTCACAGATAATGACTTTATTACACTTCTATAACTTTTAACATTCACATTAAATCCAATAATAAGGTTGTAATGCTGTAAGTGAGAACTGTCCTGATATGAGACTCATCATTAATCATTAAAGGGATATACCAAAAACACAAAAACTACAACTTGCAGATCAATTACCTGCTATATTTTAGAATGGATTATATTAGATTATTATTGATCGGATTGTGTTACGCTGTCCCTAATCAATAACACACCCTGAAGGAATGTGAGTAAAAAACGAGGCTAATGAATAAACAGTTGGTTTTGGTTGATGGTGACACTTTATAGATAAAGAAACACCATTTAAATCCAACACAGCATTCATATAATTATTAACATTAATAAAAACAAAGTGCACATTCAGTTGACTCTCTACAGTATCTGTAGTAGAACCACAGTGAGACCTAAATATAATACTAATACCTCCTTGTAACTGTCACTATTGTCTCTCTTAGACTCTACAGGAAACATATCACACTGACCAACAAACACATCCTACACACAGATCTACAACACGCTGACAATATAAAGATATTTTAAATGAAACTAAATGTTTCTTCAGCAGCAACAGTAATATTTTAAACAGCAAAGTCTCTATAAATTCTAATATTTCTAACAGAGCACCAAAGTAATAAAACCACAGAGCGAGTAAGAACCAATAAATAGAATAAAAATATTACAAATAAAAACATATTGTAATATTCACAAAAGCTTCTACCAAAATAAAAGTCTTTTAAAAGAGAGGTGTTAGTTTAGTATAAAGTATCTATCTCTATCTATTAATCTGTTTTTATTATTATTATTATTATTATTATTAGAGAAATGTATTTACAATCTTTATTTCTAATCACGTACATTTGAATTAAGATAAGATATTCCTTTATTTGTCCCACAACGGAGAAACTCCAATGTTACAGCAGCAAAGTGGAGAAAGAGAGAAACAATAAATAAAAACACTGAGAGAGAAAAACACAGTAAGAATCCACAAAGAGGAGCTGTAGTGATGATGAAGATGATGAAGATGATGATGAAGATGATGATGATGAATATTATGATGATGATGATGATGAAGATGATGATGAAGATGGTGATGAAGATGATGATGATGATGAATATTATGATGATGGTGGTGATGATGATGATGATGATGAATATTATGATGATGGTGATGATGATGATGATGAAGAATAAAGATGATGATGATGATGATGATGATGAATATTATGATGATGGTGATGATGATGATGATGAAGAATAAAGATGATGATGATGATGATGATGATGATGATGATGATGGTGATGATGATGGTGATGATGATGATGATGATGATGATGATGGTGATGATGATGATGGTGATGATGATGATGATGATGATGAATATTATGATGATGATGATGAATAAAGATGATGATGATGATGATGATGATGATGAAGATGATGATGATGATGATGAATAAAGATGATGATGATGAAGATGATGATGATGATGATGATGATGATGATGATGATGGTGATGATGATGATGATGATGATGATGATGAATAAAGATGATGATGATGAAGATGATGATGATGATGATGATGATGATGATGATGATGATGAAGATGATGATGATGATGATGATGATGAAGATGATGATGATGATGATGATGATGAATAAAGATGATGATGATGATGATGATGATGATGAAGATGATGATGATGATGATGATGATGATGATGATGATGAATAAAGATGATGATGATGATGATGATGAAGATGATGATGATGATGATGATGATGATGATGGTGATGATGATGATGATGATGATGATGATGAATAAAGATGATGATGATGATGAAGATGTGAAGATGATGATGAAGATGATGATGATGATGATGATGATGAATATTATGATGATGGTGGTGATGATGATGATGATGATGAATAAGATGATGATGATGAAGATGTGATGATGATGATGATGATGATGATGAAGATGATGATGATGATGATGATTAGAAGATGATGATGATGATGATGATGATGAATAAAGATGATGATGATGATGATGATGATGATGATGAAGATGATGATGATGATGATGATGATGGTGATGATGATGATGATGATGATGATGAATAAAGATGATGATGATGATGAAGATGATGAAGATGATGATGATGATGATGATGATGATGATGATGATGATGATGATGATGATGATGATGCTCAATTTGACCGGAAAGAGGCGCTGAAATCTTGGATTATTACCGCGAGCACTTTTAATTTGAAGGGTTCAACCGGAAGCTACGCGTCTTCCGGCTGACTTGACGTACTAAAGCGTAAATGCGGAAGTGGGAGTTGAGTCAGTTCAGCGCAGAAACAAAGCGACAAGTTGAAGTTTAACTTTAGAAGTGGAAACTTTAGTTCAGCTGCGACCTGAAACAAAGCCGAACAAAGCCGAACACAGCCGAACAAAGCCGAACAAAGCCGAACGGTGAGTTTATTCACTGATATTTAATGTCTTTATTTCCTGTTGTCTCGAGAGACTTTAACAGATTCAGGCCACCATTAAGGGTCGATGCCTCTGCGCACTCTCCACTGCGCAGCCTGCCAGACTGCCTTCAGATTCTGCCTGTTTACTCGTTAACGTCGTTTCTTTAGAAGAGCGGCGTTTTATCCGAGGAACACGTGTTTAAAACTTTGTTACACTTTAATAAAAGTTCTGTTCTTGACTTCGGCGCCACTCACACACACCCAGCACCGCTCATTGGACGCGGTCCGGTCGTTATGTCGCCTGGTATTCCCCTCGGAAGTAGTTAGGAAGCGCTCAGCGAGTGGCGGCGGAAAGCAGCTGAAACACTAATAAAACTGGACATATCGCTCAAATAAGTTGAGGCAGGCCATAAAACGTAAGCCGAATCTACCAGAACACACTAATGTTTATGTTAAAGACCCACATTACGTTCTGCAGTGGTTCTGTGTTTGACTGTGGCTAAAAGGTTCTTAAATTACCGAAGTTATAAATAAAGTTTGGTTTTACAAATTCGTAACAGATGGCAAAAGGACAGATGACCCACAGTTAGTTTTATTACCACCTTTAATGACTCTTATCTGTGTTTGCTTTGTATACCTGCGCTCCACCTGTGCATGTGCATTAGTTTCACTTTCACTCACTATAATAAAGTCCTAAATGTGCTGTGAATGTAAAGCTCATCACACTTTATAGCACAGTTTAATTATGGGTTCATCTGCTGAGGAGTTTCTCCATGAATCCATTAATAGTTTGCTTTGTAGAAATCCTCTCAATGCTCCTCAGAAAGATCTCAGATACATCCAAATTATTCAAAGGACAAACAGCAAATCTTCTGTTGATATGGTAAAAACTGTCAGCTGTAGTTCCAGTTGTTAAAGGATATATACTTTGTTTAAATTGTTTTTAAAACCGTTTTTACAGTGAATGAGCAGCCAGACTCTAATAACCCGTCTCTATTATCACAGAACTAAAACTCGGACTCACACATTGTGAAGTTGGAATCTGATTAATGGACTGATGCTTTCAGCTGCTCTCGTATAAACTGTACAAATCTCAGTTTAAAGAAAGAAAGAAGTAAAGTCCAATATTTAGAGTATAAAGACTTGTGTAAAGTAAAAGTATCTCTAACTTGTACTTGAGTAAATGTACTTAGTTACTTCCTGCTGGTGTCTGTGGAGGTCTGTAGTCAGCTGATGTGTGAACAGTGTGTAACTGTGCTTCCTCTGTTCAGCTCCATCATGTCTGCACCTCAAGTTTACGCCGCCACGACGACGCCGAACCCCAAATCCTCCTGGTTCCTGGTTCCGTCAGCCAGTCTGGATAAAAGTCGCTTTGTGATCAAAGTCCTGGAAGTGGTGAGTTCAAAGACCCCGAAACCTTCGTATTTCTGACACCTGACAAACTGAGCTCGGTGAATCACCGTGGAGATGGATTCAAACAGTCGGTGGTGGTTTCCACAGAGAGGACAAAGACACAGGAGCTGATTTCACTGATAACTCAGGTCAACATGTTGAGTCAGCTGTGACACCTGAACGCCAGCCGGTACAGTTCAGTGTCCGAACGCCAGTCAGTAAGCCAGCAGGCGAATTTCAATGATTAAAGAAATATCTGAAAGATACATTGTTTAAAAGTTGTATAAATTATTGGAACCAAAGAGAGAAATGGTCAAAATAAAACCATTCATTGTTGAAAAAGTTAGCTAAAAAAAAAATTTACATTTTCATCTAATAATGAACGAATGGCTAAAATATTTCAACATGACACATAAAGTCGTTGAAGTAAGTTAAAATGTACGAAATATTGGAAAACATAATGTAAAAATGGAGGCAGGTGGACTTTAATGAGGTTTTAACAGCCATCCGTGGTGTATGGTGACGAATATCGCACTGCGTCGGGGCTCTTTCCATCGACGTGCTGATGAACATTTAACAGCAGGGTGACACTGAAGGTCTGCAGAGGGACACACACTCCTTCAGTCTCCTGCAGACACCGTTTAGACTTAACTATAGAACGGTTGGTCAACACATCCTGATCAATAAATATCTGTATCAGTCAGACTCGAATATGTCGTCTCATCATCCATTGTTTAAATCTGTGAATAAAAGGTCATTTATTATGTCATTAAACAGCTCACCACAGAAAGTTATATTATATATATATATACATATATGTTTAAGTTTTTTTAATATATTGAAATAACTGCACATATGCATACGACCAGTTATTTATAAGCATATAAAATTAAATAAATAACAATTAAAAACCAAAAACAGGCAGAATCTCCTGATCCAGTCGATTCAAAATAAAATCCGATCAAACATCATCCAATGAAGTTGCAGCTAAAAGTAAACAGACTGAAAGTGTTGGGATCTTCCCACGCTGACTGTCTGCAGGTCTCTGCAGGTTGATGAACCACAACAAACCGGACAAATGAGTCTGAGACCAAAACAACGGCAACTTCAAAATACAGGCTGCGCTCCACAAACAGACCGACGCGGGACCAGTCGGACCAGCAGAACCAGGCTCGCAGTCTGTGGTTGGTTAACAGTGTCGTGCTGTGAGTAATCGGAGGGGAAACAGTCATAAATATATTTTATATCACAGCGTCAGTCCCCACTGAATGTTCAATAAAACCTCCTTAAAGCTGTAAAACACTCTGCTGTGTTCATGTGGACGGGTTACGAGGACAGTTTCCAGGTCTTTAGTGTTTCTTCTCGCTCAGCACACAGACACCAGGACAACAGCTTCAGCTGTATCACGGTGTATCCAGACCATCAGTGCTGGTGGATATAAACCCTCCTATAAAGGATGGTCTCCACTTCTGTATCCCGTAACCCTCTCAAGGACCCCACAATGACAACCACTGACGGTAACATCCCAGTGAACCAACGCCTGCTGCTGCTCGACAAAAACACTCAATCTAAAGACTGTTATTATCCGCGGCATTGTTTCAGTTCGTTTTAGAGTTTAGTTTGTGTTTCACAGCAGGTTTTAGTTTAGTTGCAGTAAAGGGTGTGTGTGTGTGTGTGTGTGTGTGTGTGTGTGTGACCCCGCTGTGACTGGATCTTCCTCATCCTGCAGCCTTTCAGGAAGCTGTAGACGGGGAAGTGAAAGTGTTGCAGCACTGAGTGTTAGCTGTCGTTAGCAGATCTCAGAGCTGCTGACCCTCCGCTGTTGCAACAGTTAACAGATGGGTTGGGGGGGGGCTGGGGGTCTGCATCCGGCTGCATGCTCCCCACATTACTACTGAGCACACACACCAAGTACTGCTCTATAAATGCTGTATATCCAACAGTTTAATAAACTAAAACATCATAAAATGATATTTTTATACAGAGAAAATCTTTGTGCTTCAGTTCGAGTTTCACCCCATGAATACGCTTCAAAGTGGTATGAACACAAATAAATTAAACTTAGATTACCGTAAAACTTCCAATAAAAGCAGGGTCTCTAATAGACACAGGTCTCTTTTAAAAGCCTTTTTGACAAATAAACGTCTCCAATAGAGGCCTGGTCTGGATTTTAGAGAAATTATCTCGCTGTATAAAACCTCTTAAAACCCCCCAGGTCGCCTGCTTGAGCGAGTTTTAGGTCGTTTCAATCTCCTACACAAATATAAATGTTTAAACTTCTGTCAGTATGTACATAATGAACATCATTAGATCGGTTATAGATTCTCCACAATTCAATCTTTCACTATATTTTACGAAAACAATCAACAAAGTTAATTCATTCTGACTTACTGGTAACACGGTAAACAAGAGAGACGGAAAGAAACCTCTGAAGCATCATAATCATCATGTTAGTTGTCAAATTTAATGAACAAACCTCAAGAGAAGCAGCAGTTAGTTTAGTTTTGTGCTAAAGGCATTAAAGGCCTGTCCCAAATAAAGGCTGTCCCCAAGTTTTACGGTAAACTCTATTATAACCCCCCCTTGAAGAACAGTTTTTGAATATTTCTGAGTAGTAGATGACTTTTTGCTTTGTACATTATTTGTGTTAAATTCTACCAGCTCCATAAACTTAAAGGCGTTTGGCTTTTAAAGCCGACATTATGAACAGTCTAGTGGCTGTAGGGTGGAAGTGTTGCCCCGTACCTCCACACAGTCGGCACCAGTGAACAGTTGCTCACACATGTTTAATGTGAGGTTTCTGGTTTATTATCACACCTACAAATTAATTTTCATATCATATTCAGAATCAACACCATCTGTCCTCACTGCTGTCCGTCCTACACAAGTCTTTATTTTAGTTTCCAAACAACATAATCTTTGTTCAAATTGAATGAATATTTGTCAAACCAGCTGTTTAATGTTCTCATTTCTGACGTGATCTCCTCTCTTTAGCTAACATTATCTTACTGAAGATGTGAATATCTTTAGTCTTTTCAGCATAGATTAAAGGAGGAGGTTCTGACGCTAACTCAACTGTGATTGGAGCACAGAGCAAAGGGGGCGGGACTTTGGAAGGGTGAATTAACTGTTAATGAATCCTTATAATTCTTCCTAGTTCCTCAATTCAAAGCTCAATTTGTCTCAAGTTTGTTTTCCCCAGTTCAACCATCTCTGACCTGTTACTGTCCGCAGTTATTCATGTCTCTTAAGAAGTGACAGAATCATAAAACATAGTTCCTGATTTACTTCCTCAACAGAGAAAAATGTCCTGAATCTGGTCGGGCTGATGATGTGGTTCCCAGATCTCTTCTGAGAAGAGGCTTCACGTCTGCTATGACTTCTGCTTAAATAAATGAAAACTAACGTAGTTTCTCACACAACACATTCAAGTTCCTTTTATTGTAGGGGATTATTCAGCTCTTTCTTAATGCATGCTAACAACAATCACCACTGTGAGTCTGAAACAGGAGGCCATACAATCCAGACCAGATCCTCTAGTTTCCATCTTAAACATTAAGATTATGTTTCCTCATATGCACTGCTTCCTGTAATAAAACAGGCAGTTAGAGAGGGATATGTCACAGATATTGATTGGCATTTACGGCAGCCAATAGCAGCTAGCACTATGAGCTAGCATCAGCGTCTACCTTTCAGTGAGCACAGCCGGACCCGGGACTGAGTCAGTGGCTGACTGAGCTAACGGCAGTTAGCATCAGGAAACAAACAATTCAATTAAACTGTTGCGACCTAAAATGTCTCCTTTCATGTCACCATGTTTTCAGGCTCTGATTTTGCAATGAAATATTGGGAGAAAGTGGAGCAAAACATTGATTCACCAAACTAGAACATTTAAAATCCCTGAAAGGCTCAGCCATAGATGTCTGTAATACATCGGCCCTCAGAAACACACGGTCAGAAGACAGAAAGCATTTTATTGGACATAAGTAAGACATAAAGTTTTAAGATATTTGTTAACCAGTTACAAACGATAGGTGACACCCAAACACGAACCTATAAGACTCGTTCAGCTTCATCTAAATATAGTATGCACTGATTCTGATGACAAGATTAGATGAAATATGTGCAAAAAGTCAAATTTAAAGCACTGACCTATGCCCTGTATCTGCAGCATTGACCTCTGCCATGCACTCCTAGTGCAGGAAGTGAAGTCATCACCAACTTGTAGTTTTTCAGGAAACTCTAAATAACATAAAGAATACCTGAAAATACCTAACAAATGACTTCCTGTCAGTGTTGGACAGCTACTGGAGGACCGGAGACTCGTATAGGACAAATGAGATAAAATTACTGACAAGTTGATTTTGATTTCACAGGAAGCTATCCTGTGGCATTATGGGATATGTAGGCTCCAGTGTGTCCTTTTAACAGTCAGGTGTTAATGAGCAGCAGATATTTAACACACGCCTGCTGAGTGCTTTGTGTCCCGATGCTTCAGAGGAGAAATTCCTCTAAAACTGCAATAAATGAACCTGTACATGAATCAGAGATGTAAATACTCCAAGGCTGCAGCTCTAAAGTTCGGGCGGGAATCGAACTCTCAGCCGGGCAGCAGTTGGTGTGTTGCTCTGCACCACTGCAGCCGCTCCAGAGAGACTCTGAGTATATTGTGTGTATTTTAAACTCTGCTGACGTCAGACGCTGTTATTTTAGCTCTGTGGTTCAGGGTTTGTCTCTGTTTGAAGGAAACAGACGTTTTATAGCCCGTATCCCTCCAGTAAAAGCCGGCGGCGTTGTTATGGGACCAGAGTCTGGAGTTTGGTTTACCACAAAACACACAGCAGAGACAGAGACAACTGAGGAGTACGTTCTTCGTCCTACTCGTCCTTTTAAAGCTCCACATTCTCCGTCCGGTTCAGTGGCAGGCAGCAGAATTCAACCCAGCATGAAGAAAAAGTTCCAGCTAACTTCAGATGTGACCTTTAAACACGACGCAGCTCTGCCTGCTTTCAGTTTATCAATTCATTGTTTGATTGCGGCTCAATTACAGATGTGATCGACTGTTGCAGTACGTTGTTTCCTGTGGACCACTCAAGACTGTAAAATATATATATATATATCTGTCCTCAGTAAACAGTGTGCAGAGCTATGTTCTATATGGAGCTGATTCAATCAATAATCTATAATCAGTAAACAGTGTATAAACTCTAGAGCCAGCAGCTGCTGTGTTAATGTTGGCAGCCTCACTCTGGGTCGTACCATTAAGTATTCCTGTACGGGGGTGCGTCCCCAGCCGGCTCCTTCCTCTTCCTGTTGACTCAGCCGTGTGGTTCAGACTCGCCCTGGACGCCCACGCTGTGCGTCGGGTCGCAGGCAGCGGCTCCACCGGCCTGTTCCTGTACTGGATGGTGGTCTGCTGTTGGGACAGTTTGCAGCAGTTGGTCCTGAAATAGTTTTTTTGTTTCTTACTGTAGAAAATCTCCGTCATCAATAAAATATACTAGAATAAGTTTAATATAAACTGTTTTATATTCAGTAGTTTGATTTGTGATGGTGAAGCTGTTCGTGGAACTCTAACATGTGATCTGCTGTCTCTCCGTCAGCTGCTGTCCTTCACCGCCTTCATCCTGGAGGAGGTGGTCCTCAGCTGCGTCAGCTGCTCCGCCCTCTACTTCTTTGAGTTTGTCAGCTGCACGGCCTTCCTCTTCACCCTGCTGCTCCTCATCCTCCTCTCCACCACCCTGCACACCAGGGTGGGCATCACCTGCTGGCCCAGCCTGGTAAGGACGGGCTCCACCCACATTCTTCTCTTTCTGAGTTAGACTGACAGATTGCACTCTGTGTCTGAAGCCAGCGGACACTTAGCTTAGCATAAAGACTGGAAACGGGGAACAGCTAGCAAAGATCAGTTAATCATTCATTCTGGGAAGTCCACAAAATATGAGCTGTGACTGTGAAACCAGAGCAGATTGACTTTATCAGTTAATCCACCTACCAGCACCTTTAAAGTCCCTAATGAACGTCGATCTCATTCGTTTCTCTTGTACAAACACTGATTCACCGTCTAAAACTCATTTATCATTCAGGATAAATCAAAAACCACAAAACTGAAACAAAGTCCACAGAAGTTTCTCAGGTGCTTTTGTGTCACGATGATCCACTCAGGACGTCTTTGCTTGCCACTGTCCTCCGTTTTATAGTAAACAACATATTGCTGGTGAACAGGGCCGGAGTCAGGCTGATAGTGGAGCGCCCTCTGCTGGTTCACAGTGCTAACTACCTCCAACCGTCAGCATTTATAGACTGAACACTGACTGAAACGGGATCAGAAACAGACGTACGGTGAATCTCTGACTGCCAGCGGAGGCAAAACCAAACATTGGTATAATAAAAGTCTTTATTTAAGTTGTTGTGGTGACACATGTTATAGATTACACACCATCAGGCTACTTAATGTGCTATAAATGAAGATATGTATTTATTTCCCAGCAACATTGTGATACAGTTCACTGTGTTTAATGAAACAGGAACAATAATAAAGCGTTGATGTGGTGCAGCATCGCGGTCCGTCATTCAGAACCAGTCTGAGCTGGTCTGGATGCTGCTGTAGGGTGCGGAGGTCGAGCGCTTTGTGTTCAGTTTCCTGTTGTTGCTTTATTCTCCCGCTGACTGGACGTCACCAGTTCACCTACAAAGGAAGAGACAAATATCAGTCCTCCACTAATCAATACTGATCACACTTCCTGCGAGTGAAAATCATCCAAATTATTCAAATACTTTCAGTTGTTGTTCAGTCGGTGCTCGAAGGACTCGGCACATTTCCTGTTTACATTCTGACGCCGGTAGAGTTTAATGTCCAACAACCATTTCCTGTCTCCAAGAAATATAAGAACAGGAAAATAATTTATTTTGATAACTTATTGGAATACTTTTATACCTTTTTAAAATTCATATTTAAAGAATGAATCTAGTCTAGAAAACACTTTTTATACTTTGGACATACACATAATGAGGCAGAAACTAAAGCCGAGCACAATAACACGGCGTCAACGTTTCACTGGGAAACGTTATGGTTGGGAGAAACTTCCAGCTCTGAAGCTTTTTACCTCCACTTCAGGATCTTTAAATGTTGAGCTGTGAACAGGAAGACCACGTAGTGACGTCACATAAACTGACTTTTCATTTGTTTTCTGTGAACACAACACGCAGCCTTTCAGTGGATGATCACTACTACCCTCACACAGCGGGAAACACTCAGGGTTCACACTCGCTACAGGACAGCACTCGCTCACTAACTGATTGATTTGGCCACTCGCCATCAGTAACGGTTCAGATCGAGTAGAATCCCTCTTCTGTAAAGTTAAGTGTTCACTCTGATCACTGCTGCTGGACTTGTGAACCTCGTCTGTGTCTCTAAAGTCTGGTACTGACCTGCTGTGTGCCAGATGTTGAACCTCCGGGTGCTCCGTCTCATGAAGCTGCTCCACAGCCTCGTCCTCCAGCACGAAGGTTTGAATCCTCTGTGCTCTCCCATCATACGTCCGTCTCCTCGTGAGCTCCACTCTGCAGGTGGATTTTAAGGAAGCACGTCTCTCAGGTGCGGCGAGGACTTCCACGTGCCCGAGTGTCCGCCGCGGCAGCTCCACCTCACCCTCATCTGAGCGCCCGAGTGGAACGCCTCCTTCTCGTGGATGGGCTGCCCGCAGGTCTGACACATCCTGAACAGCTCCATCAGGCTGCGGTTGTAGACCACGGTGCAGTCCTCGTCCACGTCTTCGTCCGACTCGTCCGACGTCGTTTTGGAGTTGAACTCCGGCTCTGACTGGAAGCTGTCATCCAGCGGGTCCACCGACACCACGATGCAGAAGCTTTCGTCGGACGCCGCCGCCACCGCCGCCGCCACCGGTGGCTGCGAGGAGCTCGCTGCAGCGCCGCACGGCGTCTGAAAGAAACGACCACAGATACGAGACTGACAGGCCACTCTTTAACTCTCTGCAGCCTCCTTCATACCAATGGAGAGTAAAAGCTAATTATTTATCTCAACTATTAATATTTTATCTCATAATTTTGACTTAACATTAACAAGTCTAAAATATCATCTTATTTTTCATTTTACGGGCAGTGATGAGCTTCCATACAAACAATGCAAAAGCTCAACAACATTACAGATGTTTTATTTTTAGGTCAAATCTTTAACAAAATATTAGTAATTAATAAAAACACTAATTAATGTAAGAATTAACCTTTATTTATTTTTTACTGTCAGATATCAGGTTTATTTTACCAGGAAGAGGAAACATTCTCACAATATCAAAATACTTAAATTAATAAGATATTGTAATATTTATATTTATATTATAAATATTTACTCTTAGATTTACTGAGTCCTGGCTCTGTATGAACATGTTGTATTAAATTATAAATAACATTGTAAATATAATAATTAATAATATATAAAAATAATATATAATTAATAACACTATATATATATATATATATATTATTATTATTATTATTATTATTATTATTATTATTATTAATATTAATTATAATATATATATATATATATATTATTATTAATATTAATTATAATATATATATATATATATATATATATTATTATTATTATTATTATTATTATTATTATTATTATTAATAATATTAATAATAATAATAATAATAACAACCTGAGTCCTGGCTCTGTATGAACAGTAGTTGTTGTATTAAATTATAAATAACATTGTAATATATAATTAATTAATTAATTAATAATAATAATAATAATGATAAAATCAATAATAATAATAATAATAATAATAATAATAATAATAATAATAACAACCTGAGTCCTGGCTCTGTATTATAATAATAATAGTACTAATAATAATAATAATAATAAAATCAATACTAATAATAATAATAATAATAATAATAATAATAATAAAATCAATAATAATACTAATAATAATAATAATAATAATAATAATAATAATAATAACAATAACCTGAGTCCTGGCTCTGTATTATAATAATAATAGTACTAATAATAATAATAATAATAAAATCAATACTAATAATAATAATAATAATAATAATAATAATAAAATCAATACTAATAATAATAATAATAATAATAATAATAATAATAATAACAACAACCTGAGTCCTGGCTCTCTTCGGGGCCGGGGCTTCGGTGTCTGTGCAGCCGGGCTCACCGCGCTCTCTCCCGGGGAACACTGAGGGCACCGCGCCGCTCTTCAGCACCGGTTTGGGCGCAGTGTTGAGTATTTTGGCCCTGAAGTCCTCCTCGTAGTCCTCCGGGGTGAAGTGCAGGCTGCAGACCCGGACCCCGCTGTACCGGGACACCGGGGTGTCCTCGTCCAGCCGCGGGTTCTGGATCGCCCTCAGCCAGGCTCTGCAGCGCGGCGGGTCCCGGGTCGGTAACCCGTGAAACACGACCCCCATGGACCGAGCCTCGTCGTAGCCCTTACAGCCGGGGACACAGCACCGCCACGGCATCGAACACGCTCCGAAACAACGGACTGAAAGTGTCCCAATAATCGATAATAATCGATAATAATCGATAATCGAGTGTAGGATGTGTTTGTGTCTGCAGTGCTAGCACGTTAGCACAGCAGCTAGCTGCTTCCTTCTTCTTCTACTGTTGGATTTCCGGCAGGTTGCACGCTGCTGCCCCCCAGCGGCTGGTTCAGGCTCTGATTATAGCTATCGATCACATTTATTGATCCCTGGGGGGGATTGGTTGCGTTACAGTTACAAGAAGAAATAAAATATGTGCATTAAATTACTCTATATAAACATTATATAACAATATGTAAGTAGTAATAATAACAACAACAACAACAACAACAACAACAACAACAACAACGGGTTGGTTGCAGTACGGAGCCACGCTAGCTGTCCCCCCTGTTTCCAGTCTTTATGCTAAGCTAAGCTAACCAGCTGGTATGTATTGTAGATCAGAGTGGATCAATAAATAAAGGTATTGATCATTGATCTCTCTGTAGGACTTTGTGTACACCGGGCTGATCGCTGTGTTGTTCCTCATCGCCTCCATCGTCTTCTCTTCAGACAACGGCAACACCACTGTGGAGAAATGTGCTGTGGTAAGACCTCCTCCTCCTCCTCCTCCTCCTCCTCCTCCTCTCTTTATGATGATTGAACTCTGTTCTTCGTCCTCTCTCCTCCCTCTTTCTCCTCTCTCCTCTTCCTCCTCCTCTCTCCTCCTCTGTCTCCTCCTCCTCATCCTTCTCCTCCTCATCCTCCTCCTCTCTACTCCTCCTCTTTATGATGATTGAACTCTGTGTTCTTCGTCCTCTCTCCTCCCTCTTTCTCCTCTCTCATCTTCCTCCTCCTCCTCTCTACTCCTCCTCTCTCCTCCTCTGTCTCCTCATCCTTCTCCTCCTCCTCTCTCCTCCTCCTCCCTCATCCTCCTCCTCCTCTTTACTCCTCCTCTCTTTATGATTATTGAACTGTGTTCTTCATCCCTCCTCTCCTCTTCCTCCTCCTCCTCCTCCTCCTTCTCCTCTCTTTATGATGATTAAACTCTGTGTTCCTCCTCCTCCTCTCTTTATGATGATTAAACTCTGTTCTTCCTCCTCCTCCTCCTCTCTACTCCTCCTCTCTTTATGATGATTAAACTCTGTGTTCTTCGTCCTCTCTCCTCCCTCTTTCTCCTCCTCATCCTCATCCTCCTCCTCTCTACTCCTCCTCTCTTTATGATGGTTAAACTCTGTTCTTCTTCCTCCTCCTCCTCTCTACTCCTCTGTCTCCCCATCCTTCTCCTCCTCCTCTCTTTATGATGATTGAACTGTGTTCTTCGTCCTCTCTCCTCCCTCTTTCTCCTCTCTCCTCTTCCTCCTCCTCCTCTCTACTCTTCCCTCTCTCCTCCTCTCTCCTCCCTCATCCTCCTCCTCCTCTTTACTCCTCCTTTCTTTATGATTATTGAACTGTGTTCTTCGTCCTCTCTCCTCTTCCTCCTCCTCTGTCTCCTCCTCCTCATCCTCCTCCTCTCTCCTCCTCTCTACTCCTCCTCTCTTTATGATGATTAAACTCTGTGTTCCTCCTCTTCCTCCTCCTCCTCCTCCTCCAGGCGTTTGGCTTCATTGCGACGTTGCTGTTCTTCGTCGACCTCGCCATGTTCTGGCGGAGTCACGGTTTCCCCTTCAGGAAAGACGGGAAGGCGGAGTCCAGTAACGGCGTCCCGCCTGCGGAGGTGGAGAAACTCAACACGCCGGCCGCCGTGGGACAGTAACCCCGTCACTTCCTGCGCCCGGAGGTCAGAGGTTACTTTGCGTGCTGTTCCTTTAACGTGACGCCAGGAGGCGGAGCTTCAGCGTCCACTTTTAAAGTCATTTTAAATCCTGTTTCTGGTCGTCATCACCCGCCTCCTCTGCGATGATCAATAATCAATCTTCCAATAATGAATCGATCGCAGTGCGGAGAGAGAGAGACCAGAAACAGGACGTTTATTAAAAATCTATATTTGTGAAGGAAGAGACACTAAAACCACAGAACCACTAAACTGCTGATAATCAATACGACCGATCAGAGCTGAGAAATCTATTGATCTCAATGTTTCGCTTTAACTAATTGTACAAATCAAATACTGTGTGTCATATAATTCCCACAATGCAATGGGGTCAGGGATTGATTAGAGGGAGAAGAAAGTAAAATTATTTGTGTGTTTCTTATTTCTTCTCTTCTTCTTCTCTTCTTCCATTTTGTGATCAATAAACCGATCGTAGAGTCGTTCTGATGAATCAATGCGACGAGCTTTTAAAATGCTTGTTTTCTGAATGGAGTTTGGTGGATCGGGGCTACGCTAACGTAGCTCATTCAAATACAGCCGTTGTTTTCAAACATTGCTTAAAACATTCCCATGAGCCTTTGCCAAAAGCACCTTCTTCACCCCAATGAGGCGTCCGACCTCTGACCTCCCTCTGACCTCTGACCTCCCTCAGTCCATTACTGCACCACGTTAAAGATCTTTCTCAGACTTTTATCTGACGCAGTTTTATATCGGAGATTATTTCTAGAAGCTGAAGTGTGTTTTTGATATTGTTTTATATTCTATATTCGTCTGATTCTAACTCGTCTTAATCACTTTGTATCGTTTTAATTTCACGTCTGATGAAGGAAATTGTGCTTTATAATATAAAATATAAATATAAAAACTCTGAATATGAATGAACCTTATTGATCTAAATAATCATCGTTGAGCTAATTCCTGACTGATTATAAGATAATAATGGTTCATGGATGGATTATTTATTAAGATAACAAGCCCCCATTAGGACCCTGGACCAGCGCCCGGTAGACCCCGTTAGGACCCTGGACCTGCCCCCGGTAGACCCCACTAGGACCCTGGACCTGCCCCCGGTAGACCCCGTTAGGGACCCTGGACCTGCCCCCCGGTAGACCCCGCTAGGACCCTGGACCTGCCCCCGGTAGACCCCGTTAGGACCCTGGACCTGCCCCCGGTAGACCCCGTTAGGACCCTGGACCTGCCCCCGGTAGACCCCGTTAGGACCCTGGACCTGCCCCCGGTAGACCCCGCTAGGACCCTGGACCTGCCCCCGGTAGACCCCGTTAGGACCCTGGACCTGCCCCCCGGTAGACCCCGTTAGGACCCTGGACCTGCCCCCGGTAGACCCCGTTAGGACCCTGGACCTGCGCCCGGTAGACCCCGCTAGGACCCTGGACCTGCCCCCGGTAGACCCCTAGGACCCTGGACCCGCCCCCGGTAGACCCCGCTAGGACCCTGGACCTGCCCCCGGTAGACCCCGTTAGGACCCTGGACCAGCGCCCGGTAGACCCCGTTAAGACCCTGGACCTGCCCCCGGTAGACCCCGTTAGGACCCTGGACCCGCCCCCGGTAGACCCCGCTAGGACCCTGGACCTGCCCCCGGTAGACCCCGCTAGGACCCTGGACCTGCCCCCGGTAGACCCCGTTAGGACCCTGGACCCGCCCCCGGTAGACCCTGTTAGGACCCTGGACCCGCCCCCGGTAGACACCGTTAGGACCCTTGGACCTGCCCCCGATAGACCCCCGTTAGGACCCTTGGACCTGCCCCCGGTAGACCCCGTTAGGACCCTTGGACCTGCCCCCGGTAGACACCGTTAGGACCCTTGGACCTGTGCCCGGTAGACCCCGTTAGGACCCTTGGACCTGTGCCCGGTAGACCCCGTTAGGACCCTTGGACCTGTGCCCGGTAGACCCCGTTCAGTAATCCATCCATGAATCCAGTCAATGGATCAAAACAAGATTATCGTGTTTGGTTGAAATATTCCTTTAATTCTTTTTGGATGAAATTTATTGAGTTTGTTTATCTTCCAGTCACATTTTTAAAATATGGAGTTTTTGCTCATATTTGGATTTTTATGCCCAGAAGATGAAGCGGACTGCAAGTTTAAAAACAACTTTTCTTCTTCGTGTGTCATTTTTTTCCCAAACTGACTAAAGTATTTTGTCCTTTTTTTAACGCCTTTTTTATTTCTGCTGTTTCTTCGTTGCGTCCAAATTCTAAAATGTCCGGAGACGAAATTGTGAAAAGTAATTTGCACATATGAAAACTGGATGTGACGGAAATAAAAATAAAATAAAATAAAATAAAATAAGAAGGAACTAAAACAATGTGAAGGAAGTCAGAATCATAAGCCCCGCCCCTTTTTGCTCCGTGCTCCAATGACAGTCGAGCTCCTCAGTAATTAATCAGCTACTGTTTATTAACGTTCAGATCTAATATAGATAACAATGGAGGCAGATTAGTGTTTGTTCATTAGCCGACGTAAGATAAATATCTTCAAAATAAACTATAATTAGTTATTTTAACCAAAGAAATTGTTAAAATGGATTCAAACATTTTAAGTAATGGATATTATTATTATTATTCAGATGAAGTCCGAGTCTCTTAAAATTACTGAAGTTGATCGAGAATGTTTCTTTAAGTTAGTTTTACAGTGTGTGGCTGTCACCCCCCCCCCCATAGATTAGCCTAGCATATAGCATATCTAAGTGCTCAACTGTTATTGGAGCACAGAGCAAAAAGGGGCGGGGCTTAGGACGTGTGTGACGTTGGACTTCCTGGTCTGAGTGATTTCAAGGTGAAAACAAAAGATTACTTCCTTCATTTAAAACATTTTGGCACTTTGGCCACATATTTACATTTCTAATACCGAGAACAGTCGCACAATATTTTAATAATTAATCATTGAATACACTGGAAGACTTTAAATGAACAATATTTTCTTAATTGTGTCAGACAATCCAGAAATCTCTTTTTTTATATCGACATGGACCAAGAAACATTTATTTTCCGGTGTTATTGTTATATATATATATATATATATATATATATATATATAAACTCTTCTGCTCTGTGCCTGTAAAGTAATTTGTTTTCTATCATACATGAGTAACACAATACTGTATGAGTTAATGCTGATCTCACTTTGCTGCAATTTAATATCTGATTATTGTATTATTCTGTCTTTGAATAAAGAATGTGCTGTTTCTTTTAATATTCTGTATATTCTGTATATTATAGACTGCTCTGAATGTTGACAACCTCTTTCTCTACTTTACGTGAGTCTCCAACGTTTGATCGTCACAGATTTCTTCCTGTGGTTATCTGAAAGAGCACAACTGAGCGCGCTCACGAGGGACAGGGACATTACAGCTCAGTCTGGCTCAGGATTCAGGACTAAGAGTTACCTTGAAATTCCACCAGGTACGGCTTTATGCTAACCAGCTAACAGCAGCTACAGTTAGTGGCTAAAGAGTGAAGTGTAAGTTAACCACTAACAACAAGTAGTTATCTCTATTTCCATCAGTAAACTCTGCAAATCACTGAAAGTAGAAACCTGTTCATAGATCGCAGCCTGCAGGGGACGTTGTGGTTATTGGGAAGGTTAATGTTTCTGCATAGAGCCGATTAGCAAATATTATAAATGTGTTAAAGAACTGAAGCTACAATATTCTGACACTAGCTGCACACACACTGAACACTGTTTGATGTCCTGTAAATCACATTCAGGACAGAGAGATTCCTGCTCCATAAAACAGTCCCCACTGATCAGCCTCAGAGCCGATACGTTACAGACGATAACTTCAGTCTGGCCTCGTTCCTCTGGACGTCACAGATCCTCCATAAAGGCTGGAGGCTGAAACAGGAAGCAGAGTTCAAACAGTGCGGATGAGATGAAGAAGAGAAAGAAGACGAGCAGCTGACCCCCACAGTGGATCCAAGCTGATGAAGACCAGCAGTCAGACTGTAGAAAGCTCACAGATCAGGAAGAATTGTATAAAAATATCAGCAAAACTAATCTCTGATCAATATTCACAGGAAGTGATTCAGGCCAAAAGACAGTATTCTTCCTCAGGGACGTTGTAGCACAGCATTTATTTTTATCAAATGTGTGGAAGAGCTGAAACTACAATAATGACATGAAGAGGAAATGATTTGTTTTTATCAGCTTTAAATATCAGAACTGTTTCTGTCGTCATCCTCTGACGGGAGGAAGCTTCCTGTTCCTGTGACTCTGACTCATACAGCGTCACCATTATTCTCAGGAAATATATTTCTAAAGGTGCTATTGACATGAAATTTTCACCAGATGTCTGTAACAGCCCTGCAATCCACACATACAAAGAACTCAAACCATGTCCATAAATTAAGTTATGTGTAATAATGTGAAATGACACAGGGAAGAAGTATTGAACACATGACGAAAGGGAGGTGCAAAAAGGCACAGAAAGCTGAAATCTATCAGTAATTAGAAAGCAATCCTGCCGCTTGTCAGTGCAAATTAATATCAGCTGGTTCAGTCCCGACTGATGGCCTATAAAAAGGTGTCTCCTCACCAAGGTGTCACACAAGAAACATCTCATGATGGGTAAAATCTCATGGTGGTACTGTTGGGTCTCTGTAATTAATGTTAAAGAGTTCGGTCTAGACCTGCTCTATTTGAAAAGTGTCCTGAGATAACTTCTGTTATGAATTGGAGCTATACAAATAAAATTGAATTGAATTAAAACCAAAGAGCTCTCTCAAGACCTTCGCAACCTTATTGTTGCAAAACATACTGATGGCATTGGTTACAGAAGGATTTCTAAACTTCTGAATGTTCCAGTGAACACTGTTGGGGCCATAACCCGGAAGTGGAAAGAACATCATTTCACCATAAACCAGCCACGACTAGGTGCTCCTCGCAAGATTTCTGACAGAGGAGTGAAAAGAATTCAGTTCAGTTTTATTTGTATAGCACCAATTCATAACAGAAGTTATCTCAGGACACTTTTCAAATAGAGCAGGTCTAGACCGAACTCTTTATAACATTATTTACAGAGACCCAACAGTACCACCATGAGCAAGACCTTGGAGACAGACAGAGAGAGAGACGCACAGCAACTACAGTAGCAACAACTACACTAACAGTAGTGACTGATGATGATGAACATGAAGAAGATGATGACGACGACAACAGCAATGATGGGGGACAATGAGCAGTGACAACAGTAATAATAGTAACTGTAGTAATAATAATAATATTAATGATAATAGTAACAATAATATCAGTGATATTAGCAATGGGAGTCAAGCAGGACCATGGCAGGAGGCTCCACCAGGATCCATGAGAACCTGCGAGACGAGAAAGCACAAGAACTCCGGGGAAGAAGTGGAGTTAGTAACATGCATTAATGGAACATGAATGAGTCTAGAAAGAGAGAGGAGCTCAGTGCACCATGGGAAATCCCCCGATAGTCTAGGCCTATAGCAGCATAACTAAGGGATGGTTCAGGACTCACCTGATCCAGCCCTAACTATAAGCTTTTGAATTATCAGAAGAGCTGTCCAAGAGCCAAGGACCATTTGTGGAGAGCTTCAGAAAGACCTGGAATTAGCAGGTACAATGGTTTCAAAGAAAACAATAAGTAATGCACTCTCACCGCGTGAGACTCCATTGATGAAGAAAAAGCATGATGAAGTGCGTTTAAAGTTTGCTGCGCAACATTTAGACAAGCCTGTGAAATACTGGGAGAATATAATCTGGTCAGATGAGACCAAAATTCAACTCTTTGGATGCCATAATACACAGCATGTTTGGAGGTCAAATGGTACTGCACATCACCCTAAAAACACCATACCAACAGTGACCAGGTGGGAACATCATGGTGTGGGGCTGTTTTTCAGCATACGGCACTGACAAACTTCATATAATTGAAGGAAGGATGAATGAAATGTACCGAGACATTCTTGATAAAAATCTGCTGCCATCTACCAGGATGATGAAGATGAAACGAGGGTGGACATTTCAGACAATGATCCCAAACACACAGCCAAGGAAACTCTCAATTGGTTTCAGAGAAAGAAAATAAAGCTGTAGAATGGCCCAGCCAATCACCTGACTTGAATCCATAGAAAATCTATGGAAAGAACTAAAGATCAGAGTTCATAGAAGAGGCCCACGGAAACTTTGAAGACTGTTTGTGCGGAAGAATGGGCCAAAATCACACCTGAGCAATGCATGTGACTAGTTTCTCCATACAGGAGGCATCTTGAAGCTGTCATTACCAACAGAGGCTTTTATACCAATTATTAAATAAATTTCAGTAAGCTTGTTCAATACTTTTTCCCTGTGTCATTCCATTTTATTACACATAACTTTGGTTTCTTTGCATGTGTGGATTACATGGGTTGTTACCGACATATGGTGAAAATTTCATGACAATAGCACCTTTTAGAATTATATTTACTGAGAAAAATGGTGACGTGTTCAATACTTATTTTACCCGCTGTATATGCTTACAGATTGGCAATACGTAAGCTGGTTTCATTATTCAAACAGTAACATTAGTTTTTAGATAACAAGGTGAAGAAAGAGAAACAGTCTGTTCTCCAGCAGCAGCAGGGCTCAACACTCACACACCCTCCTTAAATATGTGAAGGTTAATTACAATATTTGCATTCCCTGAAGAAAACGGTGTGATTGCTACATCTGCAGCTGTAGCCGCTACCGCTGATCGCAGACAGCTTCTGAAAGAATCCCAGCAACAAGTGTTCATGATTCACATCTGAAGATACCACCCCAAAATCAGTCATCACTAAATACTGTATTTAAGAGATATCAGTCCCAAAAAAACACACAAAAGAAGTATAATCAGAAAAATACAGACTGAAGATGACAATGACCTCTGCCCTGTATCCATAGCACTAACATATGCCCTGTATTTATAGCACTGACCTCTACTGTATCCCTTCTTACGTCTGTAACTTAGTTAATATCAAGAAATGGACTGAATCGAACCTTTATTCAATGTCTCAAATGAACACTGTCAAATTATTGGACTTAATTATTGATAATAACTACTGATGTGTTTGGGTTATAGTTGTTGGTAATTGGTTACCAAACATGTGGTTCTGAATAAAATCACACATTCTTGCAGCAATCACACAAATATAACTGAACATGACGTTTGACTGATGTGGTTGCTGTGACTCACCTGTACCATCACCTTCTTCAGCTCTCTGCTGCTGCTGCGGCTTTCTGGCAAACACGTCCTAAAACATAAAAACAGGCTGGGTACAATCTCAGATATGACTTTACTGAAAAAAACCTTAATGTTTAATAAACAGAATTCAGTTAGTGTTTGACAAAGGTTATACAATGATAGACTTTACAGAGCAGATATTTCTGCTGCAGCAGATAAATGAAATGACATTTCATTTGGACTTTAATGAAGAATGACTATGTGATGTTTAAAGATGAATCTAGAAATGTTGTACTGAGTAATGGATACAGACTTTGTCAGATTTGTATTTGTAGGTGAAATGTACCTTTTGATGACGATGGATGCCACTATGACAATGAGCACAGTGTGCAGAGTGAAGTCAACCAGACGAACAACAACTGCAGCAGTATTTGATCCTGTGAGACAGGACAGAAAGTTGTTGGACTGTAGACGTTAAAAATATGTTTCTATGTTCAGAAACAGGAAATTGTTTAAAGAATAAAATGTGAATAGATTCCTCCCCTTCATTAATCACATTTCACTACAGAGAAAACTGATCAGACAAACCTTCAGCCTCCACATGCAGACTGTACGGCAGGGACACAGTTCTGGTGCCGGTCCTCAAACCACAGATGTAGTTCCCAGAGTCCTTTGCAGTCAGAGGGCCGAGCTGGAGGGCGGGGCCAGACTCTGAGAGGGCGTGGTTGTCTTTGAACCAGGTGACCTCCAGTTGGTGGATAGTGCAGACTGCAGTGCAGTACAGAGTGACTGATTCTCCTCCTCTCATCTCTCCGTCTGCACTGGAGCTGTTTATCTTCATTCTAACAGGATCTAAAATAAAGAGTTTAAGACTTGTTAGAGCTTCAATCTCTATTTAAACTCACCCACACATTGTCTGGACTGGAGCCCAGAGACGTTCCCGCTGCTGGAGAGCAAAGAGTTTCATCTTGTGCACGCTCAAATGAACGCAGCACGCTGCAGTTAATTAACCCTGCTGCCTGTTGGCGTTTATCAAAGCTAATAAACAGTCAGATTACAGACAGACAGACAGACAGTTAATGTTATTGAGTGACGTCACACTGCGAGAGAAGTTTATCTGCTTCCTGTTCCCACAATTCACTCTCAGGGAGTTTTCTCCTCTTTTTCTGACAGATAGTCCGTTCATCCTCTCATCACAGTTGGAAACAGTGACACCCGCTTTGATACGAGGGGGGAGGCGGGGCCTTACGCAGCTTCCGGCTCTGCTGTCTCTCTTCCACTCTCATTTCCTTCCTGTTTCTCTCCAGAGGTTCCTCTACAGGCTGTCGACACTCATCTTGCATTCAGTGCTGCGGCTAAAAGAGGCTGAGCTGTTCCCCCTCTGTCTCAGGGTATTTCTCATCTGACTGATGTCAAAATAAACTCTCAAAGTTCTGACCGCTTTTTATTAACAGCATTGTCGTGCACTTTCACTTTGAATAGTTAGGAACATTTAACATTCACCACTTCACACCACATCATTAATATTATTGCTATTGTTGGTTTTAGTATTATCATATGATGATCTTACCAGTGACTCTGACTTTTACTCCTGATCGGCCAGTAAAATGTCCTCTGGTGTCATTTGTTTCCATTCTGAAGCGAAATGTTGCCTCGTCTCTCGACTGTACATTTGTGATCTGTAAAGTGCAGTTTCCCTTCTTGTCTCCCAGATATTTGTAACGAGGGTCGTTGTTTGTAGACTCACTGTCGTACACAGACGGGGTGCTGCCCTGACAAATCTCATGGTTCTGGCACCAGACGACTCTGACGATCCCTAAAGGAACTTCTCTTCCATTCTTTCTAGTGAAAGTCTTTCTGGGTGTGAAGGAGCAGAGGAGGGTGACAGTGGATCCTTTAACAGCACAAACAGGATGTGGATAATTCACAATATAACCTCCAGCACCTAAAGAACACAACACAGTGAGGACAGCTGAGTTTAAGAATGAAGGAGCTTCATTTAGAGCGAGTACTTTCATTAAAATGGACCTCGAGCACTAAAACTGAAAACAAGTCTTACCTGCCAGCATGAACATGAAGCCCCAGAGAATCTTTTTGTCCCAGACTGCCATCCTTACTTTCTTAAAGACTTGATTTAACGTTTATCTTGTTCGATTGAACTCCAGCAGTGCTGATGAAGACACTGACTGACTGTCAAACTCAGAGGATGCTTTATGTCTTTGTTGTTACTGTCTGACTTCCTCCTTTTCTTTACCAGAAGTCTTCAACCTGTTAAACAGACAGGGCTGTGAACAGTTTTCACAACATTGTCCCACAGTGACAGCAGTTATTCAGACCATCAAGGGAACAATTAGAAATACTGAGTTGCCAACATGTTGTAACGCTGAACGAACAAATCTCACTGTGTCTCCTGGTCCGAGGAACAGCAACAGCGGCTGAGGGATGGTGGATGGGAGCCTGAGAAAAACTATACCGCAGAGGAGCAATATGTTTTTACAGTTGCTCAAATATGGGTGAAATATGCTACTTGGAGGTACAAATATGGACTTTTGTTCGTAAATTTCTCCAGATTGCTGCAGTAAAAATGCATGATATTAGGTATGTGTGTAGTCTCAGATGTGCAGAAGTCAAATATACCATATTTAGCCAGGAAATATTGAGCAATATGTTTTTACAGTAGCTCAAATATGGTCAAATTTGCCACTTGGAGGTAAAAATAAGGACTTCTATTGTTGAATTTCTCCAAATTGGTACAGTAAAAATTCTTGATATTAAGTGTGTGTGTAGTCTTAGATATGTAGAAGTCAGATATACCATCCATATCCAGGAAATATTGAGCAATATGTTATTACAGTAGCTCAAATATGGTGAAATATGCCACTTGGGAGGTACAAATATGGACTTTTGTTCTTAAATTTCTCAAAATTGGTACAGTAAAAATGCTTGATGTTGAGTGTGACTGCAGTTTTAGATGTGTAGAAGTCAAATACACCATCCATAGCCAGGAAATATTGAGCAAAATTATTTTACAGTAGCTCAAATATGGTGAAATATGCCACTAGAAGGTACAAATATGGACTTTTTTTCTTAAATTTCTGCAAATTGGTACAGTACAAATGCTTGATATTGAGTATATGTGTAGTCTTAGATGTGTAGAAGTTAAATATACAATATTTAGCCATGAAATATTGAGCAACATAATTTTACAGTAGCTCAAATGTGGTCAAATATGCCACTTGGAGGTAAAAATAAGGACTTTTATTGTTGAATTTCTCCAAATTGCTGCAGTAAAAATGCTTGATATTGAGTATGTGTGTAGTCTTAGATGTGTAGAAGTCAGATATATCATCCATATCCAGGAAATATTGAGCAATATTATTTTACAGTACCTCAAATATAGTCAAATATGCAATCTCTGGAGGCATAAATATGGGATTTTTATTTTGACATTTCTCCACTCTGGCGCAGTAAAGATACTCGATATGAGGTGTTTTTTATTCATCATGGGTGCATGGAAAACGTTAATGCAACATATTTTATTTTAAATATAGGTTCGAATTATAGCTTAATGTTCCTAATACCTTTATTTTGAAAATCGGAAGTGAATACGCTCTTTCTTCGCATTTACCGTAACGCGGAGAATAATCGCACAGTCGAAATTTACGTGCGGCTGATTTGACCACGGAGATCGAAGTTACGGCTGGCTTGACCGCAGTAGTTGCAGGTAGGTGCTACATGAAGGGTGAGGTGATTTTAGTTTGGTGATCATGAGAGGAAGGTTTGAGGCATAAGATCGACTAAGAAAAGAACATTTATTCAGAAAATTTGAATTCAAATTTTGATCAATATTCTTCCCATGTTATTTATTAAAGGTGCACTATGCGATCTTGCATGGTTTCAGCGCGATTTAATTTTTGTCTCAAATCGTAGGCATCTCTCCTTGATCCACTAGCTGCCTGCCCCCTGAATACACTGTGAAAAAACCCGGTCTCGGGAGACAACACAGGGCTCGTAAACATCAAACAAACACTAGGGGCACACCAAAATACAACAAACCAGTTCCAGCCAATCACCGACAAGATGGTTGGGAGAGGGAGAGGGGGTGGGGGTTAGTGCGCGTGGACAGAATTGGGGGGCAGAGAGCAGAGTTGATTGAGTAGCGCGAGTTGTGTTTGAGAGTAATATTTTGGAAAATGGCTGAGGCACGACCAAAGAAAAGACGCTCAGAGGAATATAAGACGAGCAGCCTTCCGCGCCTTTGTTCTCCGCCGCCGTGTTCTCTCTTCCCGCCGTCCCTCCTGAGCGGACAGGTGTTCCTAATTCCCCCTCTAATAATCAATCTACCTGCGCACTCACACAAGGAGAGAGGAGACCAGCACATACACACTCACACACACACACACACACACACACACACACACACACACACCCTGTGACTTACAGGAGGCAGTTTCTGTAGAAAGTGCAGGTGTGCATTGTGAATGTTGAAAAGCTAAACTGATTTCTGGCTTTAATTTGTAAAAAGTAGCTGAAGGAGTATTTTAGTTGGAAACATGGAGCTGACGGGACTGAAACACTGAAATAATCTCACAAGGTTTGAATGTCGTTTCCAACTGAAAGTATGTTTGAATACTTGGAAAAGTGTCAGAGGGATGAAGGATGCAGAATATAGTGTAATGTGGGGATGAACTACATTGTTCACTAATGGCTGAGACCTAAACTCCAGAGACCTTTAAAGTTGAATTTTTTCATTTGGTGTGGTTTAACTGAACTTTTAATGTGATGGGTCATTTTGGTCAGCTCATCCGGTCACTTTCTGTAACTGTAACCTGATGTAACTTACCGTACTATACCGTAATCTGCTCTTTCTTCTCTCTTACTCTCTTACCTCTCCTCCCTCGCCCACACCGGGTCATGAGCTGGCCAGGCCGCTGCCGACGCAGGATTCAACAGAGTTAACGGCTAAACCAGGACTGTTTAATTACTGTTAATGTTACTGATGTGTTTTTATTCCGGTTATGTTATTGTGTTGATCTGATTAATGCAGGTTACTGTAGTAACTGTAGTCTCTGAGACAGTGCTAAGGTGATGTTAGTTTAATGCTTCACACAGACACTGTCTTTGCATGCAACTAACTCTCTTTTAACAACACCGTTAATCTGAGATCTCACACATATTCACCTAAATTCGGCTCTAAACCTCAGCATACACATTAGGAGAGGGAAATCAAACCCTCCTACTCCTCCGTGCTCTTTGTCTCTCACCAGCGTGCGCACACACACCTTTTATCTTTAGCTTATGGTGCTTTCCATTTCTCTCGTAAATCCGCCACCCGAGTTGCTCTGACGTGAGAACGTGACATAATTGCCTGGCTTGTACCACTTATAGCGTTCCAGTTTATTTGGGCATTACGAGTCAGAAAGAACATGGAAGCCACCAGTTGTGTGACAGCAGCTGTGTTGTTATTGATTGTGGATCATTTAAACAAGCTCAATGTGAAATAATAATATGTTTTTCTACAGAAACACAAACATTTCAAGTAATTCCGTTATTGCAAGTCTTACATTTCAATAATACAATTTCAACAAGTGCTGTGGCGTTTGTCTCGAGCCACCAGGGGCCTCCAGGAGCCACCAGGGGCCACCAGGAGCCACCAGGGGCCTCCAGGGGCCTCCAGGAGCCACCAGGGGCCACCAGGGGCCACCAGTGGCAGGCTAGTGTTATTGTTAGCTACATTAGCCTATTTAGCAGACCAGCTCGAAAACAAAACTTTACATTGTATTGAACTCACAGCAACACGGTGCAATGCATAAACTGGTGACCGGACTAAAGCAGCAATGTAAACAGTGTGTAGGAGAATTTAAAATCGACATTAAAACGACCAACGTAGCACAAATACAAAGAACATACATCTCAATATGGACGCTGCCATCTTTGTTTTGCGAGTCGTACGTTCGTCCTCGTTCAGCTCGGTGAACTCTGAGGAACCCCGAGAGGGACAGCTGATATTACGACCAAAAGGGGGGGTGTCTCGGTGAAATGAGATAGCTGTGAGATTTACACTTTCCAACTCGGGCGGGGGGTTTACGAGACAAATGGAAAGCAGCATTAGTTTGTTTAACTAAGGGCCCGTCTTCACGAATACGTTTCTCTCGAATCCAGATAAATACTTTATCGTATCGGCCTCGCGTCCAGACGGATACGACAGCGTTTTCGGGGTGTGAAAACGGTACTTTTTGGAAACGGGTCCCAGAGTGGGAAAATCCGATAACGGCGGATTGCCCCGAGTCTTCTGGACGGCGAAAACGCATTAGCCCCGCCTCTCTAGCCTTTAACCTCAGCCGGCGCCGCTAGACGCGTCATAACAACAACAACAACAATGGCGGACTACTACTACTTGTTTGTAAGCAGCTCATGCTCCATGGCTTCTCTTCCGGTTTTAGTGTGTTGGTGTGGCGGCGTCACAGCGCCACATACTGGCCTGGCATATGTACGACAGCGTTTTGGGTCGGTTTCAGTGAATCCGTATGGACGCAGATATTTCTGGAAACGACGCCGTGTTCACGGGGATTTTTTTCGAAACGACATCGTATTGGGTGAGGCCGCGTATTCGTGAGGACAAACCCTTAGACTGTACATTGTGTGTTTTTACTCTCTTTATTATCTCTTTAATAAATGTTTGTGTTTTTACATGCTGGCCTATTGAATTTCGCACAAGAGTGGATGATACCAACCTCTTTAATGCAGAACTCCAAAGCCTGCCACTTTAACTATTAATAGTGATTTTGGTTATAGTTATTCATTTAATTAATCTGATTTCTAAATTGGTAGTTTAGACTGAATCAATCAATTATTGGCTATCGTTTCCCTTATTTAAGGATGGTGCCTGACTAACTTTATCATTAAAGGGGAACTTCGGCAGATTTTCACCCTAGTCTTGATCCCTAGAGGTCACCGAGTACAGTCGATAGGAAAAACAACGACCAGAACTGGTGCTAGCAAACTGGAGATCCTTCAGCTAATGGCCAGAGCTCCCAGTTAGTTATAATACACTTCTTGGGGGCATATCCTAAAGAGTGCCTTTTGCTCCTCTTAAAGGACAATTCCGGCGCAAAATGAACCTGGGGTTAATAACACGTGTACCGAGTTGGTCCGGTCTCTGGGATATGTTTTCAGGCTAATCGACCGTGACCGGGTTTAGCACAAACCGCTAATTAGCTTATAACGCTGGTCAACGGGGCACCGAGTAACGTGAAAAGAAATCTATTTCTATTCCACTAACAAGACTCAAAATAGCACCACACTTACACGGTAGCATAATGAGGGTCCCTACCTGTAAACCGAAGCATTGAGAACTTTGTAAGTGTACAGACAGTTTATTAAAAAGATAGTTTAGAACAACAGCAGCGTTCACGTATACAGGCGGGCGCCATCTTGGGAAAACAGTCAGGGGTTAGGTCATTCATGCAGATCAATGATAAAGACTTACAGCTGGCGATGTGAACTAAAACAAACGTAATTTGCTCAATATATCAGAAATAATTGCACCGATGTAAAACACAACTTGTCTAGTGTACTTACTCAGTGGATAACTGTCCATCTGGTCCCTCCGGTGTGACTCGCTGCCTCCAATTTATTTTCGGGACATGGAAAAAAGTTTTGAGTACAGCTCTGTTTATCAGAGAGGGGAAATCTTCAGACTGTACAAAACACTGCGTCTCTTGGGTGTCGCGACGCAACAGGTCCCACTCCGTGCAACACAGGCACTCCTCTTCTGTGGCCATAGCTTCACAATGTCCGCAGGTACACCACCAGTTTCCTGAAGTACGAGGCTGTGTTGCAGCATTGACTACCGGTAGCTTTCTTCTCTCTCTCTCTCTCTCTCTCTCTCTCTCTCTCTCTCTCTCTCTCCCTTTCACGGAGCTCCCACAGCTCTTCGTCTGTATATTCCGGCTCAAAAAGATAAGGACGTCCTTCTCTTATGCGCTCAGTGCTTTCTTCCGGCAACAACGTTTGCACGGAGATGTGAAGTGAATCTCGCATGAAACGTTGTTGCCGGAAGAAAGCACAGACGAAGAGCTGCGGGAGCTCCGTGAAAGGGCTACTTTTAATTCTCCAAAATATAATAAAATATGAGGCTGAACTTACAGTTTGGGGGCCCCCTGGTGGCTGCGGGGCCCTATGCAACCACATAGTCCGCATATAGCAAGAAATGGCTCCGCTGTCGCCTACCTGTTTTTCATCCGCTCGCTTCACCGAAAGGAGATAAAAAGTTAATTTCCCTCAAAAATGTGTTGCACATCCCTGCCGCACAGGGGGAAATAAACTTTTTTTCGTCGCGAAGGCATTATCTCTGTGATCGATTATTCTGGGCTTTCGGTGAAGCGAGCGGTGGAAAAACAGGTAGGCGACAGCACTGTTTGTACGGTTTCTGCACAACTTATGAGTTGAAAAGGCATGTTGTTGTCACGTAAGGGCCCTGAGCATGTTGCACAGACATTTTAACTGCATTTTGTGTCTGTTAAGAGGGGCAAAAGGCACTCTTTAGGATATGCCCCCAAGAAGTGTATTATAACTAACTGGGAGCTCTGGCCATTAGCTGCAGGATCTCCAGTTTGCTAGCACCAATTTTGGTCGTTTTTTTCCTATCGACAGTACTTGGTGACCTCTAGTGATCAAGACTATGGTAAAAATCTGCCGAAGTTCCCCTTTAATTAAAGTCATTTTCTATTATCTTTTGATAATTACGAATGGTACTGCGGCGGTTTTAATACCACCTACAAAATGGTGCGAGGTATATTACTGTTGGCAATTACTTTGTGTTTACTCTGGGGCTGAATATGAATAATCTTTCCGTTACAGATGTTTTGGTGTCGGATCATATGTGCATCTTGTTTGACACTGAGATTCTGTGCACACAAATTATGAAAAGAACGTTTGTGTTATTAATGAGCACACAGTGGGAAGCTTCATTCCTCTCTTTAATGATACCATGACATGTGATTCAGATACACATGACCTCACAAATGTGTTTCATAAGCCCAGCTCAAATCAATGGTAAGAACAGAACCCAGGGGCCTCATGTACTAAGACTTGCGTGGATTTCCTACTAGAATGTGGCGTACACTGAAAGAGTGAAAGTTCTGTACACACAAAAATATTCAGATGTATCAAAACGTGCGTACGCAGAATCCCACGCACATTGTCTTTGTACATCGCAATCAACGTGAAATTGACCGCACATGCACGAGCACAATGCTCCACCCTGTCCCCTCCCTCAAATACACCGATTTGAATATGCTAATTAGTATAAATAGGCCTAGATAGTGCTGTCTTTAGTAAAAATGGCAAAAGCCAGGAAAATAAATGTTACGGAGTGTGAATTGGAGGTGCTGCTGACGGAGGTAGAGGCACAGGCAGTAAACTTGGTAGGGTCGGAGAACCGCACCGCAGCGGAGTTGAAAAAGAAGTGATATGAAGACATATCTGCCCATCGCCAGAGCCTTCAGGCCACAGGTGGTGGAGTCCCTGTATTACGGTAGACTGATATACTGTACTGCTGTATTGTGAAAGGGTTACTGTACGTACAAGACGTGACGTCACCACGCTCCCAGTGAGCGCTAGTTGTTGTTGTGTGTGAGCCATGCTGATGAGACAGCGGCACATTGGTCCGCACTTCATTGTTAACTGTTAAATAAATATGCCAAGAGGCTAAAGAAAATTCGAGTGTGTTCTACTTATCCTCCATACGCAGTAGAGGACTGCGCGCTGCAGTAAATAACCCCTTAACACAAATAATCTGCAAATGATTTAAAATTGTTTAATTGCTTGATTGATTGTAAATAATAATGACTTTCGCATACAGTGCAACTGTCCCTAGAGCAATTATTAATTTCAGCTATGCAATTTCAATGCATCGCCTGTGAGTGTCGCCAACTGACAACTAACATAAGCAAAAAATATGTATGTACGCCAGCAATGAAGCTGCCGTGGAGGACCACACATTCTCACGTTCATTTCACTTTTAGTACATCAGAACATGAACGTGAAAAATGGCGTATGCACAAATTTTGTGCGTACGCAACATTAGTACGAGGCCCCTGGACAGATGAAGGCACTTGGAAAAGGATACACAGGAGAGCAGAAAGAAAAAATCAAATAAATTACAAGTGTACTGTGAGTCATTAAAGGATTCATTACAGCCTTATAATGAAAGTTAAGGAGGCTCGAGGCGAATACTTTTCACAGTTAATCTCTACCAATCAGAACAATCCTCAAATTTTATTCAAGACCATTAATGACCTTGTCAATCCGCCACAATCAACCGCCACTTCCCTCATCTCCTGCAGACTGTGAACTTACTTTCTTTATCAATAAGATAAATAACATTAGAGCACATATAACTCCTCCTGCAAAATCTGTGGAGTTACCCAGCCCTTACTCAGAATTACTGAACTGTTTTATTCCCATATCACAACAGGACCTTGGCACTGTGTCACATATGGGCCCACTTGACCCTCTCTCCATTAAACTGAATGGACGCCATCGTACCTCATCTGTTCAATATTATACACAGTTCTCTTTCCTCTGGATGTGTGCCTAACATTGACAGTATTATAAAGGACAGCACGTCCAGGTCTGTGAAGAGTCTTAAACCTGTATTCTATGTAAAGGTCAGCAGGGGGAGCTCCATTGGCTACAATATAAACTGATCCCATTCACTCTCATGGAGAAATGAGCTCAGTAAACTCCTTTTGAGTTTCCTGATGAGTTTCTGGTCTCAGTCTCTAGTTTCAGTCTTCTTCCATACAGCATGATGTTCATTTAGTAACTGATGGTCCCATTTAGAGTAAAACAGACCATAAAGCAGGGTATGCTTTAGGGCGGGGCTACCTTGTGATTGACAGCTCATTCTCAGTGAGTCCATCCAGCTCAACCAAACTCAGATCAAACTGTCAAACAGAGCTGATCAGATATGGACTCAACCGCCAGATTATTGAGTAAATCTATAGGAGTTCCTGTCATATCATTTAAAATCAGCATCACTGCACTGGATGCACAAGTTCAGAAAACATGTTGAATTTAATTAATTGCCTACAAGGCCATCCATGTTCTGGCCCCAACTATATCAGAGAACTTTTAACCAGACACGCTGAATGCAGCCTCCACTTTAAGAGAACACAGTGAAACAGACAAAACACAACCAAATACATGTATTTATTTTATTAAATTACATCATGTTATAATAGGAATCAGTATGAAGATAATATTAAATATGTCAAAAAAATACAATTACAAAAGTATAAATGTATGAAATCAAACAATATGTATTTTAAGAGCTTTAAGTTCATATTAAGCCAAATATTCAGATCCAAGATAGCTGCACCATTTCCACAGATAGAAATATTATAAATGTGTTAAAGAACTGAAGCTACAATATTCTGACACTAGCTGCACACACACACTGAACAGATGTTTGATGTCCTGTAAATCACATTCAGGACAGAGAGATTCCTGCTCCATAAAACAGTCCCCACTGATCAGCCTCAGAGCCGATACGTTACAGACGATAACTTCAGTCTGGCCTCGTTCCTCTGGACGTCACAGATCCTCCATAAAGGCTGGAGGCTGAAACAGGAAGCAGAGTTCAAACAGTGCGGAAGAGATGAAGAAGAGAAAGAAGATGAGCAGCTGACCCCCACAGTGGATCCAAGCTGATGAAGACCAGCAGTCAGACTGTAGAAAGCTCACAGATCAGGAAGAATTGTATAAAAATATCAGCAAAACTAATCTCTGATCAATATAATAATAATAATAATAATAATAATCTGCTCACAATTCATCCAAATCTCTGGTTTTACACAAACTTCCTGCAGTTACTGAGTTCACTGTTTGGGTTTATTGTTCAGTTTATCAGCTGTTATTGTTATTGTTGAATATAATATGAAATATCCATAAAAAGTAAAAAGTGCTCCGTTAAGGGAAAGGTTGGAACCAGAGCTCTCAGTATTACAAACCACTAGATGTCACTGTGCTGCTGAGTTTAAAGCCCTGAAGCTTCATGAGGCTTCAGTCAGAGAAGGCAGGTTCCTGTTTCTGTGACACTTTATTTACTCATACAGCTGGTTTCATCATCAGAGTATCTGTCATTCAAACAGTAACCTTAGCTTTTAGACAACGAGCTGAAAGAGAGACAGTCTGTTCTCCACCACCAGCAGCAGGGCTCAACACTCACACACCCTGCTTAAATCAATGAAGGTTCACTACAATATTTGCATTTCCTGAAGAAAACAGTGTGATTGCTACATCTGCTGCTGTAGCCGCTACCGCTGATCGCAGACAGCTTCTGAAAGAATCCCAGCAACAAGTGTTCATGATTCACATCTGAAGATACCACCCCAAAATCAGTCATCATTAAATACTGTATTTAAGAGATATCAGTCCCAAAAAAACACACAAAAGAAGAAAAAGTATAATCAGAAAAATACAGACTGAAGGTAACAATGACCTCTGCCCCATATCTACAGATGTGACCTCTACCTTGTATCTATAGCATTAACATATGCCCTGTATTTATAGCACTGACCTCTACTGTATCCCTTCTTACCTCTGTAACTCTGAACCAAATCTTTAACTTAATTATTGATAATAACTACTGATGTGTTTGGGTTATAGTTGTTGGTAATTGGTTACCAAACATGTGGTTCTGAATAAAATCACACATTCTTGCAGCAATCACACAAATATAACTGAACATGACGTTTGACTGATGTGGTTGCTGTGACTCACCTGTACCATCACCTTCTTCAGCTCTCTGCTGCTGCGGCTTTCTGGCAAACACGTCCTAAAACATAAAAACAGGCTGGGTACAATCTCAGATATGACTTTACTGAAAAAAACCTTAATGTTTAATAAACAGAATTCAGTTAGTGTTTGACAAAGGTTATACAATGATAGATAGATTCATTTGGACTTTAATGAAGAATGACGATGTGATGTTTAGAGATGAATCTAGAAATGTTGTACTGAGTAATGGATACAGACTTTGTCAGATTTGTATTTGTAGGTGAAATGTACCTTTTGATGACGATGGATGCCACTATGACAATGAGCACAGTGTGCAGAGTGAAGACAACCAGACGAACAACAATTGCAGCAGTATTTGATCCTGTGAGACAGGACAGAAAGTTGTTGGACTGTAGACGTTAAAAATATGTTTCTATGTTCAGAAACAGGAAATTGTTTAAAGAATAAAATGTGAATAGATTCCTCCCCTTCATTAATCACATTTCACTACAGAGAAAACTGATCAGACAAACCTTCGTCCTCCACATGCAGACTGTACGGCAGGGACACAGTTCTGTTGCTAGTCCTCAACCCACAGGTGTAGTTCCCAGAATCCTTTGCAGTCAGCGGGCCGAGCTGGAGGGCGGGGCCAGACTCTGAGAGGGCGTGGTTGTCTTTGAACCAGGTGACCTCAAGTTGGTGGATATTGACTGCAGTGCAGTACAGAGTGACTGATTCTCCTCCTCTCATCTCTCCGTCTGCACTGGAGCTGTTTATCTTCATTCTAACAGGATCTAAATTACATTTTAAAGTTAGTTTTAGATAAAGAAATGTTGCTGATGTTCCACTGACTGTAACAGGGTGAATGGTTCCTCTGTACCTCTGAGCTCTTTGGTGCATAATGCTTTTTTATTATATACATATACAGTACATATATATATATAGAGAGAGAGAGATTTTATGGAGAAAACATTTCCTCTGATGTCCTCCGGCTGCTCAGCTTCAACTCTCTGTGATTTACAGAGTTTCCTGACGGACAGTAAAGTAACTGCTGCTGTTAGCTAGTTAGCTTAGCCGTCAGGCTCGGCAGCTTTTATGGGCCGAGCTAATGTGAGAGGCTGAGAGAGCTCAGAGGACGGAGGACGCTGACGGAGGACGCTCAGAAGCATAAAGGACAGAGTGAATGTGGGTTGGATAAAGAGAGCTTGGTGAAATAACAGGCTGCAGACAGACGGAGAGCTGTTGGAGCAGTCAGTAAGAGTAGCTGCTTGCTACGTCTGCTGACCTTTAATGTTTGGCTGTTAGCAAAGATCAGAACAAATATACAGATGTCTATATTTACCACTGAGAGTCGATTTAACATTTTCAATCAGACTTCATAGAAATAAATGTAACACAGATAACCAGAGTAGGGGAAAGGGTTGCGGTGTGGTTCCCCGATAGAACATGTTTATCATATAAATGTATACGTTTCAAATCTGAAAAATGTTTTCAGCCGTTCAGACAAACCTTCGTCCTCCACATGCAGACTGTACGGCAGGGACACAGTTCTGGTGCCGGTCCTCAAACCACAGGTGTAGTTCCCAGAATCCTTTGCAGTCAGCGGGCCGAGCTGGAGGGCGGGGCCAGACTCTGAGAGGGCGTGGTTGTCTTTGAACCAGGTGACCTCCAGTTGGTGGATAGTGCAGACTGCAGTGCAGTACAGAGTGACTGATTCTCCTCTTCTCATCTCTCCGTCTGCACTGGAGCTGTTTATCTTCATTCTAACAGGATCTAAAATAAAGAGTTTAAGACTTGTTAGAGCTTCAATCTCTATTTAAACTCACCCACACATTGTCTGGACTGGAGCCCAGAGACGTTCCCGCTGCTGGAGAGCAAAGAGTTTCATCTTGTGCACACTCAAATGAACGCAGCACGCTGCAGTTAATTAACCCTGCTGCCTGTTGGCGTTTATCAAAGCTAATAAACAGTCAGATTACAGACAGACAGACAGACAGTTAATGTTATTGAGTGACGTCACACTGCGAGAGAAGTTTATCTGCTTCCTGTTCCCACAATTCACTCTCAGGGAGTTTTCTCCTCTTTTTCTGACAGATAGTCCGTTCATCCTCTCATCACAGTTGGAAACAGTGACACCCGCTTTGATACGAGGGGGAGGCGGGGCCTTACGCAGCTTCCGGCTCTGCTGTCTCTCTTCCACTCTCATTTCCTTCCTGTTTCTCTCCAGAGGTTCCTCTACAGCAGGGGTATTCAATTAAAAGTCACTGAGGTCCACTACTAAAATTTCCTCCAAATAAAAGGTCCGAACCGAAGTCCAGCTTGTGTCTTATTATTGTGGCTACCCTATGTTCACATTTTCATATGGTTTCAATAATACTTATTGTCACTTTTAACAGAGTGCACTTATATAGTAAACAGCCAGCAGTTTTGCCATAAAAAAGCATTCCCAGTCAAATAAATTTAAGGCCTTTATTTCAGATTAAAGAAAACAGAAACCTCAGAATAAAATAAATTAAGTGCAAACAGAGCCTAATAACCCCCTTTCTTTTAAATTAAAGAGGTCCCAGCCTAAAGAACTGAAGGCCTACACTTCAAATAAAAAAAGTCATAAAAGTGTCTCCTTTAGGAACAAATCAAGTGCAAACAGAGCATTGACTAAACATCTTTCTTTTTTTTTCTTAAATTAGAGAGGTCCCAGCCTAAAAAAACTGAAGGCTTACTTTTCAAGTAAAATAAGTCAACATGTTCAAAAAACAATAAATAAAAAATGGCTGAGGATGCCCTAAGGAAGTTGATGAGTTTCATCATTGTGTTCATTACTTCTGCAAACTGTTCTGATAAAGTGGCACACAAAACAGTCTGATGGATGAGACAGTGGTAAGCAATAAGATCTGGGTTGTCCTCTTTCATCCGGGGCACAGCCCCCGCTCTTTTCCCACCATGGCAGGGGCACCATCTGTAGTAACAGACACAACCTGCTTCGGATCCATGCCCCTCCTTCTCAGCATCTCTTTTATTGCTCCACATATGTCCTCTCCTCTTGTGTGTGTTTCAAGTGGTGCTACACCCAGCAGGTCCTCACAGAGCTCCTTCTTATCTTTGTGAAAAAATCTCACATACACCAAAAGCTGGGCATTATCAGTAACATCTGTGGACTCATCGATGGCCAACGATATGCATGGTGCACTCTGAATAGCTGCATCAAGCTGTGCCAGTACATCATCTAATATTTCTGATTTTCTGGTTGCTGTTGAAGCTGACATGGGGATTTATTTGATTTTTTCACACATCTCGTCTTTTTGTTTTCCTTCAAATAATGTCTCTGCAATCGCGTTTAAGCACTCCTTCACAACTGTCCCATCACTAAATGTTTTTTTATGTTGCCCCAAAATCCACGACACCCTTAGTGAACATTCGTTTGCACGTTGCTGGGCTGTAAATGTGTGCGTAATGAGTCGAGTAGACCTGTCATATTGGGCTCGGAGTTGGGTTATTTTGCGTGCTCTCAGCTCGGACTTCAGGGGATAACTTCGCTCAAAGGAGCTCTGCCGTGTTTCGTAGTGGCGCTTCACGTTGCCACTTTTAATTAATGCGACGTTTTCGGAACATATGAGGCACACTGGTTTTGAACTGTCTGCTGGAAGAATGAACACACATTTCTCCGTCCATTCATCTTTAAAACAACGGTTTTCCGCATCTACCTTCCTCACTTTAGAGCAAGCCATGCTCTCAGCACTGTCTCTCTCTCTCTGCTCAGGTGCGCTGGCCGTGCAGGGTAAACAAAGGGTTTGATTGGCTCAGCTGAGTGACGCTATTGCCGTATTAACTGGAGTAGCAGCGCCCGCGACCGTCAGAAAAATGCTCCATGGAAAATTTCTATTCTTGTGAATTTATCAGAGATTGTTCATGGGTCCGGTCAGAACCATCACTCGGTCCGGATCCGGACCGAGGTCCGCCATTTGGTGATGCATGCTCTACAGGCTGTCGACACTCATCTTGCATTCAGTGCTGCGGCTAAAAGAGGCTGAGCTGTTCCCCCTCTGTCTCAGGGTATTTCTCATCTGACTGATGTCAAAATAAACTCTCAAAGTTCTGACCGCTTTTTATTAACAGCATTGTCGTGCACTTTTACTTAGAATAGTTAGGAACATTTAACATTCACCACTTCACACTTCACACCACATCATTAATATTATTGCTATTGTTGGTTTTAGTATTATCATATGATGATCTTACCAATGACTCTGACTTTTACTCCTGATCGGCCAGTACCATGTCCTCCGGTGTCATTTGCTTCCATTCTGAAGCGAAATGTTGCCTCGTCACTCTTCTGTATATCTGTGATCTGTAAAGTGCAGTTTCCCTTCTTGTCTCCCAGATATTTGTAACGAGGGTCGTTGTTTGTAGACTCACTGTCGTACACAGACGGGGTGGTGCCCTGACAAATCTCATGGTTCTGGCACCAGACGACTCTGACGATCACTATAGGAACTTCTCTTCCATTCTCTCTAATGACAGATTTAACTGGTGTGAAGGAGCAGAGGAGGGTGACAGTGGATCCTTTAACAGCACAAACAGGATGTGGATAATTCACAATATAACCTCCAGCACCTAAAGAACACAACACAGTGAGGACAGCTGAGTTTAAGAATAAAGGAGCTTCATTTAGAGCGAGTACTTTCATTAAAATGGACCTCGAGCACTAAAACTGAAAACAAGTCTTACCTGCCAGCATTAACATGAAGCCCCAGAGAATCTTTTTGTCCCAGACTGCCATCCTTACTTTCTTAAAGACTTGATTTAACGTTTATCTTGTTTGATCGAACTCCAGCAGTGCTGATGAAGACACTGACTAAATGTCAAACTAAGAGGATGAGTCATATCTTTGTGGTGACTGACTTCCTCCTTTTCTTTACCAGAAGTCTTTAACCTGTTAAACAGGCAGGGCTGTGAACAGTTTTCACAACATTTTCCCACAGTGACAGCAGTTATTCAGACCATCAGGGGGACAATTAGAAATACTGTAATTTATTCTCTCTCATCGTGAACATGAAGGCAGCAATGACAGTGAGTAAGTGTGATGAAAAATCATGAATGTAACATCATTTTGCATTTTTAGTCAATATTTTGCAGAGTTGCCAACATGTTGTATCGCTGAACGAACAAATCTCACTCTGTCTCCTGGTCCGAGGAACAGCAACAGCGGCTGAGGGATGGTGGATGGGAGCCTGAGTATAAGAAGGCAGTGTTAGCAGGGAAGATATCCAGCCTTATATAAACCCTTCTCAGTCCTCGGCACAGTCTGATTATGTCCCCGCAAACGCCCAAAGTCAATCACCAAAACCAAACGTTTGCATGCAACCAAGGGCGTAGGAACCGGGGGGGATGGAGGGGGGACGTGTCCCCTCCAATATTGGAGACAGGCGCATTTGTCCCACCCAAAAACTATACCGCGGAGGAGGAAAATATTTGATTTTGAAATCTTTAACTCATTTGCTTTTATTTTGAAAGCGCCACACAGCGTCTTGTCACCGGCCCGCCAGAGTTGTGTTTGAGAGTAATATTTTGGAAAATGGCTGAGGCACGACCAAAGAAAAGACGCTCAGAGGAATATAAGACGAGCAGCCTTCCACGCCTTTGTTCTCCGCCGCCGTGTTCTCTCTTCCCAACGTCCCTCCTGAGCGGACAGGTGTTCCTAATTCCCCCTCTAATAATCAATCTACCTGCGCACTCACACAAGGAGAGAGGAGACCAGCACATACACACTCACACACACACACACACACACACACACACACACACACACACACCCTGTGACTTACAGGAGGCAGTTTCTGTAGAAAGTGCAGGTGTGCATTGTGAATGTTGAAAAGCTAAACTGATTTCTGGCTTTAATTTGTAAAAAGTAGCTGAAGGAGTATTTTAGTTGGAAACATGGAGCTGACGGGACTGAAACACTGAAATAATCTCACAAGGTTTGAATGTCGTTTCCAACTGAAAGTATGTTTGAATACTTGGAAAAGTGTCAGAGGGATGAAGGATGCAGCATATAGTGTAATGTGGGGATGAACTACATTGTTCACTAATGGCTGAGACCTAAACTCCAGAGACCTTTAAAGTTGAATTTTTTCATTTGGTGTGGTTTAACTGAACTTTTAATGTGATGGGTCATTTTGGTCAGCTCATCCGGTCACTTCCTGTAACTGTAACCTGATGTAACTTGATGATGCACAATGTCCAGGTGATAAAACTCCTGGTATACCGTAATCTGCTCTTTCTTCTCTCTTACTCTCTTACCTCTCCTCCCTCGCCCACACCGGGTCATGAGCTGGCCAGGCCGCTGCCGACGCAGGATTCAACAGAGTTAACGGCTAAACCAGGACTGTTTAATTACTGTTAATGTTACTGATGTGTTTTTATTCCGGTTATGTTATTGTGTTGATCTGATTAATGCAGGTTACTGTAGTAACTGTAGTCTCTGAGACAGTGCTAAGGTGATGTTAGTTTAATGCTTCACACAGACACTGTCTTTGCATGCAACTAACTCTCTTTTAACGGCACCGTTAATCTGAGATCTCACACATATTCACCTAAATTCGGCTCTAATCCTCAGCATACACATTAGGAGAGGGAAATCAAACCCTCCTACTCCTCCATGCTCTTTGTCTCTCACCAGCGTGCACACACACACCTTTTATCTTTAGCTTATGGTGCTTTCCATTTCTCTCGTAAATCCCCCACCCGAGTTGCTCTGACGTGAGAACGTGACATAATTGCCTGGCTTGTACCACTTATTACGAGTCAGAAAGAACATGGAAGTCACCAGTTGTGTGGCAGCAGCTGTGTTGTTATTGATTGTGGATCATTTAAACAAGCTCAATGTGAAATAATAATGTTTTTCTACACAAACACTAACATTTCAAGTAATTCCGTTATTGCAAGTCTTACATTTCAGTAACATTTTGCCATTTTCGCCTATTTCAATTTCAACAAGTGCTGTGGCGTTTGTCTCGAGCCACCAGGAGCCACCAGGGGCCTCCAGGAGCCACCAGGGGCCTCCAGGGGCCACCAGGAGCCTCCAGGAGCCACCAGGGGCCACCAGGAGCCACCAGGAGCCTCCAGGGGCCACCAGGAGCCACCAGGGGCCACCAGGAGCCTCCAGGGGCCTCCAGGGGCAGGCTAGTGTTATTGTTAGCTACATTAGCCTATTTAGAAAACCAGCTTGAAAACAAAACTTTACATTGTATTGAACTCACAGCAACACGGTGCAATGCATAAACTGGTGACCGGACTAAAGCAGCAATGTAAACAGTGTGTAGGAGAATTTAAAATCGACATTAAAACGACCAACGTAGCACAAATACAAAGAACATACATCTCAATATGGACGCTGCCATCTTTGTTTTGCGAGTCGTGCGTTCGTCCTCGTTCAGCTCGGTGAACTCTGAGGAACCCCGAGAGGGACAGCTGATATTACGACCAAAAGGGGGGTGTCTCGGTGAAATGAGATAGCTGCGAGATTTACACTTTCCAACTCGGGCGGGGGGTTTACGAGACAAATGGAAAGCAGCATTAGTTTGTTTAACTAAGGGCCCGTCTTCACGAATACGTTTCTCTCGAATCCAGATAAATACTTTATCGTATCGGCCTCGCGTCCAGACAGATACGGCGTTTTTGGGGTGTGAAAACGGTACTTTTTGGAAACGGGTCCCAGAGTGGGAAAATCCGAAAACGGCGGATTGCCCCGAGTCTTCTGGATGGCGAAAACGTATTAGCCCCGCCTCTCTAGCCTTTAACCTGAGCCGCCGCTAGACAACAACAACAATGGCGACTACTACTACTTGTTTGTAAGCAGCGCATGCTCCATGGCTTCTCTTCCGGTTTTAGTGTGTTGGTGTGGCGGCATCACAGCGCCACATACAGGCCTGGCATATGTACGACAGCGTTTTGGGTCGTTTCAGTGAATCCGTGTGGACGCAGATATTTCTGGAAACGACGCCGTGTTCACATCGTATTGGGTGAGGCCGCGTATTCGTGAGGACAGACCCTAAGACTGTACATTGTGTGTTTTTACTCTCTTTATTATCTCTAATTAATTACAAGTGTACTGTCAGTCATTAAAGGATTCATTACAGCCTTATAATGAAAGTTAAGGAGGCTCGAGGCGAATACTTTTCACAGTTAATCTCTACAAATCAGAACAATCCTCAAATTTTATTCAAGACCATTAATGACCTTGTCAATCCGCCACAATCAACCGCCACTTCCCTCATCTCCTGCAGACTGTGAACTTACTTTCTTTATCAATAAGATAAATAACATTAGAGCACATGTAACTCCTCCTGCAAAATCTGTGGAGTTACCCAGCCCTTACTCAGAATTACTGAACTGTTTTATTCCCATATCACAACAGGACCTTGGCACTGTGTCACATATGGGCCCACTTGACCCTCTCTTCATTAAACTGAATGGACGCCATCGTACCTCATCTGTTCAATATTATACACAGTTCTCTTTCCTCTGGATGTGTGCCTAACATTGACAGTATTATAAAGGACAGCACGTCCAGGTCTGTGAAGAGTCTTAAACCTGTATTCTATGTAAAGTCAGCAGGGGGAGCTCCATTGGCTATATATATAATATAGAGCTGGAAATGAACAGATTATGTCCACTTTAAGAGAACACAGTGAAACAGACAAAACACAACCAAATACATGTATTTATTTTAGTAAATTACATCATGTTATAATAGGAATCAGTATGAAGATAAAAAAAAACAAGAAAATCAATTACAAAATACAATTACAAAAGTATAAATGTATGAAATCAAACAATATGTATTTTAAGAGCTTTGAGTTCATATTAAGCCAAATATTCAGATCCAAGATAGCTGCACCATTTCCACAGATAGAAATATTATAAATGTGTTAAAGAACTGAAGCTACAATATTCTGACACTAGCTGCACACACACACTGAACAATGTTTGATGTCCTGTAAATCACATTCAGGACAGAGAGATTCCTGCTCCATAAAACAGTCCCCACTGATCAGCCTCAGAGCCGATACGTTACAGACGATAACTTCAGTCTGGCCTCGTTCCTCTGGACGTCACAGATCCTCCATAAAGGCTGGAGGCTGAAACAGGAAGCAGAGTTCAAACAGTGAGGATGAGATGAAGAAGAGAAAGAAGACGAGCAGCTGACCCCCACAGTGGATCCAAGCTGATGAAGACCAGCAGTCAGACTGTAGAAAGCTCACAGATCAGAAAGAACTGTATAAAAATATCAGCAAAACTAATCTCTGATCAATATAATAATAATAATAATAATAATAATAATAATAATAATAATAATAATAATAATAATCTGCTCACAATTCATCCAAATCTCTGGTTTTACACAAACTTCCTGCAGTTACTGAGTTCACTGTTTGGGTTTATTGTTCAGTTTATCAGCTGTTATTGTTATTGTTGCTCCCTTAAGGGAAAGGTTGGAACCAGAGCTCTCAGTATTACAAACCACTAGATGTCACTGTGCTGCTGAGTTTAAAGCCCTGAAGCTTCATGAGGCTTCAGTCAGAGAAGGCAGGTTCCTGTTTCTGTGACACTTTATTTACTCATACAGCTGGTTTCATCATCAGAGTATCTGTCATTCAAACAGTAACCTTAGCTTTTAGACAACGAGCTGAAAGAGAGACAGTCTGTTCTCCACCACCAGCAGCAGGGCTCAACACTCACACACCCTGCTTAAATCAATGAAGGTTCACTACAATATTTGCATTCCCTGAAGAAAACAGTGTGATTGCTACATCTGCTGCTGTAGCCGCTACCGCTGATCGCAGACAGCTTCTGAAAGAATCCCAGCAACAAGTGTTCATGATTCACATCTGAAGATACCACCCCAAAATCAGTCATCACTAAATACTGTATTTAAGAGATATCAGTCCCAAAAAAACACACAAAAGAAGAAAAAGTATAATCAGAAAAATACAGACTGAAGGTAACAATGACCTCTACCCCATATCTACATATGTGACTTCTACCTTGTATCTATAGCACTAACATATGTCCTGTATCTACAGATGTGACCACTACCTTGTATCTATAGCACTAACATATGCCCTGTATTTATAGCACTGACCTCTGCACTGTATCCCTTCTTGGTAACATTGACAAATAGACTGAATCAAATCTTTATTCCTTGTCTCAAATGAACAGTGTCAAATTATTGGACTTAAACTTAATTACTGATAATAACTACTGATGTGTTTGGGTAATCACTTATCGTTTGTCTGTAATTGGTTACCAAACTTTTGTAGGTGTGGCCTAATGTTGGTAACCAAAACCAAACCAGATTGATAAGTGATACCCAAACACATCAGCAGTTATTATCAGTACGATCATCCAAGGAACCCACTGGACAAAAATGTTTCTTCTAGAGTTTTTAGCAAACATGTAAAATGCTTAATAACCGACCACATGGTAGCGCTATTGTTCTGAATAAAATCACACATTCTTGCAGCAATCACACAAATATAACTGAACATGACGTTTGACTGATGTGGTTGCTGTGACTCACCTGCACCATCACCTTCTTCAGCTCTCTGCTGCTGCGGCTTTCTGGCAAACACGTCCTAAAACATAAAAACAGGCTGGGTACAATCTCAGATATGACTTTACTGAAAAAAACCTTAATGTTTAATGAACAGAATTCAGTTAGTGTTTGACAAAGGTTATACAATGATAGACTTTACAGAGCAGATATTTCTGCTGCAGCAGATAAATGAAATGACATTTCATTTGGACTTTAATGAAGAATGACGATGTGATGTTTAGAGATGAATCTAGAAATGTTGTACTGAGTAATGGATACAGACGTTGTCAGATTTGTATTTGTAGGTGAAATGTACCTTTTGATGACGATGGCTGCCACTATGACAATGAGCACAGTGTGCAGAGTGAAGACAACCAGACAAACAACAACTGCAGCAGGATTTGATCCTGTGAGACAGGACAGAAAGTTGTTGGACTGTAGACATTAAAAATATGTTTCTATGCTCAGAAACAGGAAATTGTTTAAAGAATAAAATGTGAATAGATTCCTCCCCTTCATTAATCACATTTCACTACAGAGAAAACTGATCAGACAAACCTTCGTCCTCCACATGCAGACTGTACGGCAGGGACACAGTTCTGTTGCTAGTCCTCAACCCACAGGTGTAGTTCCCAGAATCCTTTGCAGTCAGCGGGCCGAGCTGGAGGGCGGGGCCAGACTCTGAGAGGACGTGGTTGTCTTTGAACCAGGTGACCTCCAGTTGGTGGATAGTGCAGACTGCAGTGCAGTACAGAGTGACTGATTCTCCTCCTCTCATCTCTCCGTCTGCACTGGAGCTGTTTATCTTCATTCTAACAGGATCTAAAATAAAGAGTTTAAGACTTGTTAGAGCTTCAATCTCTATTTAAACTCATGAATGATTAGTTGATTGACAATTAATCTGAAATGATATTGATAATCAATTTACCCATCTGCTCGATTCAGACTCTCCAATGTTTTTGTCTTCTCTGACAGTAAACTGAATATTTATTAGAGAAGATTTATGTTTGAATATACTCCAGTGTGAAACTTCATTTAGTACCCAGTATGCAGTACTGACTGACTATGTAGTAGACAGTATATGGAGAGAATTCTGTTCCTTTATTATTCAATCAATCAATCGACCACCCTGCAATGGTAACCTGCAAATAAACCAGCCACATCAGCCCCAAGAAGCTAGCTGACAGTATTATGTGTCATTAAGTACCTAGTAATTCCTCTGTGCTAGGAAGCTAATGTTATCCAGCTAAAAGTACAATATGACAATATATTCTAAAGGTGTTGCAGTAATGTTAGCTTTGAGTTTGGACTCTGTGTTGTGTTTGAAATCACATACTAATGTACTGTTATGGAGAGAATTCTGTTCCTTTATTATTCAATCAAATAGAATAGATTTGAAAGCAAAAAAGAGATTTGAGAGCAAAAAAGAGTAAGTGGCAATCAAAAAAAAAAAATTGAGATTGAAACAACAGGTTGCAATTGAAAAAAAAATATGAGAGAACATATTTCTTCAACTTCAATCAAAACTAATGTTTGTAAGTACAAACATACGACCATTTTGCGTCCTCTTTGCTTGCGAGTTATAAAGTTTTGCTTGCGAATTCAACTGCACTTGATGGGCGGGGCCTACGCTGGTGGACGAGAGAAGAGTTTCTATTGGTTGGTTTGACCTGGCTACGTCTTACACCCACTTCTCCCTGTGCTGTGCTGCTTGGAGAAGCCTGTTGCTCTTGAAACGTTTCCCATAAGTAATGAATTGCGCTATATATTGTTGGCTACAGCCTGCCGTACATTCACAACAACAACAACAACACAAGTAATGAATTATAATGCCCTGCTGCTGCTAGCACACTGATTAGCAGCAACATGGTTGTCTGTGCTAGTCACAGCCTGAGCAGAGTAGCCTAATGAGTGAGTGAATTACAGGGAGGCGTATTCAACGTAGGGCTGTGATTGAAACATTTAGTGTTGCATGGTACTCGCGGTGCCAAAACGTCACGCTTCCTACACAACAGTACTACCGTGGATTACTAAACTACCGCTGAACGCGGTGCCAGTTTCCACTGTGTAGCACTGATCAGTGTGCTAGCAGCAGCAGGGCATTATAAATCATTACTTGTGTTGTTGTTGTTGTTGTTGTTGTTGTTGTTGTGAATGTACGGCAGGCTGTAGCCAACAATATATAGCACAATTCATTACTTATGGGAAACGTTTCAAGAGCAACAGACTACCTCCAAGCAGCACAGCACAGGGAGAAGTGGGTGTAATGTGGAAGACGTAGCCAGGTCAAACCAACCAATAGAAACTCTTCTCTCATCCACCAGCGTAGGCCCCGCCCATCAAGTGCAGCTGAATTCGCAAGCAAAACTTTTGAATTTGCAAGCAAAGAGGACTGATTTATAAGCCAAATGGTCGTATGTTTTTACTTACAAACATTAGTTTTGATTGAAGTTGAAGAAATATGTTCTCTCATATTTTTTTTCAATTGCAACCTGTTCTGTTTCAATCTCAATTTTTTTTTTTTGATTGCCACTTACTCTTTTTGCTCTCAAATCTCTTTTTTGCTTTCAAATCTATTCTATTTGATTGAATAATAAAGGAACAGAATTCTCTCCATAACAGTACATTAGTATGTGATTTCAAACACAACACAGAGTCCAAACTCAAAGCTAACATTACTGCAACACCTTTAGAATATATTGTCATATTGTACTTTTAGCTGGATAACATTAGCTTCCTAGCACAGAGGAATTACTAGGTACTTAATGACACATAATACTGTCAGCTAGCTTCTTGGGGCTGATGTGGCTGGTTTATTTGCAGGTTACCATTGCGGAGTGGTCGGTGCCAGATTCCCATTCCCCTTCATTAATCACATTTCACTACAGAGAAAACTGATCAGACAAACCTTCGTCCTCCACATGCAGACTGTACGGCAGGGACACAGTTCTGGTGTTGGTACTCAAACCACAGGTGTAGTTCCCAGAATCCTTTGCAGTCAGAGGGCCGAGCTGGAGGGCGGGGCCAGACTCTGAGAGGGCGTGGTTGTCTTTGAACCAGGTGACCTCCAGTTGGTGGATAGTGCAGACTCCAGTGCAGTACAGAGTGACTGATTCTCCTCCTCTCATCTCTCCGTCTGCACTGGAGCTGTTTATCTTCATTCTAACAGGATCTAAAATAAAGAGTTTAAGACTTGTTAGAGCTTCAATCTCTATTTAAACTCACCCACACATTGTCTGGACTGGAGCCCAGAGACGTTCCCGCTGCTGGAGAGCAAAGAGTTTCATCTTGTGCACACTCAAATGAACGCAGCACGCTGCAGTTAATTAACCCTGCTGCCTGTTGGCGTTTATCAAAGCTAATAAACAGTCAGATTACAGACAGACAGACAGACAGTTAATGTTATTGAGTGACGTCACACTGCGAGAGAAGTTTATCTGCTTCCTGTTCCCACAATTCCCTCTCAGGGAGTTTTCTCCTCTTTTTCTGACAGATAGTCCGTTCATCCTCTCATCACAGTTGGAAACAGTGACACCCGCTTTGATACGAGGGGGAGGCGGGGCCTTACGCAGCTTCCGGCTCTGCTGTCTCTCTTCCACTCTCATTTCCTTCCTGTTTCTCTCCAGAGGTTCCTCTACAGGCTGTCGACACTCATCTTGCATTCAGTGCTGCGGCTAAAAGAGGCTGAGCTGTTCCCCCTCTGTCTCAGGGTATTTCTCATCTGACTGATGTCAAAATAAACTCTCAAAGTTCTGACCGCTTTTTATTAACAGCATTGTCATGTACTTTTACTTTGAATAGTTAGGAACATTTAACATTCACCACTTCACACCACATCATTAATATTATTGCTATTGTTGGTTTTAGTATTATCATATGATGATCTTACCAGTGACTCTGACTTTTACTCCTGATACGCCAGTAAAATGTCCTCTGGTGTCATTTGCTTCCATTCTGAAGCGAAATGTTGCGTTGTCACTCTTCTGTATATCTGTGATCTGTAAAGTGCAGTTTCCCTTCTTGTCTCCCAGATATTTGTAATGAGTGTCGTTGTTCACAGACTCACTGTCGTACACAGACGGGGTGGTTCCATGACAAATCTCATGGTTCTGGCACCAGACGACTCTGACGATCACTATAGGAACTTCTCTTCCATTCTTTCTAGTGAAAGTCTTTCTGGGTGTGAAGGAGCAGAGGAGGGTGACAGTGGATCCTTTAACAGCACAAACAGGATGTGGATAGTTCACAATATAACCTCCAGCACCTAAAGAACACAACACAGTGAGGACAGCTGAGTTTAAGAATGAAGGAGCTTCATTTAGAGCGAGTACTTTCATTAAAATGGACCTTGAGCACTAAAACTGAAAAAAAGTCTTACCTGCCAGCATGAACATGAAGCCCCAGAGAATCTTTTTGTCCCAGACTGCCATCCTTACTTTCTTAAAGACTTGATTTAACGTTTATCTTGTTTGATCGAACTCCAGCAGTGCTGATGAAGACACTGACTAAATGTCAAACTCAGAGGATGAGTCATGTCTTTGTTGTTACTGTTTGACTTCCTCCTTTTCTTTACCAGAAGTCTTTAACCTGTTAAACAGGCAGGGCTGTGAACAGTTTTCACAACATTTTCCCACAGTGACAGCAGTTATTCAGACCATCAGGGGGACAATTAGAAATACTGTAATTTATTCTCTCTCATCGTGAACATGAAGGCAGCAATGACAGTGAGTAAGTGTGATGAAAAATCATGAATGTAACATCATTTTGCATTTTTAGTCAATATTTTGCAGAGTTGCCAACATGTTGTATCGCTGAACGAACAAATCTCACTCTGTCTCCTGGTCCGAGGAACAGCAACAGCGGCTGAGGGATGGTGGATGGGAGCCTGAGTATAAGAAGGCAGTGTTAGCAGGGAAGATATCCAGCCTTATATAAACCCTTCTCAGTCTCGGCACAGTCTGATTATGTCCCCACAAACGCCCAAAGTCAATCACCAAAACCAAACGTTTGCATGCAACCAAGGGCGTAGGAACCGGGGGGGGATGGAGGGGGGACGTGTCCCCTCCAATATTGGAGACAGGCGCATTTGTCCCACCCAAAAACTATACCGCAGAGGAGGAAAATATTTGATTTTGAAATCTTTAACTCATTTGCTTTTATTTTGAAAGCGCCACACAGCGTCTTGTCACCGCCCGCCAGAGTGGGGACAGGTCAGAGGTTAAGATGAAAAGACAGCAGCAGCTCAGTTTATGTGATTTCTCTCTAATGGGGAAGAAAAGAAAGAATGTGAGTTAGTAATAATTTTGTCCAGGAGGATAAATATATTTTCTGTCTAACGTTAGACTAGTTGATGTTAAGCTGATGTTGTGATTCAACATCTAACTAACTAGTTCACTCTTGCTGGGTTAACGTTGTTACTATTAACGTTACTAGCCAACTTTGGCGACGGCGAAAACGTATTAGCCCTGCCTCTCTAGCCTTTAACCTCAGCCGCCGCCGCTAGACGCATCATAACAACAACAACAATGGCGGACTACTACTACTTGTTTGTAAGCAGCTCATGCTCCATGGCTTCTCTTCCGGTTTTAGTGTATTGGTGTGGCGGCGTCACAGCGCCACATACTGGCCTGGCATATGTACGACAGCGTTTTGGGTCGTTTCAGTGAATCCGTGTGGACGCAGATATTTCTGGAAACGACGCCGTGTTTACGGAGATTTTTTTTGAAACGACATCGTATTGGGTGAGGCCGCGTATTCGTGAGGACAAACCCTAAGATTGTACATTGTGTGTTTTTACTCTCTTTATTATCTCTTTAATAAATGTTTGTGTTTTTACATGCTGGCCTATTAAATTTTGCACAAGAGTGGATGATACCAACCTCTTTAATGCAGAACTCCAAAGCCTGCCACTTTAACTATTAATAGTGATTTTGGTTATAGTTATTCATTTAATTAATCTGATTTCTAAATTGGTAGTTTAGACTGAATCAATCAATTATTGGCTATCGTTTCCCTTATTTAAGGATGGTGCCTGACTAACTTTATCATTAAAGGGGAACTTCGGCAGATTTTCACCCTAGTCTTGATCCCTAGAGGTCACCGAGTACAGTCGATAGGAAAAACAACGACCAGAATTGGTTCTAGCAAACTGGAGATCCTTCAGCTAATGGCCAGAGCTCCCAGTTAGTTATAATACGCTTCTTGGGGGCATATCCTAAAGAGTGCCTTTTGCTCCTCTTAAAGGACAATTCCGGCGCAAAATGACCCTGGGGTTAATAACACATGTGTACCGAGTTGGTCCGGTCTCTGGGATATGTTTTCATGCTAATCGACCGTGACCAGTTTTAGCACAAACCGCTAATTAGCTTATAATGCTAGTCAACGGGGCACCGAGTAACGTGAAAAGAAATCTATTTCTATTCCACTAACAAGACTCAAAATAGCACCACATTTACACGGTAGCATAATGAGGGTCCCTACCTATAAACCGAAGCATTGAGAACGTTGTAAGTGTACAGACAGTTTATTAAAAAGATAGTTTAGAACAACAGTAGTTCTCGTATACAGGCGGGCACCATCTTGGGAAAACAGTCAGGGGTTCGGTCATTCATGCAGATCAATGATAAAGACTTACAGCTGGCGATGTGAACTAAAACAAACGTAATTTGCTCAATATATCAGAAATAATTGCACCGATGTAAAACACAACTTGTCTAGTGTACTTACTCAGTGGATAACTGTCCATCTGGTCCCTCCGGTATGACTCGCTGCCTCCAATTTATTTTCGGGACATTTGAGTACAGCTCTGTTTATCAGAGAGGGGAAATCTTCAGACTGTACAAAACACTGCGTCTCTTGGGTGTCGCGACGCAACAGGTCCCACTCCGTGCAACACAGGCACTCCTCTTCTGTGGCCATAGCTTCACAATGTCCGCAGGTACACCACCAGTTTCCTGAAGTACGAGGCTGTGTTGCAGCATTGACTACCGGTAGCTCTCTCTCTCTCTCTCTCTCTCTCTCTCTCTCTCTCTCTCTCCCTTTCACGGAGCTCCCGCAGCTCTTCGTCTGTATATTCCGGCTCAAAAAGATAAGGACGTCCTTCTCTTATGCGCTCAGTGCTTTCTTCCGGCAACAACGTTTCCACGTCTTCAGCCGGCCCCGCTGTGTTGTGTCTCTGTAATCATCCTCCTCAAAATGTTTGCTGCAAATGCGGTGATCATTTTCGCATTGTACTTGTTTGGGAGTTTGCACATCCAGCTGAAGAACAACTAGCCACAACTGCAGTATCTCATGGTCATGGAAAGGTAGATGATGAAAGTGTAGGCACTTGTACCTTCTGATTCTGTTGCCACCATTTGGAAAGGCACAAACGCGAACCAGGAAGTGTGCAAATCGGAGAGTAGTGTGTAAAGACATGGACATTTTTGAGGGGGAAATAAACTTTTTTTCGTCGCGAAGGCAGTATCTCCATGATCGATTATTCTGGGCTTTCGGTGAAGTGAGCGGTGGAAAAACAGGTAGGCGACAGTTCTGTTTGTACGGTTTCTGCACAACGTATGAGTTGAAAAGGCATGTTGTTGTCACGTAAGGGCCCTGATCATGTTGCACAGACATTTTAACTGCATTTTGTGTCTGTTAAGAGGAGCAAAAGGCACTCTTTAGGATATGCCCCCAAGAAGTGTATTATAACTAACTGGGAGCTCTGGCCATTAGCTGCAGGATCTCCAGTTTGCTCGCACCGGTTTTGGTCGTTGTTTTTCCTATCGACAGTACTTGGTGACCTCTAGTGATCAAGACTATGGTAAAAATCTGCCGAAGTTCCCCTTTAATTAAAGTCATTTTCTATTATCTTTTGATAATTACGAATGGTACTGCGGCGGTTTTAATACCACCTTCAAAATGGTGCGAGGTATATTACTGTTGGCAATTACTTTGTGTTTACTCTGGGGCTGAATATGAATAATCTTTCCGTTACAGATGTTTTGGTGTCGGATCATATGTGCATCTTGTTTGACACTGAGATTCTGTGCACACAAATTATGAAAAGAACGTTTGTGTTATTAATGAGCACACAGTGGGAAGCTTCATTCCTCTCTTTAATGATACCATGACATGTGATTCAGATACACATGACCTCACAAATGTGTTTCATAAGCCCAGCTCAAATCAATGGTAAGAACAAAACCCAGGGGCCTCATGTACTAAGACTTGCGTGGATTTCCTACTAGAATGTGGCGTACACTGAAAGAGTGAGAGTTCTGTACACACAATAATATTCAGATGTATCAAAACGTGCGTACGCAGAATCCCACGCACATTGTCTTTGTACATCGCAATCAACGTGAAATTGACCGCACATGCACGAGCACAATGCTCCACCCTGTCCCCTCCCTCAAATACACCGATTTGAATATGCTAATTAGTATAAATAGGCCTAGATAGTGCTGTCTTTAGGAAAATGGCAAAAGCCAGGAAAATAAATTTTACGGAGTGTGAATTGGAGGTGCTGCTGACGGAGGTAGAGGCACAGGCAGTAAACTTGGTAGGGTCGGAGAACCGTACCGCAGCGGAGTTGAAAAAGAAGTGGTCAGATATGAAGATATATCTGCCCATCGCCAGAGCTTTCAGGCCACAGGTGGTGGAGTCCCTGTATTACGGTAGACTGATATACTGTACTGCTGTATTGTGAAAGGGTTACTGTACGTACAAGACGTGACGTCACCACGCTCCCAGTGAGCGCTAGTTGTTGTTGTGTGTGAGCCATGCTGATGAGACGGCGGCACATCGGTCCGCACTTCATTGTTAACTGTTAAATAAATATGCCAAGAGGCTAAAGATAATTCGAGTGAGTTCTACTTATCCTCCATACGCAGTAGAGGACTGCGCGCTGCAGTAAATAACCCCTTAACACAAATAATCTGCAAATGATTTAAAATTGTTTAATTGCTTGATTGATTGTAAATAATAATGACTTTCGCATACAGTGCAACTGTCCCTAGAGCAATTATTAATTTCAGCTATACAATTTCAATGCATCGCCTGTGAGTGTCGCCAACTGACAACTAACATAAGCAAAAAATATGTACGTACGCCAGCAATGAAGCTGCCGTGGAGGACCGCACATTCTCACGTTCATTTCACTTTTAGTACATCCGAACGTGAACGTGAAAAATGGCGTATGCACAAATTTTGTGCGTACGCAACATTAGTACGAGGCCCCTGGACAGATGAAGGCACTTGGAAAAGGATACACAGGAGAGCAGAAAGAAAAATCAAATAAATTACAAGTGTACTGTCAGTCATTAAAGGATTCATTACAGCCTTATAATGAAAGTTAAGGAGGCTCGAGGCGAATACTTTTCACAGTTAATCTACAAATCAGAACAATCCTCAAATTTTATTCAAGACCATTAATGACCTTGTCAATCCGCCACAATCAACCGCCACTTCCCTCATCTCCTGCAGACTGTGAACTTACTTTCTTTATCAATAAGATAAATAACATTAGAGCACATGTAACTCCTACTGCAAAATCTGTGGAGTTACCCAGCCCTTACTCAGAATTACTGAACTGTTTTATTCCCATATCACAACAGGACCTTGGCACTGTGTCACATATGGGCCCACTTGACCCTCTCTCCATTAAACTGAATGGACACCATCATACCTCATCTGTTCAATATTATACACAGTTCTCTTTCCTCTGGATGTGTGCCTAACATTGACAGTATTATAAAGGACAGCACGTCCAGGTCTGTGAAGAGTCTTAAACCTGTATTCTATGTAAAGTCAGCAGGGGGAGCTCCATTGGCTACAATATAAACTGATCCCATTCACTCTCATGGAGAAATGAGCTCAGTAAACAGTTTCCTGATGAGTTTCTGGTCTCAGTCTCTAGTTTCAGTCTTCTTCCATACAGCATGATGTTCATTTAGTAACTGATGGTCCCATTTAGAGTAAAACAGACCATAAAGCAGGGTATGCTTTAGGGCGGGGCTACCTTGTGATTGACAGCTCATTCTCAGTGAGTCCGTCCAGCTCAACCAAACTCAGATCAAACTGTCAAACAGTGCTGATCAGATATGGACTCAACCGCCAGATTATTGAGTAAATCTATAGGAGTTCCTGTCATATCATTTAAAATCAGCATCACTGCACTGGATGCACAAGTTCAGAAAACATGTTGAATTTAATTAATTGCCTATGAGGCCATCCATGTTCTGGCTCCCGACTATATCAGAGAACTTTTAACCAGACACGCTGAATGCAGCCTCCACTTTAAGAGAACACAGTGAAACAGACAAAACACAACCAAATACATGCATTTATTTTATTAAATTACATCATGTTATAATAGGAATCAGTATGAAGATAATATTAAATATGTCAAAAAAATACAATTACAAAAGTATAAATGTATGAAATCAAACAATATGTATTTTAAGAGCTTTAAGTTCATATTAAGCCAAATATTCAGATCCAAGATAGCTGCACCATTTCCACAGATAGAAATATTATAAATGTGTTAAAGAACTGAAGCTACAATATTCTGACACTAGCTGCACACACACACTGAACATATGTTTGATGTCCTGTAAATCACATTCAGGACAGAGAGATTCCTGCTCCATAAAACAGTCCCCACTGATCAGCCTCAGAGCCGATACGTTACAGACGATAACTTCAGTCTGGCCTCGTTCCTCTGGACGTCACAGATCCTCCATAAAGGCTGGAGGCTGAAACAGGAAGCAGAGTTCAAACAGTGCGGATGGGATGAAGAAGAGAAAGAAGACGAGCAGCTGACCCCCACAGTGGATCCAAGCTGATGAAGACCAGCAGTCAGACTGTAGAAAGCTCACAGATCAGAAAGAACTGTATAAAAATATCAGCAAAACTAATCTCTGATCAATATAATAATAATAATAATAATAATAATAATATATAATATATATATATATATATATATAATCTGCTCACAATTCATCCAAATCTCTGGAAACTTTCTGCAGTTACTGAGTTCACTGTTTGGGTTTATTGTTCAGTTTATCAGCTGTTATTGTTATTGTTGAATATAATATGAAATATCCATAAAAAGTGCTCCCTTAAGGGAAAGGTTGGAACCAGAGCTCTCAGTATTACAAACCACTAGATGTCACTGTGCTGCTGAGTTTAAAGCCCTGAAGCTTCATGAGGCTTCAGTCAGAGAAGGCAGGTTCCTGTTTCTGTGACACTTTATTTACTCATACAGCTGGTTTCATCATCAGAGTATCTGTCATTCAAACAGTAACCTTAGCTTTTAGACAACGAGCTGAAAGAGAGACAGTCTGTTCTCCACCACCAGCAGCAGGGCTCAACACTCACACACCCTGCTTAAATATGTGAAGGTTAATTACAATATTTGCATCCCTGAAGAAAACAGTGTGATTGCTACATCTGCTGCTGTAGCCGCTACCGCTGATCGCAGACAGCTTCTGAAAGAATCCCAGCAACAAGTGTTCATGATTCACATCTGAAGATACCACCCCAAAATCAGTCATCATTAAATACTGTATTCAAGAGATATCAGTCCCAAAAAAACACACAAAAGAAGAAAAAGTATAATCAGAAAAATACAGACTGAAGATGACAATGACCTCTGCCCTGTATCCATAGCACTAACATATGCCCTGTATTTATAGCACTGACCTCTACTGTATCCCTTCTTACCTCTGTAACTTAGCTAATATCGAGAAATGGACTGAATCGAACCTTTATTCATTGTCTCAAATTAACACTGTCAAATTATTGGACTTAATTATTGATAATAACTACTGATGTGTTTGGGTTATAGTTGTTGGTAATTGGTTACCAAACATGTGGTTCTGAATAAAATCACACATTCTTGCAGCAATCACACAAATATAACTGAACATGACGTTTGACTGATGTGGTTGCTGTGACTCACCTGTACTATCACCTTCTTCAGCTCTCTGCTGCTGCGGCTTTCTGGCAAACACGTCCTAAAACATAAAAACAGGCTGGGTACAATCTCAGATATGACTTTACTGAAAAAAACCTTAATGTTTAATAAACAGAATTCAGTTAGTGTTTGACAAAGGTTATACAATGATAGACTTTACAGAGCAGATATTTCTGCTGCAGCAGATAAATGAAATGACATTTCATTTGGACTTTAATGAAGAATGACTATGTGATGTTTAGAGATGAATCTATAAATGTTGTACTGAGTAATGGATACAGACTTTGTCAGATTTGTATTTGTAGGTGAAATGTACCTTTTGATGACGATGGATGCCACTATGACAATGAGCACAGAAAGCAGAGTGAAGACAACCAGATGAACAACCAGCCATATGTCAACTGCAGCAGTATTTGATCCTGTGAGACAGGACAGAAAGTTGTTGGACTGTAGACGTTAAAAATGTGTTTCTATGTTCAGAAACAGGAAACTGTTTAAAGAATAAAATGTGAATAGATTCCTCCCCTTCATTAATCACATTTCACTACAGAGAAAACTGATCAGACAAACCTTCAGCCTCCACATGCAGACTGTACGGCAGGGAGAGTGTGCCGGTCCTCAAACCACAGATGTAGTTCCCAGAATCCTTTGCAGTCAGCGGGCCGAGCTGGAGGGCGGGGCCAGACTCTGAGAGGGCGTGGTTGTCTTTGAACCAGGTGACCTCCAGTTGGTGGATAGTGCAGACTGCAGTGCAGTACAGAGTGACTGATTCTCCTCTTCTCATCTCTCCGTCTGCACTGGAGCTGATTATCCTCATCTGAACACAATCTAAAATAAAGTGATGAATTTAAGCTTCAGGTCTTTATTTAAACTCATTGATTTCGTTTTTTACATACTTCATCCACCACTGGGTGTGACTGCAACCAAACAGAGCCTGGCTCTCTGTGCTAAATAAGGTTAAAAATTGTCTTTCTTCATCATATGATGATCTTACCAGTGACTGTGACATCTACTCCTGATACGCTAGTAAAATGTCCTCTGGTGTCATTTGTTTCCATTCTGAAGCGAAATGTTGCCTCGTCTCTCGTCTGTACATTTTTGATCTGTAAAGTGCAGTTTCCCTTCTTGTCTCCCAGATATTTGTAATGAGGGTCGTTGAGCGTAGACCCACTGTTGTACACAGACGGGGGGGTTCCGTGACAAAACACATTGTTCTGGCACCAGACGACTCTGACGATCCCTAAAGGAACTTCTCTTCCATCCTTTTCAGTGAAAGTCTTTCTGGGTGTAAAGGAGCAGAGGAGGGTGACAGTGGATCCTTTAACAGCACAAACAGGATGTGGATAATTCACAATATAACCTCCAGCACCTAAAGAACACAACACAGTGAGGACAGCTGAGTTTAAGAATAAAGGAGCTTCATTTAGAGCGAGTACTTTCATTAAAATGGACCTCGAGCACTAAAACTGAAAACAAGTCTTACCTGCCAGCATTAACATGAAGCCCCAGAGAATCTTTTTGTCCCAGACTGCCATCCTTACTTTCTTAGAGACTTGATTTAACGTTTATCTTGTTCGATCGAACTCCAGCAGTGCTGATGAAGACACTGACTAAATGTCAAACTAAGAGGATGCTTTATGTCTTTGTTGTTACTGTCTCACTTCCTCTTTTTCTTTACTGGAAGTATTTTTAACCTGCTAGAAGAATAAACACCCTCAGCCAGGGCTGCGAACTCACAAAATTTATATTTTTCACACACCGCACGTCCATTTTCTCACAGAGTAAAAGACGAATTCATACCAGACAAGACAGAGCAGCACATCAGCAGAGAGTTATTCAGACCATCAGGGGGAAAATTTTAAATATGAACAAATCTGTCATACAGTCATTAACTTCCATATATTCTGAATTTACAACATGACGTTGTAAGGCTGAACGAATACATTTCACACCAAAGCTCAAAGCAACTTCCTCATGAGAAATTATAATTTGATATGTTAAACATATGCACAGACTTTCTGTACACACAGGACAAAGTGTGAACAAACTGTTGTTTGTGTGACTTCAGCTGCAAATCATCAACAGAAACACATTAATGTCGGTAGAGTTTTGCCTCACTTTGCTCTTCAGTTTCAGGTCTATGAGTACTTGAAATGTTCATAGAAATACAACATTTAATGCGATTAACTCTCCCGCTGCCCTTGGCAGGTCTACATGTCTCAGAATCATACTCCCATTCCTATGTGCGTAGCCATCAGAGCCTTATTCACACTGCCCTCGGCGGGTAACAATGTCCCTGAATCATCCTACTATTCCAATGTGCGTAGCCCTCAGAGCCTCATTCGCGCTGCCCTAAGCGGGTCCGAATGTCCCCATCTTCATTCATTCTATCTCTCTAGCCCTTGCTGCCTTATTGCCTTATTCGCGCTGCCCTCTGCGGGTAACAATGTCCCCTAATCATCCTGTCATTCCTCTTTGCCTCTAGCCCTCAGAGCCTCATTCGCGCTTCCCTCGGCGGGTCTACATGTCCCCGAATCATCCTCCCATTCCTATGTGCACGCAGCCCTTACAGCCTTATTTGCGCTGCCCTCTGCCGGTCTATATCTCCCCATCTTCATTCTATGCCTCTAGCCCTCAGAGTCTCATTCGCGCTGCCCTCTCTGGGTCCGAATGTCCCCATCTTCATTCATTCTATCTGTCTAGCCTTTGTTGCCTTATTCGCGCTGCCCTCCACGGGTCTGAATGTCCCCGTCTTCATTCTATACCTAAAGCCCTCAGAGCCTCATTCGCGCTGGGTCCGAATGTCCCCATATTCATCCATTCTATGCGTCTAGCCCTCAGAGCCTCATTCGTGCTGCCCTCCTTGGATCCGAATGTCCCCATATTGCGTGCCGACCCGACAGAGCTCGAGAGGTCCTGCGCGGAACAAGAAGAATGGGAGAAACTGCCCAGAAATAGGCTCGCCGCAAGCCCGTAGCATCACGCTCGGGGATGCGATCGGTGCCAAAGGTGCACCTGTGTACATTTTCTTGTCTTTCTCTTTCTAAAATAAATTTGCAAAGATCCCAAACAAACTTCTTTTCACCGCTTTGTCACATTATTGGGTATTGTCTGTTGACTTTTTTCGAGTAAAATAATAAACCTTGACTGGAAACTGGAATAAGGATGTAACACGGGAAAGAAAATGTTGAACCTGTGAAGCTCAGTGAATACCTTGCATCGTATTGTTATTATTATTATTGATATTATTAGTGTGCCTAGAAAGCACACTACTATTATTCCCCGTGCTTATCATTATTCTTCTGTACGTTTTTCGGCGCGCTACTCCTCCCGCAGTTTTGGTCGCACATACACAAAAAGGTACCATAACGTGCGGCTCGGTTGGGAGATTAGTGCTATGACTTTTCTAAGCGTTTCGCCAAACAGTTTGCCGACAAATCGCCAAAAATCAGACCAAAAAATGAATGGGTGTGTATTGGTAGAATTCTCACAGCTAGAGTTCGTGACATCATCACTAGAGTGTGGGGAGAGAGAAAAATTTGTCAAAAAATACATTTGTAAACTGCTCTCAAGGCCACAAATGTCACTCTACAGAAATAATTTAGATAGAAACGTAGGTAAATTCGTTGGGGTCGCAGTGATACCACGGCTGAAGCTGTCCGACAAATAGTTTTGGCGGGAAACTCACTGATGCGCCAGCAACACCCTCTCACGGCCCCATCTACTCCCATGTTAATTGGAGAGAAGAAATTTTGAAAGGAGCTCGTTGCACCATTTCTTCCTCAATCTCCCGAGGTCACATTTTTTAACTTTAGCCACTGAAACTCAGCAGTCCTATAGTCAACAAGATGACAATGCTCACTGTCTTTTCGGTTTTCATTTCGGTCGTTCCTGGCCAATGCTTTGAGGGGATTCATTTTGAGATTTTCTGTCTCTCTCAGGAGTTAGAGACAGAGAGAGAGCCTACAGCTGATGTGGCCTCCCCTGGTTGCCACGACAACCAAAGCCTGCCTCTCACACACACACACACATAGCTAGCTACAGAGGATGACAAGGCATTAATATGCTAGCGCTAGCTAGCTTGCATGCTAGAGAGGAAGACATGGTATTAATATACGGGCCAGAGTCAGGCACACTCAAAATTTCTTTAGGAATTTTCTAGTTATCATTATTATCCCTGTTTCCTGTGAGCAATAAAACAAATGAAACAGTATCGCTACTAACTAATAAAATACAGACCGGAAGTAACTGGAAGTACTGGAAGTAACGTGCTATTAGAAGAATAAACACCCTCAGCCAGGGCTGCAAACTCTCACACATTTTATATTTTTTCACACACTCATGCCACACGTCCATTTTCTCAAGGAGAGAAAAACTAATTCATAACAGACAGAACAGAGCAGCACATCAGCAGAGAGTTATTCAGACCTTCAGGGGGAAAATGAGAAGTATGAACAAATCTGTCATACGGTCATTAACTTCCATACATGCTGAATTTACAACATGACGTTAGGCTGAACGAATACATTTCACACCAAAGCTCGAAGCAACTTCCTCATGAGAAATTATAATTCAGTATGTTAAACATATGCACAGACTTTCTGTACACACAGGACAAAGTGTGAACAAACTGTTGTTTGTGTGACTTCAGCTGCAAATCATCAACAGAAACACATTAATGTCGGTAGAGTTTTGCCTCACTTCAGGTTTCAGGTCTATGAGTACTTGAAATGTTCATAGAAATACAACGTTTAATGTGATTAAGAGATGTTGCTTGTAAGCTTGTCTGTAGCTTTAGTTATGTAAAATAAAACGTATTTTTAATTTCAGCTTGTGTGTTCTCCCCTCCTTTGTCCAGCCTTGAGCCGGGTTGTGACGGATGGACATGAGCACTCAATATTGACAACGTCAAGTTATGACTAAACCAGGAAACAAAGCCCAACTCAGAAGGCTTACTTAGAAAAAACATGTTTGTTTACTAGCCAAAAGTCTGGCACACAGAAATCTAGTCAATCACAGGCAAACGCAATGACACAGTCGATATGCTGGAGCAGAAGTCCGCCAGCGTTCTGCCGCCCTCTAATAATGACCTAAGAAGATTTGACGAACCCTGTTCCAAATTTGCCAACACCGATGGATGAGAGTCTGGGGTACCTGAACCTCCTTCTCCACCTCAGGGAACAGAGGCGGCTGGTAACCAAAAACACACTGGAAGGGAGAGAAACCAGTTGATGAGTAAGGTAATGTATTGTGTGCATACTCCACCCATATCAGATGTTTACTCTAGGATGTCGGGTTCTGAGAGACTAGGCATCAAAGGCCTGTCTCAAGTTCCTGGTTTGACATTTGGATTGTGGATGAATCCCAGAAAAAGAGGGAACTGTTGGGTCTCTGTAAATAATGATATAAAGAGTTCGGTCTAGACCTGCTCTATTTGAAAAGTGTCCTGAGATAACTTCTGTTATGAGTTGGCGCTATACAAATTGAATTCAATTCAATTGAATAAAACAAAATGTATTCAACATTTTTGTTGTGAAAACTTACATAATTATACAAGATATCTGTCAATTAACAAACAAACACGGTAAGTGTATTAACAGTAATCAACTTGAATTTAATTGTTTAATCTATTAAATAAACAGTAAATATCTGTGTAAAAGTTATAGATTTGCAAAATGTATTTTAGCTGTTTTTTATGTTCATCCCACCTGTCATTGTCACGACTTTCTATTTGATGCATAAAAAACACAAATTGATGCATAAAGTTTCAACTATGTTGGATATTAAGTGTCTGACACCCCCGGACCCCCCAGCTCCAACTGAGGCTTGTTCAACTGTTATTGGAGCACAGAGCGAAAAGGCAAACGTTAGCATGCTAACGCAGCTAAAATACGATGGTCATCAGTTAGAAGACATCATTTTAAACAGAAGTATATTTTATATATTATATATATATATATAATATACTAAACATCAGCATGTTAGCATGACTGTAGACTGTTAGTTTTATCATCACACAACAGGTTTTATGGTGTTTGTGAATTAACTTGCTGCTCGAGTCTCCTTTAAAAAGTAATAAGTGTACCAACAAACAACCTGTAGTGTCTGGAACTAAACACTGTTCACCTGGTCCTCAGGTAGAAATAACAGACGTCACACTGACCCCCAACGTCTGAGCTCCAGAGATCCTCTCATCCAATCAGAGGGCTTTGCGGCTCGTTGCTCGCCTCCTGAGTCGTGGTCGAGGACTCCCGGTTCCACCGAGACGGGCAGATGAGGGTGAGGAAGAGGAGGAAGAGGAGGGATGAAGGGTCCTCCTCACAGTGACTCAGCAGGTCTGCAGGTTTATAAAGAGGCAGCGATGATCAGTCTGTCACCACGGAGACAATGGCCTGGCTGCTTCGTATCGCCTGCATCCTGGTCTGCTGCCTGGAGCTGCTGCACGGCAAAGCTTCAGGTAAACACACCTGAGCCTGTCTGTCTGTCTGTCTGTCTGTCTTTATCTGTTAGTTATCTGCTCTCTCGCTTCCAACTAATCTTGTGTTTAATTTTTAGAAAGGCTCAGTAATTTCCAGCAGCTGCTCACTGTAGTTTCTATCAAACACACAGGAGGACATTTTGTTGGGGACTATTTTCAGCAGTGGATTAATCCACATTTGGTGCTCCGGTGCTTTTTTTGTAAAATATACAGAAGCTATACCTATACCTCTTATTTAAATGTATTTTTTATGTTTAGATTGTAATTTAAAGCTGCAGTAGGTAATGTTTATTAAAATAACTTTAGGTCACTACATCCTGACAGTAGTGAGGTTCTTTTCTCCTTTTTTAGTGAAAGTTTCAGAAAAACTGACAAATGGTTTTATTCTAATAAAAGTTACCTAATGCAGCTTTATATTATAACATAACTTTAGGCTGTAGGAGATAAAGGCCTACTGGCCCCAGTGAGGTTAGTTTTGCAATATGTTTTATCTGCTTCAGTGTTGGTACTTATTCTACTGACGGCCTTTTATTCTTTTAATTACCCCTCACTTTGGTGTAATTTTATTTCTCTGAGTTTATTTTAGCCTCATTGCCTCCTGAAATGTTTGAGGCCTGGTTCCAGTTTATTATTGTTATTATTGTTATTATTATTATTATTATTATAGATGAAAATGAGCTTATTAGCTAACTCGGCACCTCTACAGTGTAAACTGCAACTTTGTCTTTGCTAAATAAATAAATCACTTATCTCCCCCAATTATTCTTCAGCTGTCCTATCCAATAAAGGCAAAAAGCCCCCCATAAATAAAAAATAAATAATTGTAGTCATTGTTTACTGATGATGTCGCTGTATCCTGTTGTTGTCCAGAGTACCAGCTGGAGTCAGAGAGCCTGAGCCGATGTGAGTTGATAAGGGGCGTGGCTGTTGCCAAGCAACAAGGTGACGTTCCTCACTGTATGGAGGATGGCAGGTTCAGGTACGTATCTGCAGATAATATTTTATATCTCTGTGTTAAAGGATGCCATTCAGGAAATAACTAAAAATTAAACAGAATTGACGTGTGTGTGTGTGTGTGTGTGTGTGTGTGTGTGTGTGTGTGTGTGTGTGTGCAGACCCGTGCAGTGCAGTGGGCTGGGTCAGGAGTGTTGGTGTGTTGATGCCGAAGGTCAGGAGGTCGTCGGGACTCGTACCAACAGTTCTGCTCCCCACTGTGAGAAACACTGCACATTAACAACTTTAATGATCAGAGACAACACAGATCAAATGTTATGGTGGTTAATTGTCCTCAGAATCAAATACTTTAATAATCCCAGGGGGAAATTACTTTCTTTACATACTCCAGAACATATAATATATTGAGAATATATATAAATATATATATATTAAGGTTAAATGTACATGTACTCCTAATGTTTATTACAGTCTAAAGCTGTTAGACTGTAACTACACTGGACGTGTCCAGAGGGGGTCCCTGAAATCTGACTGGCCACCCCATTACTTTCACCTCATCCACTCCAGACTGTCTTTCAGAGTGGTAGTGGCCTCCGTGTTAAAGCTACAGTGAAGATACCGGTATCAGATAAAAACATGTGTCAGGACTGCCAGAGCCAATCACACTGAGTTTCACAACGGCTCTTCAGAAACCGCTAGGAGACGTCACAGAGATGACGGACAGTTTTAAATATACAGTGTATGGTTATATGCTACGACGCAATGAGTTCAGAAGGTTATATACGAAATTAAACTAGATGCTGCACCAAAACAATGAGACAGAAATAAAATAAAACTCACCAAAACTTCCTGTGTTAGTCTTTCCAACAACTCGGGTTGGTCAGAATAAATCCTAATTCAGAGTTAGAAGTAAAAATATTTGTGAAACAGACTGCAACATAAGCTAATGTTAATAATTGGGAACAAATGTCAAAGTCTGTCCACTTAAAGTGTTTCTTTTTCAAATTGTTATTCTCTCTCTCTCTCTCTCTCTCTCTCTCTCTCTCTCTCTCTGTCTGTCTGTCTACCTGTCTGTCTACCCGTGTGCAGGTGCGTCTCCCTGCCAGCTGCAGTCTGTCCTGCAGTGTTCTCCTTCAGGACTGTTTGAGTCAGTTCAGTGTGACTCCAGCAGGGGGCAGTGTTGGTGTGTGGATCAGGACGGCATGGAGCTCTACGGAACCAGACAGAGCGGGACGCCTCGACGCTGTACGTACAAATACTGCTGAGGACCTACTACCAATAATACACTACTGACAGTAATACTGCCTCGGCTACTGTGACTAAGTGTTGTGATAAAATACACATTTTATACTAATACTCATCAACAGAGTCTCTGTTTGATAATGTTAGAAAAACTAATACACATCAATCATTAGCCAGCTAGTTAGGTAGCCAGCGTTTTGCTACAGAGCAAAAACATTGCTAATGAGCTTTATTGTTAGCTAGTTAGTTTCATCTGATTGCTAATGTTAGCAAAATGCTAGTCGAGTCATTTAATGGTTTCATCTTCTCAAATGGGAAAGTCTCATATGTTCGTGTTTGGGTATCACTTATTGTTTGTCTGTTGTTGGTTACCAAACTTCTGAAGACCAATGCATTTAATCTATATAGCTCTAATTCTTCAATACTGAATTTCATTACAATTAAACTGTAATTGTATTTGAGGTTTCGTATTTTACTGAACAGCAAATGATGGAGGACAAACTGTGACATCAGGGAATAAAATTAAAATGCTAAAATATTTGTTATAGCTCCATTTCTTTATGTGTGTTTGTTGGACTGCAGCGGCGCTGTGAACTCAACAACATCAAACAGGACTTGAAACTCATCTTGTTCTGTAAATACCTGATACCTTCCCTCAAAAGAATAAAAAGTGTGCCAGTCAGTCCATTTCTTGAATGAACACCTGGTCTGAACCAGTCCGACAGCGTCCAATCAGGTTGCAATGAAAGAGGAAATATTGTACGTATTTGTTGAAGCCGTTCACACTGCGGATAAATTGACATTACATTTAGTGAAGAGCGCACTATGAACTCATAGTTTAGGTCGACAGGCGGACTCCGCCTCCAGAAATGTGTCTGACCGACTACCATCAGGATGGCTGACTTGTTGACCTTTGACCTGCAGGTCCCGGCGGCTGTGAGGTGAGGGCGAGGCGTCTCCTCCACAGCGCCGGGTCTCACTCTCCTCCTCAGTGCGCCGCAGACGGGGGCTTCCTCCCCGTCCAGTGTCAGTTCATTAACACGACAGACAGGACACAGCTGGACCTTCTGCACGCCTTCAACAGGTAACTCACCTGTCTGTCTGTCTGTCTGTCTGTCTGTCTGTTTTTCAGTGTGTGTTTTAATGTGTATATATGTGTTGCTTTAGTTTCCCAGAATCCTTTGAGACATTCAGTAGTTTCAGGAAGTTCTTCCCGATGGTTTCGTCCTACTGCTTCTGTTCAGACAGTCGAGGCCGAGAGCTGCAGGACACAGGTACACACACACACACACACACACACACACTCTCACACACACACACACCTACACACACACCTACACACACACACACACACACACACACACACACCTACACACACACACACACACACACACACACCTACACACACACACAATCACACACTCACACACACACACACCTACACACACCTACACACACACACACACACACACACACACACACACACACACACACACACACACACACACACACACACACACACACACACACACACACATGATGATGATGATGATGATGATGTACTTCCTGTCCAGGCGTGGAGCTCCTCCTCTCTGAGGTGTATGACTCGGCGTTCTCCGGTCTCCGGTCCGGTCGCTCCGTCTCTCAGACCAACATCTACAGAGTCCTGCAGAGGAGGATGCTGGGAGTCCGCCTCGCCCTCACCGGACACTTCAGATGTAAACTCAACTGGTTCATACTGGTTTGAAACAGATCCAGTCTGTGTATTCAAGCTGGTTACAGTGGCTCAAACAGCTGCACACTGGTTTCAACTGGTTTAAGAAACTGTTTCATACTGGTTTGAAACTGCTTTAAAGTATTCACATTTTTAATTTAAGTGACTGGTTATCACTGATTTGAACTGTTTTGCACTGGTACAAGAGGATGTGTTTCAGATGTGTAAACATTTGGATTTATTGCAAAATGAAACCAGTTTAGACTGGTTTTAACTCGAATACTGGTTAAAATTGGTTTAAGATGTTGCTGTGTCCTCACACGTGTAACAATTTACATTTGAACGGGTTTAGACCAGTAACAGTGATACAATCTGTACATTAAAACAACTTTAAACTCTAAAATTACACTTAGACTAGAGGTAACATCTGGACCAGTATGGACAGAAGTTCTGAACTCTCTCACTCGTCTCTTTCTCGCAGGTCCCTCCCCCTGCGAGGAGGAGCGGCGGGCGGGGATGGAGGCGTCCAGTGTTTTCATCCCATCCTGTGAGGCTGACGGATCCTTCACCTCCAGACAGTGCCAGCAGGGGGGGCAGTGCTGGTGTGTTGACCCCACAGGGAGGGAGCTTCCTGGGACTCGGCAGCACGGAGACTCCCTGGTCTGCAGTGAGTATCCTCGAGAGAAGTTTATTGGCAAACATCTGTTAAAGCTGCAGCTCGAGCTTCATTTTTCTACAGTCTTGTCACAGTTTGAACAGCACATAAGAAAACTGACATTAAATACTTTAATTAAGGTTATATATAGAGATATGAAACTCTGCCACTAGATGTTGCACTAGAGCAACAGACCAAAACAATGAGACCCACCAAACTCCATTGACAAAACCAGTAATTTTACCAAGCACATAATCATAAAACACACCCATGATGGACGAAATATAAACTCACCAAAACCATCTTTGTTAGTCTTTCCACAATCACCAACTCTGGTTTAATTCACAGAGTTAGAAGTGAAAATATTGATGTAAAAATGTCACCAGAGTAACGTTAATCCGTCGACTAACAGTAGTTTGTTCCACTAACAGTAGTTGTTGTTTGTTTCACCAACAGTAGTTGTTGTTTGTTCCACTAACAGTAGTTGTTGTTTGTTCCACTAACAGTAGTTTGTTCCACTAACAGTAGTAGTAGTTTGTTCCACTAACAGTAGTTGTTGTTGTTTGTTCCACTGACAGTAGTTGTTGTTTGTTCCACTAACAGTAGTTGTTGTTTGTTCCACTAACAGTTGTTGTTGTTGTTTGTTCCACTAACAGTTGTTGTTGTTTGTTCCACTAACAGTTGTTGTTGTTTGTTCCACTAACAGTAGTTGTTGTTTGTTCCACTAACAGTAGTTGTTGTTTGTTCCACTAACAGTAGTTGTTGTTGTTTGTTCCACTAACAGTAGTACTTGTTGTTTGTTCCACTAACAGTAGTTGTTGTTTGTTCCACTAACAGTAGTTGTTGTTTGTTCCACTGACAGACTCAGGTTGTTATTGTCAGTGTCTGACAGCATTATGGAAAGGATCCCTACAGAGATAGACCTTTAGTTTAACCACAAACAGCCGTAATATCACTATCACTCTCCACCAGACTCCAGAGACACAAACACTCATTTTACCTTGTGTATCATGGTGACCTCCTAACTAAGTGCGCAGTGGACTGTTGCTAATGTTTAAGAAGAACATTATTTGTGAGCTCAACATTTTGTTCTCCGTCTTCCTCAGAGTCAGATAAGAAGATCTCTGTGTCCACTGCAGACATATATCCAGGACCTGGTTAGCCTAGCTTAGCACAAAGACTGGAAGCAGGGGGAAAGTGCTAGCATAGCTCCAACAAAAGGGGAACAATCCTAAGTCGCCTCCTCTTGTTCTGTCCCTCTCCTCATTTCTTCTCCTCTGTCCTCCTCCAGGTTCAGGTCTTGGTGACTGTCTCTCTCAGCGTCGTCTGGCTCTGTCCCAGCTCTTCTCCGGTCCTCTCCAGGCCTCCTCCTCTGGCAGATCTCCGGCCTCCTGTCTCTCCCTCCTCCGACCCCTCAGGGATCTCCTGCCAGTGGAAGCGGATCAGTCCTCCTTCCTGTCTCGCCTGGTCGAAGTCCTCCGCGGTCTGTTCCCCACGGTGGGCGGGGCTCTGCAGGCTCTGGATCGCTCCTCCCCTCGTCGCCTCCAGGAGAACCTGTTTGGAGGAAAGTTCCTGAAGAACGCAGCCTTCTTTAACTTCAGCGGGGCGGTGGGAACCCGTGGAGCCCTCGGTCTGGATCGGCTCTCCTCTCAAAGCCTCCAGAAGAACCGGGATCTGGTTGTGTCTGTCAGCAGAGCCCTGGAGGACCCCACCTTCCTCTCTGCCCTCCAGCACACACTGAGTGGACTGAGCAGCTCTCTCTCACTGGACCAGGTAAAGAACCAGGAAGTCAGTCAAACTGAAAGTAATGCCACACTGAAAATACTACAAAATAAAAGTCCTGCATTCAGCTTGTGGAATATATTGTCATATTGTGGGGACTTGCCGTTAGTAGGTTACTGTAGGGGCATCCAACTAGCAAACTGTAGCTAAGCTAAGCTGTGGTTGTCCGACTGGCTGTGCGGTGTTCACAAAACGTTACAAGTCGTTCACTCATTGCTGATAAGAAGTCATTAATACATTAAAAAATAAAATGTTAAAAAACTGTGATTCCTTTAATCCTCGTTGTGTTCCAGGTTCTGACTCCTCTGCTGCGCTCCTGCTCCAGAGACATGAAGGACGACACCATCTTCGTCCCGAGCTGCACGCCGAGCGGTGGTTTCCAGGAGGTTCAGTGTCGGGGTGGGGAGTGCTGGTGTGTCGATCCTCAGGGTCAGGAAGTCTCGGGGTCACGTACCGGGGGTCGCCGACCTCAGTGTCCGTCCCGCTGCGAGAGAGAGCGAGCGATGGCTGTGAAGGTGAAAGGAAACATGGCGGCCGGTGCTGAGATCTACATCCCAGCGTGCTCTAACGACGGAGACTTCCTGCCCTTGCAGTGCGTCGGATCACGGTGCTTCTGTGTGGACGGCGAAGGAAAAACAATGACTGCCGGGCCAGCAGGGGGCGCTGTCACATGTAAGATATCACACTGATTAACAGGCAGATTCTGCTCATCGGTTCAGATCTTTATTGATTCTGGTGTTGACTTTCTGTCTCTGTTGTGTTTCAGGTCCAGAGAGAACACAGAAGCTTCAGACCTCCGCAGGTCAGATTAAACTGCTGATATTGAATTAATCCACCATCCACCCCGAAACATAAAGATAGTTAGAGCCCATAGTGCAAGAAATGATTGTTCACTGCAATTAATCGCGAATCGTGAATCTTTGAGTTGGAATGAAAATATACTGATGTGACTGTAAAGGCTGCTTTCTTACACAAACAACTTTATTAAAGGATATTAAGTGTAAATATTCTCATAACATATGAAATATTTTAACATACATTTCAATTCTAGCATTGAACACTGAGAAAACAAAGAATACATTAAAATAAAGTAAACTAAAAGCACTGATAAAACTACAAGACTTTATTTACACCTGAAAAAAACTGTTTCTATATCAGCACATATCAGATGACGTACACCAATATTTTATTTATCAAATAATAAAGATTTTCACAGCTTTCATTTATGTGAGCTGAGATTGTTTATTTCCTTCAAAAATATAAAAAATGTTATTATTATTATTATTATTTAAAGATTAACCTGTGTGATTGTGAAATTGTACAAAGTAATAATTTGTTTTATAATAAAGAAAGCACTATTGTAATAATCATATTCATAGCCGGTACCAGGAAGTTTTCACCTGTAGATGTTAAAACTGCTGATAAACTGGCAGATTGTCTACCAGTTTATGACATTTTGAGCTATAAAAACAACAAATAAAATAAAGAAGAAATGCAATAAAAGCTAGCTCATTTAACAGCACTAATTAGCGCTGTATGCTAACTTGCAGGTCGGTGCTCGCAGGCGTTAGCTGAGGTCACGGCGTTCAGACAGGACGTCAAGAGCATCGTCGCTCTCTCTAACTCCTCCCACCTCCCTCTGGGATATGGATTCCTATTGGCTGAAGGTCTGCGTCTGACCCCAGAGGAGCTTCAGATCGACCAATCAGAGGAGGAGCTGCGGATCTCTGATACGCTGCTGAGCCGCTCCAAAGCTGCTCTGCGATTGGCTGCATTCTCCAGTGAGTTCCAGTTTGATGTAGATCCTCTCGAAATGTTATTAAATGTTTTAGACTAACGGTAAATATAATAATATAATTACTTTAACTGTCAGACATTAAGAACAATGTGTGTATTGATCTGACAGGAAGTGGAATGTTGTTTTTCAGCCGTCCAGATGTTTCTGCCTCCTCAGCATCGTTCGTACCAGCTGTTCACTCCACAGTGCGACGCTGACGGACACTGGCTGCACACACAGTGTTACCACAGCACAGGTCTCACACACACACACACACACACACACACACACACACAGACGCACACACACACAAAATACATATGAAGATTATTCACTGGAGTCTTCCTCACTGTGTGTTCAGGTCAGTGTTGGTGTGTCGATGAAGATGGAGAGTACATCCCGGACTCGCTGACCAGCCGCTCACTCCGTCTGCCCAAATGTGAGATAAAGCTTCATGTTCTGTTCCAAAAACACGTATTTGTAATTAAAATATTCAGATTTTCTCTTCATGTTCAGACTCAAACAGTGAATGTATCGGATATATCTTCTTCCTCTGTACCATAGAGCTTCAATAACACATGGATGAGCCACACTGCTGCCCCAAATACTCACTAAACACTTTTAAACATGAAACTATATTTAGTGTTTTTAAAGATTTATGTTTTCAGTAGGAACCAATGAGCTTCAGACAGGAAGTGAGACTGTTGTGAGACGGACTGACGGGTTGTTGGTTTGAGTCCGAATGTGAGATTTGATAGAAAGATCTAGAATAAAGGCAGAGTTTAAAATGTCTCTTCATCTTCTGTGTGTGCGCAGGTCTAACTCGCTGTGAGAGAGCTCGGGCTCACACTCTGCTCTCTGGTTGGAGGAGAGGATCTGACCTCACCACCGCTTCACCGTACAACCCCCAGTGTGAGCAGGTAGGGACACACTGAGGTCACGCTACGAGCTGGAGAGCTAACGTTGAGCCACTGAAGGACTACACTTTGGTTGTTCAGTTTATTATTTCAGCGCATTATTTTAAAACAATCACCAGACGTACTTATTAGTACGTGTCCTACATCAGGTAGTAATGGACACCCAGCAGCCAATCAGAATTGAGTATTCACCCATACCATTGTGTGTATATATAAAGCACTATGTGTGTTTTTTCAGGACGGTCGTTTCTCGGTGCTGCAGACAGGAGGCACTGCAGGCTGGTGCGTGAACCCTCTGACCGGAGAGACGATACAGGCGGCGACACCGAACCCCGCTGGACAGCTGACATGTACACACACACACACACACACACACAGATCGTGATGTGTTTACTGTCAGTATGTTAACTGGTATGCTTTGTGTGGTGCGTTCAGGTCCCAGCTGGTGTGAGCTGCAGGGTTTCCAGTGTCGCCCCGACGGCTCCTTCCTCCCACTGCAGTGCGATGTCACTTCCTGTTGGTGTGTCTCCGAGGACGGGCAGGAAGTGGGTGGGACCCGTACGCCTCGACAGACAGGCCAGACACCATTGTGTGACCGTAAGTTGTTGTGAAGAAGCCCAGTGACTCTGCTGAGAGCTGCTGTGTCTCACAGCAGCATCTGGTGGACGTCAGAGGAACTGCAGCAAGATGCACTGCGATGAGGCTGCTGATTGGTTGTTGTTCTCCTCTCCAGGTCCCCTCTGTCCCGCTTCTGCCGTCAACCACGGTGCGCTGGTGTGCCGCCCGGCAGCCAACGGCCGCCAGAGCTGCGACCTCGTCTGTCACCACGGTTACCAGAACTCGCTTCCTGTCAGCAGCTTCCTGTGTGAGACTGAGGGTCTGCGGTGGACCGGAGACAACAAACCCCTGAGTGGAGCCTGTCAGAGTAAGATCGTCCATCATTTTCTAAATCCTTGTCAGTTTCCTCGCTGATTGGTAACCATCTCTTCATTTGTCCAAAAAACTAACCTGCAGAGAAAAGATGCTGCTTTTGCTTTTTTACCCCGAACCAAACAGTAAACATACAGTGTGTCATTTCTGCAACTAGGGGGTCTCTCACATCTAAATAATAATAAAAGAGGAAGTTTGATGAGGTGGTGAAGCAGCGTGGAAGTTCTTGTCTTCACTGCTATTGCTGTCATTGCAGTCAGCTTAGGTGATGTTAGGTTCAACTTTCCAGAAGTTTCTACCAGGAGCCTACTTATCCACAGATAGGGGCAGAGGTCAATGCTGTAGATACAGGGCAAAGGTCAGTGTACTGTCTATTTGATTCATATAATAGTAACAATAAAAAAATATAAGTTTTAGTGAATAATTTGACACTAATTGTGTTATTGTTGCAAGGAGGTTTCTACCAGAAATTATCCACAGGTCTCCTCCTCTCCAAAACAAACAGACCCGCTGATTAAAACCACTAAACACACTGAATAAAGCAGTTCCACCTTAACAATCACTGCTTCTCCCACGCTGTTGGACAGACAAAGGACGTCCCGGAGGGGCTGCGAGCCGAGCTGCTGCTAACGTTAGCTCAGCTTGTTTCTCTGATAACTTAAGATCCAGACGTCTGATGACTAAAGTCTTTCATCCGGTTCAAATCTAGAGTTAAAAAGCACCAAGATCTAAACAGTGGATGGTAAACAGTCAATGTATGACAGCAATCTCTAAACATAACTCTTATCTGACTGTGTCTGTGTTCAGTCTCTCAGCCTCTACAGTCGGTGTCGTCCTCTCAGCTCTGGTTGTTGTCGTCATCCTGCTCTCAGATCAGCAGTTTACAGTCTCTGTTGTTCAACACGATGACCAGCAGGGGGCTCTGCTCTGCACAGGTGAGCTGTAATCTAAAGTAAAACTCACTGAAATGTTCCCAGTAAAATAAACCTATGTATTTATTTGCGTGTTTGTAGCTTCCCACGTCAGGTCGCTCGGTGTCGCTGTGTGACGACTCGTCGCTGCGTCTGCAGTGTGACGGTGATGACCAGCTGAAGTTAACGGTCAGATGGACTGTCGACCTGTCTGACCTCCCGACCTCTGACCTCCCCGACCTCCACGACATTGGTGAGCAGTGAGGAAGATATTGTACAAAGGGAAACAAAACTGTTACTAGTTAACAGGACTTCTATAGTGTCATTAAACTGTAGTTAGCAGCGCCACCAGTGGTCATTTAGTGAACTGCAGTCAGCATCATCCTGTTAACTTGTGTTAAAATTGGAAATCAAAAGCAATAAAAACTGATTGATACATATAAACCCATCTTTGACGTGTTTTTTAGGTCTGTTTCTGAATGAGTCCAGACTCCTGGCGGGGGTTCGGGGACTTCTGGGTAATATCCGGTCCACGCTTACATCGGAACCCAAACTGGTTTCCACGACAACACCAAGCTTTGGCTGCTCCCTGGGGTTTCCACCTGGACAGTGACGGCGACGGCTGCGGTGAGTCAGTTTATATCGGTCGGCGGCCGACGTACCTCAGGAAGGTCCCGCTGACAGACACTGATTGGACTTTCTGTCTCTGATCTCACAGTCGTTTGTCCCGCTGGGAGTCTCTCCAGGGAGGGGGCGTGTCTTCTGTGTCCCGAGGGAACCTATCAGGATGAGGAAGGGCAGGACTTCTGCAACAAGTGTCCCAGAGGCTCCTCACCAGCTGGAGCATCATCTGCCAATCAATGTGAGTCAGAATCAATAAAATCCTCTCAGCTTATCTACAAAATCACAGAATCACTAGAAGCACATTGACGCTGTTGGTAAACGTTTCAAACTACTTTTAGAATGCTTGTTTTCTGAATGGAGTTTGGTTGATGTGATAACTTGTTTACCTGTGTGTGTGTGTGTGTGTGTGTGTGTGTGTGTGTGTGTGTGTGTGTGCGTGTGTGTGTGTGCGTGTCAGGTGTGACCGAGTGTCAGAGGCGGGGTCTGCGCTGTTCGGAGCGAGGAGACTTCCTGTCGGCGCAGCCTGACCTCCTGTCCGGCAGGTGGAGGTGTGTCGACAGTGAGGGGGCGGGGCTTGACTGGACCAACAGTGACGAGCCTCTGACTGATGACGAGTGCTCAGGTGATATCTCAGCAGCCAATGAGAGAGCGACTGTTTTTCTTCAGTTTTTATTCAGTTCTTCGTTATTAAAACGCCATTCTCTGTATATTTTTATTTTATTTTAGTTCATTTTGTGAGCACACAATATTGTTTCAGTTAGTTTTATTCTTATTTTAGTGAACTAAACTGTGTTTGAGTTTGGTTTTAGTAAGCTATAATAACCTTGTTGTGCTGTGCAGTTCTCAGCAGGTTTCAGGCTGTTACTGGATCAGATCTGATCGTCGGTGCTGAAGACACTGAAGTCCTGCAAACAATGACCTCTGACCTCCCAACCTGCATCCAAGGTAACACACACACACACACACACACACAATATTAGAGTTACAGGATTCAAATGTTTGTCACATGAGTAAACAAACAGTACTTTAAATGACCACATGATGAAACTTTGTAAAAAGTCTGAATTAATAAACAAACAACTTTTAAAATGCTTGTTTTCTGAATGGAGTTTGGTTGATCAGGGCTATGCTAGCTTAGTTGACAAAGGTCATAAAGTCGACTAACCAGCGACTGTGACGGATTAGCAGTCCTTTAAAGGTCAGAGGTCGGAGCTGGAGGCTTCATAACGTTGTGTTTGTGTGTCGTCTCTCTCTCAGCGTGTGCAGTGGAGCTGTCCTGCCACCATGTGGCGCTGTTCAACAGACAGACTCAGTGTGAACTGTACAGCACGAACACACTGAACACACACTGCAACACCTCCCAGCAGGTACACACACACACACACACACACACACACACACACTAAAACGTTGTGTTTGTGCTCGTAAATGTTGATTAAACATTTTATTTTGTTCAGACCAGTGGATTTCTGGGTAATCCTGAGGCCGAGCTGTTTGATTGGCTGAGCTGCTCGGTGAAGGTGAGGGGCGGAGCCTCAGATCTTCTGGTCATCAGGAAGAAAGGTACTGTAACCACGGCAACAAACACACACTCATTTATTACTGTTCAGGTGTTCAGGTGTGTCTGTGTGTGTGTGTCTCAGGGGCGGAGTCTTCCGCGCAGCAGCAGCAGAGTTTTGTGAGGATGAGGATGATGAAGGCGGTCTCAGGTGTGTTCAGGACCCAGGTGTTCTCCTCCAAACGGACCTCGCTCTCCGACGCTCACCGCTTCTGTCAGGACGGCTGCAGCCGCGACGCCTGCTGCCACGGATTCATCCTCAACCAGAACAGCCTGAACGGAGGTCAGTTACCACGGAGACACAGAGTGCACGTCACCTGAGTGAGTGAGTGAGTGAGTGAGTGAGTGAAGCACAGGGGAAAGAATAGGGTGAATTAATTAGTGAGTACACTATGTGAACTGGGCGCATAAATGAATAAGTGAATGAAAGAATGATTTGGTTGAATAAATGGGTTGCATGAATGAATACATATAAAAATGTGTGAATGAGTTATTAAATTGATTACTGAGTGAAATAGTTGACTGGATGAATATGTGAATAAATTAATGAATAATTGAGTGAGCACATGAAGGAAGAGAATAAAAGAACAAAATAGATGAAAATGTTCATAAAATGTTGGATATGATGAATGAGTGAATGGTTGAATGAAACCTTGGAGCCCCTCCCCTCTCAGGGTCTCTGCTCTGTGGTTGGCTGAGAGCTCCGTCAGTCTTGATGTGTGGGGACCAGGACTGGGATGTGATTGGACAGGGAACAGCCAGTCGTATCTGTGGGGCGGGGCTAACCTACAACGAACAGCAGAGGAGCTTCGTGTTCGACTTTGGAGGACAAAAGTTCACCATCAGTAAGAAACCAAAGTCACAACTAACTACAGCGACAGTCAGCGAGTCTGTTTCCTGTTGACCGTGTTTGCTTGTTTTGGTGTTTGTCTGTCCAGCTGATTCGGCTCTGCCAGCTGACAGTAAGAACAAGAAGGACTACCAGGCCTCCATCATCAGCTTCCAGGCCGTCTACCTGAACAGAGGTACCTAGAAACACTTAGTCCTTTATTGTCAACAGGTTTGTGTGAGGCTCAGGTACAGGTTCAGGAACTGGCTCAGGAACAGGTTCAGGAACAGGTTCAGGAACTGGTTCAGGAACTGGTTCAAGAACATGTTCAGGAACAGGCTCAGGAACAGGTTCAGGAACATGTTCAGGAACTGGTTCAGGAACAGGCTCAGGAACAGTTCAGGTACAGGTTCAGGAACAGGCTCAGGAACTAGTTCAGGAACAGTTCAGGTACAGGTTCAGGAACTGGTTCAGGAACAGGTTCAGGAACAGGTTCAGGAACAGGCTCAGGAACTGGCTCAGGAACAGTTCAGGTACAGGTTCAGGAACTGGCTCAGGAACAGTTCAGGTACAGGTTCAGGAACAGGCTCAGGAACAGTTCAGGTACAGGTTCAGGAACAGGCTCAGGAACAGTTCAGGTACAGGTTCAGGAACTGCAATGATTTGCAAAACTTGTGGATAAGATGATGTGATTGATTAGTTTGTGTTGCGATTACACCTGGAGAGACCTGATACCTGACACATACCTGATACATCCACGATGTCTCAATACCCTGTCCTCAGTGAGCTCACAGACCTTTAGCTGAGTCCCTGTTACTGTCGACTAAAGATAATGAAAATATGATTTATAGTGTTTGTGTCTCAGTGCTTGTTGTTGTTTGTCAGATGCTGAGTCAGCAGCTGGTGGTTCAGCTTCCTCTTCCTGTGTGGCAGCAGAACTCAGTCCTCCTCTGGATGGTTCGTATCAGAATCTGAACCGGTTTCACAATTCACAGTTTCCAAACCTTCTGGAACCATGAGATAATTCAATTCAATTCAGTTTTATTTGTATAGTGTCAATTCATAACAGAAGTAGGAAAACTACACAATATACACAATATTAGGCTTATATCTCAGCATTGCATTAATTTCTGTGAAGAAAATAAAAGTTAAGTAGTAAATTAAGATTATTCTATATTGACAGAGCCTTAGGGCGTTTTCACACATACCTCATCTGGTCCGGACCTTCGGACTTTTCAGTTTGGCTCGAACCAAAACGAAAACATTAAAAGTCAGTTAGAAAACAATGCCGACATTTACAAAACATTTTCTGAGCGGATGAAACAGAGAGGGTACGTATTTTGCACTACGAGAACGTACATTTCTCGCAAGTATTGTGCTTGCAGTTGGTGCTGAGGTTGCTGCTGGTGGTAATACCATAATAATGCAATCGGGATTTGCTCATTCATTTTCATTCATACGGAAAAGACTACCCGCCAAAATGACAACACGCCAACGTCAGACGCACGCCCGTCTATTCACCAATCAAAGGGAGATGCAACACACGTATGTGGTGATGACACGCCGTAGGTATGTCATGGAAAGTTCTTTAGTGCGCTAGCAAAATTACTATGTGAAACTGAAAATAACGGGATCAAATGTATACAATGTAATTAAACACGAACGTTTAAGGTGTGTTAATCTCTGATAAACAGCCTTGTCCTGCATTAGAAAACCACAAAAGAGCTAATAGAACAATAGCAAAGTGTCAGGGAGAAGAAAACTAAATGTGTCAAAAAAAACAAGCCTGAACATGTCTGAGTTATACATAATATTACATAGTGCAGAGAGAATTGTATAGAAAGTTCCTAAAAAAATATCAGGAAAACTGATATTAAATTTACAGGAAATAATCTGCTCAAAATTCATCCAAATATCTTGCTTTACACAAACTTCCTGCAGTTATTGTGTTTACTGTTTGTGTCCATTAGTCAGTCAGGGGTCATCAGTTTACTCAATGACAGAAAAGGGGTCCCTTAAGTGGAAAAGTTTGGAACCACTGAAATAATTGATTAAGGGACATTTTCTTAAACACATTTTATAAACTCTTCATATGTTTGTGTGTAAAAAGCTGTCAGATAAATGAACTTGCTTGCAGTTAGAGTGACCACAGATGTGTGACAGTGTTGCTTTTGTGTGTTTATGTTCAGAATCAGTGCAGATGAAGTTTGAGTCGCTTTCTGAGGACGACGTCCTTGTGGATCCTCAGAGGAAACTCCCTACTCTCTCCTTCTGGCTCAACAAGAGGAACTACGACTCCCAGCAGGCGCTGCTCTGGTGCCTAACGCGTACGTCACATACTCTAACAAACAATTGAGAACTTGTGCGTTATCTAGTGCTGCTCCCGACTAAAGATTGTCCTAGCTGACTAGTAGTAGTTAAATAAAGCCAATAGTTGACTAATTGTCATGATATTAATTTAATGACCTCCTGTTAAATGCTATCAGAAAAAGCGGTAATGATTCTGAATGTGTCAGAAATACAAGCAAGGAGACTGAACATTTACAGTGCTGTAAATACAGGGCATAGGTCAGTGCTTTAGTCCTTTTTTTGCTTCTTTTGGCACATATTTCATCTTCACCAAAATCGGTGCACAGCATATTAAGATGAAGCCAAACTAACCTCCAGCTTCACTGAAACAGAGCAGTTTAACATTGGTTTGGTTTCTCTGAGACAGTCAGACTGATGGAAAGTGTCACTGGGACTCTGAACAATTAAGTCGACCATTGGGGTGCAGCACTACTATTTCCTCACGTGTCGTTATGTGTTTGTGTGTTTCAGGCTGCGATGCGGAGCAGCAGTGCTCCGTTGCTGACCTCAGAGACGCTGACTCTGCAGCGTTCTTCAGCTGCTCGTTGTATCCGGACAGCAGAGTTTGTGG